TCCCATGGGGTGCAGGGCCCAAGGACCTGGGCCATCCTCCACTGCACTCCCGGGCTATAGCAGAGAGCTGCACAGGAAGAGGAGCAACCGGGACAGAACCGGTTCCCCGACTGGGACTAGAACCCGGTGTGCTGGCGCTGCAAGCCGAGGATTAGCCTGTTGAGCTGCGGCGCTGGCCTTAAGAGCTGTTCTGTGCTGTTGATGAAAGGTCACTAAGAAGCCTCTTGCATACATGTGACATATAGGGATGCCAGCTGCCCTTTAATTTATTGTAATGAAGTACTTATTAATTTATGTTACTGGGGCTGACGTGTGGTGCATGCAGTGGGTTAAAGTGACGCTGCAATGCCAGCATCCCATATTGGAGTGGCGTTTCAAGTCCTGGCTGATCTGCCCTCATCCAGCTCCCTGCTGATGTGCCTAGGAAAGCAGCAGATGTTGGCTCAAGCACTTTGGCCCCTGCCACCCTTGTGAGATACTAGGATGGAGTTCCTGCCTCCTGGTTTTGGTCTGGCCCAGCCTTGGCTGTTGCAGCCATTTGGGGAATAAACCAGTGGAGGAAGATATTTCTCTCACATTCTGTCTTTCAAATAAATAAATTGGTAAATAAATTTTTTAAAAAGGTTACAATACTTTGTTTTCAATTGTTGCTTCCTTAGATTGTTGCCATACCGTGCCTGTTGGGCACAACGAGACTGTGCCCTGTGCAGTCTAATTCCTAAGTGTGAATCAGTGAAGTCAAGAGGAGCTCTCATCTCTGCCTTTTCAAGAGATGGCCTGACACTGGCAGTAACTCTTAATCAGAAAGACCCAAAGGTCAGTAAATAGAACCTGTCTCAGAAGTAATCTACGAAAGAGTGAGTTAACTCCATTTTTGAGATTTCTTTTTTTACCTTTAAAAATAATAACTGATTTTATTTTTCTTTTAATACCTAATTATAAATATATTTTGTCAAAATATATGATCAATATGGTTAGTACATTTGCCTGTAAAATTATAAATAAGGTCAAGATGAATGTTTAGGTTTTTTTTGAGGATAAAAAGTGCAGCTATAAGGAAGCAAGCAGTCTGTGTAGTGTGTGGGTGAATGGCTGGGAACGTGTGTGTCTGTGTGTGTGTCTGTCCTCAAGGGCTACTGGATCTCAGCGGCACCCACACCCCTCCACTGCCATCTCCTGGTAATTCTTCAATTCCACCTTGTCGTACTCATCCAGGTACAGCATGGAGATGGCGCTCAGTTCAGTGAGCACACAACAGGCTTTGGGGATACTGGAGTTGACAGAGTTGACCAGGGTCTGCATGATGGCACAGTTGGTGGAGTTGAGGTGGTCCGCCAGTAGAAAGGGGCAGTCCCTATGGCAGTAGAAGGAAGGCCTGGTAGCCTCGGGGGGAGGGACCATGGTCCAGTCATTCCAGCCCACGTTGCTGAAGTCCATGTAGAGTGGGTGGCACTGGCTGTTCTTACTCTTCTTCTGGGCCTGCTGTGGGTAATGCTTAGGACTCCACGTGGCCCTCTGGTGTCTGGTCAAGGTGTGGCCCTAGCCATCATGACCAGAAGTGACCAGGAGGGACTGGAGCTCAGCCCAATCCCCACTCCCTTGAGCTAACAATAGCTGACCCTGACATGCTGGCCCTGATGGGTCTGTGTCTGGTGGAGGTGAGTCACCTCCATGGCCAGCCTGTGGTTGGGCTTCTTCTCCTGGGTCCATCGCAGGACTGCGAGGCTCACGTCACATTGTGGTGGACCAGTCTCGTGTCCAGTAGTCGTGTGATGAGGTGCCCGGGCACTGCCTCCACTGGGGGCTTCATAACCTCGTAAATGTTTATCTAGTAGAAGCCCCGCTCCCAGCTGGGGCCCTGGTGCGCCTCCTCCTGGAAGAGCCAGTGCTCTGCAGAGGAGATGGCCTCGTTCTCTGGGATGCTGCTAAGGTTAAAGAGGAAATGAAAAGCAGAGTTTTCGCTGGTCCCTGGGAGAGATTTCTTTTTTTTTTTTTTTAAACATAGTTTTTTTTTTTTTCCATAGTACTCCTTTACATGCTTCAAATTGATGTTTTCTTAACCAACTTGACACTGTAAATTGGTAGTTATTTAAATGAGCTGCCAAAGTTTTTTATTTTTTCAAAGATTGATTTATTTATTTGAAAGAATTACACAGAGAGAGAGAGGAAAGGCAGAGAGGGAGGTCTTCCATCTGCTGGTTCACTCCCCAATTGGCCGCAACGGCCGGAGCTGTGCCGATCCAAAGCCAGGAGCCAGGAGCTTCTTCCAGATCTCCCACGTGGGTGCAGGGGCCCAAGGGCTTGGGCCGTTTTCCACTGCTTTCCCAGGCCATAGCAGAGAGCTGGATGGGAAGTGGAGCAGCTGGGACTTGAACCGGCACCCATATGGGATCTCGGCACTGCAGGTGGCGGCTTTACCCACTATGCCATAGCACTGGCCCCCCAAGATTTTTTAAAGTTGATCTAAGTAAAAGAGGATGAGGGAGTGACATTGTGATAGCCTGTAAAGCCAGCATCCCATGAAGGTGCCATTTTGGGTCCTGGCTGCTCCACTCTGATCTAGTTCCCTGTTTATAGGGGAAGATGACCCAAGTGTTTGAATGGCTTTGGAAAAGTGGTAAAGATGGCCCAACTGTTTGGGTCCCTGCCACCAAGGTGGGAGACCCAGATGAAATTCCTGGCTTCTGGCTCTTAGCTTTGGCTTGGCCCAGTGCGGGCTTTTGTAGCCATCTGGGGAGTGAGCCAGTGGATGGAAGATCTCTCACTCTCTCTCTCTCCCTCTGTAACTTTGACTTTCTAAATAAATAAATAAATGGTGACAGGCAGAGTTATAGACAGTGAGAGAGACAGCCAGAAAGATCTTCCTTCCGTTGGTTCACTCCCCTAATGGCTGCTACAGCCGGCACTACGCCGATCCGAAGCCAGGAGCCGGGTGCTTCCTCCCGGTCTCCCGTGCGGGTGCAGGTACCCAAGCACTTGGGCCATCCTCTGCTGCCCTCCCGGGCCACAGCAGGGAGCTGGACTGGAAGAGGAACAACAGGGACTAGTACCCAGTGCCCCAACCAGGACTAGAATCCGGGGTGCTGGCGCTGCAGGCGGAGGATTAGCCAAGTAAGCCACGGCGCTGGCCTAAATACATACATACCACAGTAGAGAGCTGGACAGGAAGAGGAGCAACCGGGACAGAATCCGGCGCCCCGACCGGGACTAGAACCCGATGTGCTGGCGCCGCAGGCGGAGGATTAGCCTATTGAGCCGCGGCGCTGGCCAATACATATATATTTTAAAAAGAGGATAAGGGAAAAGGAGGAAAGAAGAGAGTGAGTGATAACTTATGGTGAAGCATTAATATGTTGGGCTGTTAGTGGTCAACATTGCCTTGCAAGTTGGGAAAGACTCCCTGGGTAGTTTATTGATCTAGGATTCCAGTATCCACAATTGGAAGTAATGATTAAAATAATTTTAATAATTTTTGTCTTTATTTTCTTTCTAGGCAACTCAGGTATTATTTGTAAACACAGTGAATTTTGTTACTCACTCTGGTAGCCTTAAAGGATGTAGTAATAAGAATCCTGTGCTTCCAACTTCGCTTGTCAGGTAAGAACTCTTAAGTGTTTTAAGTAGTGTTTTTATTTTTATTTCTAATAGTTAGACAAATTTAAATCTATAATAATTCAGTAGGATCATGTGATACAGTTTAGTCTACCTTCGGTTTCTGTGCTTGATAAACTCTAAAAGCTATTTCATTTATAGAAAGCCTCAACTATTTTAAGGAAGGAGGAAGGTCTGGTGATGTGGAAGATAAATGAACATACTTTCTTTCATGGTACTTTTCTGTCTTCTTGGGAGTGGAATAATTAGTAGGTAGAGAAATACTTGGTTAAATGGAGACACTGAAATGAAAAGCCTGGATTGGGAAGGCTTATTTTTTCAGGAAGGTTGGGGTAGTCATAGCCTTTTAAAAGGCTTACCTCTTTAGGGAATATTTTCAGTTTTTGAATTGCCTATGAAGCTGAATTTCCATTTGGAATATTGTAGTACATGTTCTTGAGCAAACTTTTTTTTAAGAGGAAGTGACATTCATGAAATGTGTGTGCCGATTCCTATCTTTACTTTTGGCCTCTTTATTTGAAATGTGTCACCTGTACTTGGTACAGCCTCTTATGAAGTGTCAAGAGCCCTTTTTCTTCTTTTTTTTTTTTTTAAAGATTTATTTTATTTATTTGGAAGTCAGAGTTACACAAAGAGAGAGGGGGAGAGAGAGAGAAAGAGAGAGGGAGAGAGAGGTCTTCCATCCATTGGCTCATTCCCTAATTGGCTGCAAAGCCGGGGTCGCACCAATCCGAAGCCAGGAGCCTCTTCTGGGTGCAGGGGCATAAGGACTTGGGCCATCCTCCACTGCTTTCCCAGGCCACAACAGAGAGCTGGATCGGAAGTGGAGCAGCCGGGACATGAACCGGCACCCATGTGGGATGCTGGTATTGCAGGTGGTTGCTTTACCAACTATGCCATAGCGCCGGCCCCAAGAGCCCTTTCTAATGTGTCCTTTGCTCTTTGTAGGTCCTACTGGATAGGTGATATCAGCTGGACTCATGACAGTCTTTTTCTGGCTTGTATATTAAAACGTGGCTCCTTGGTTTTACTGACGTGTCAAGGTGAATTGCTAACATTAATTACGTTTGGTTGCTCCATTGAATTTGGGCCAGCAGAATTTATTCCTCTTCATCCTCTAATAACATATAGGTGAGACACTGGAATTGTTTTAATTTGTTTACAGAAGTTTTTCTCTTTTTTGGTATTATTTTTACTGTGTATTTTTATTTTTAGCAATACCACATTTCAAATTGTTTTATTCTTTCTGTTATCTCATTATCTGTTTATTTATAGTTTTCTTCTGTTTCTTTTTGTGGCTTAATCATGGTGACAGTTTGACATTGTGACTTTGTAAGTACATTATTTAATTATTCAGTAACACTAAGAATTTATCTTCATTGTTATAAAAGTTGGTAAAAGTATAATATGGCATTTTTTGTTAGAATTTCACTTAGATAAATTAAAAATCAAAATTAACTTGGCACATGAGTTTGTCTACTTTTTTCCCCAAAAGGAGAAAGTTGTTGGAAATGGATAGAAGACTTTAGAATGTAGTCATTTTTTAATTTTTTTAAAAAAATTTATTCATTTGAAAGGAAATATGAGAGAGAGACAGAGGTTGATCTTCCATTGGCTGCTGTTTTACTCCCCATATGCCCACAACAGCCAGGTCTGGGCCAGGCTGAAGCCTGGATCCAGGAACTCCATCTAAGTCTCCCACATGCATGGCAAGTACCCATGAACTGGAGCCATCATCTGCTGCCTTCTAGGTGCATTATCCGGGAACTGGATGAGAAGCAGAGTAGCCAAGACTTGAACCAGCACTCAGTAAAGGATACAGGCATCCTAAGTGGTGGCTTAATGTCATGTATCATAATAACTGTCCTATATTTAAATTTGTAATTTGAGGTGAGCCAGAGCAAAATTCAAATGTTGGTTCTTTTACTTATTAGTTGTGTGACATTGGATAAGTTAGTTTTTAAGCCTCTCTTTTATTGTGAAATGAGGGTGATAGTTACTGTCTCTCAGGGTTGAGTGAATGAAGTAAGGTAGTACTCATGTGTCATTATAAATCACTTAGCTCTGTTTTTTTTGTAAAATAAGTGCTCAGTAAATATTTGTAACTGATTTTGATTGTATTTGTATGTGTAGCTAGATCTGTATATACAGCTATTAACAAAATAGAAAAATTGGAAAAGACCTTTGAGGTGAATCCATTCTCTGCTTTATAGAGAGGAACCTGGAGAGATGTGTGCTTGATTTATGTTAGCAAAAAGTAATGCCTAATTTGTAGCCATAGATATTGCAAATGGAAGATATTCATCACTTCCTGCAATGTTTTTGTTTTCCTCTTTAGGATCTAATTCATAATTGACTAGATTTCTTTACATTCTCCTTTTAAATTAATATTTGAGGCCTTTCAAAATGGATTTTTTATTACAGAACTAATACTACTTTATTTTACTTTAAAAAGTAATTTATTTAAGAGACAGAGTTCTCATTTGCTGATTCATTTACCAAATGTCTGCAGTGACCTGAAGCCAGGTGCCAGAAACTCCATCTAGATCTTTCATCTGAGTGGCAGAGACCCAGTTACTTAAGCTGTTAGCAGTGGCTTTCAGGATGTGCATTAGCAGGAACAGAGCCAGTTGTTGAAAGCAGGTTAAGGGCCGGCGCCGTGGCTCAATAGGCTAATCCTCCACCTTGCGGCGCCGGCACACCGGGTTCTAGTCCCGGTCGGGGCGCCGGATTCTGTCCCGGTTGCCCCTCTTCCAGGCCAGCTCTCTGCTATGGCCAGGGAGTGCAGTGGAGGATGGCCCAGGTGGTTGGGCCCTGCACCCCATGGGAGACCAGGAAAAGCACCTGGCTCCTGGCTCCTGCCATCGGATCAGCGTGGTGCGCCGGCTGCAGCGGCGGCCATTGGAGGGTGAACCAACGGCAAAGGAAGACCTTTCTCTCTCTGTCTCTCTCTCTCACTGTCCACTCTGCCTGTCAAAAATAAAAAAAAATAAAAAAAAAAAGCAGGTTAAGCACACAATCATATATAGTATAAAAAAGTCATGTGGATCAAAAGTAAATTGTGTAGAAAATGAAAGACTAACTTTCCTTGTCAGGCATTATGTTGTAGTGGTTCTGCCGATTTCTGTGGCTTGTATGTTGTCTGATTAACCAATCTCCTATTCTTGGTTATTTAATTTAAAAAATCTAAATTTGAATAGTTTCCTAACTAGAAAAAAAGACAGTAAGCTGAGATTATTGTCACACATATATATATATATAGCCCCAAACTTAATAATCAGTGATGTCAAGTAATCAGAATCAGAAATAACAATAACAGTAAATGAGTACACTTAAGTGGAAACTCACCAGATTTAATCCTAAACTGATATAGTTTTACTGTCATTGTCCTCTCCAGACATTCTCTATTTTTCTTCTTTTTTTAAAAGTAGGTACGCCAATAGCTTTTAATTGTATTCCTATAAGTATATTTAAGTGTATGTTGAACGGGGTAGGTGTCTGACAGTGGTTAAGCTACCACTTGGGATGCCTGCATCACATACTGGATATTGGAGTGTGTGAGTTTAAGTCTTGGCTCCATTCCTCATTCCAATTTCCTGTTAATGTGTAACTTGGGGGCAGCAGGTGAGAGCTCAACTTTTTGAGTTCTTGCCACTCGGTTGGGAGACCTGGATTGAGTTCCTGGCTCCTGGCTTCAGCTTGGCCAGCTCTGGCTATTGAAAGTGTTTCGGGAATGAACCAGCAGGTAGGAGATCTCTCTCTTCTTTCTCTGTGTGCCTGTCTCCTTCTTAGGAAAGGTAACTGTTTAATTCTCTTTAATAATAAAATTAAACTTTTTTATTTATTTAAAGATTTATGTGTTTTTGAAAGAGTTACACAGAGAGAGGGGAGAGGCAGAGAGAGAGAGGTCGGTCTTCTATCTGGTGGTTCACTCCCCAATTGGCTGTAACAGCCGGAGCTGCGCCGATCTGAAACCAGGAGCCAGGAGCTTTTTCCTGGTCTCCCACGTGGGTGCAGGGACCCAAGTGCTTGGGCCATCTTCTGTTGCTTTCCCAGGCCATAGCAGAGAGCTGGATGAGAAGTGGAGCAGCTGGGTCTCGAACCAGCGCCCATATGGGATGCCAATGCTTCAGGCCAGGGCATTAACCCACTGCATCACAGTGCCTGCCCCAAAAGTAAACTTTTAATTCTTGCCTGAAATATTTTGTATATTAATTAAAAAAGTAAATACTACAATTTTGGGAAAAATTAAAAGCCTACATATCTTTTAATCAATATATTTTCCAACTATATATATATAAGCACATTTAATCTTTAAAAAAAATAATTTTATTAATTTGAGAGGTAGAGTTAGAGTAATAAAGGGAGAGACAGAGAGGGAGAGCTCTTCCATTTGCTGGTTCACTCCCTAAATGGCTGCAACAGCTGGAGCTGGGCTGATCTGAAGCCAGGAACCTGGAGCTTCTGCCAGGTCTCCCACGCAGGTGCAGGGGCCCAAATACTTAGGCCATCTTCTGCTGCTGGCCCCTGAAGGTGGAGACTTAGCTCACTATGCCACAGTGCTGGCCCCAATATTTAATCTCTTTGTATATGTTTCAGCTGCTTGTTTTCTCATTATTCTGTAGCTTTATTTTGCTTCTTCTTTGGAGTAGTATGATTGTTTCCTTTAAGATCTCTTACTGATTCTTGAATTTTGGTGTTGTTGCTAGACCACAGCATTTTCAAGAGTCAAAGAATTCTGTAGATTCATCAGCTTCTGATAATGACCCTATGAGACAGAAATTTTCTGTAAACACACACTCACGGTTACCCTACCTCATTGTTTCTGATGGATACATGGTCACAACCCTTCGGTTTCTTGATAATCTGTCTCCATCCATGCTCATGAGATCACTACTACTTGACTCAACCCAGAGGCTTGAGAAAGCATACCAAAGTGTGTTACAGTCTAAGGTATGGTGCTTTTTGGTACCATTTGTAAAATTTGCTTCCTTGTTCTGTCAAATTTAAAACTATAAACTATGTTTGTAATTATATACAGTTATCCATAACATTTTTTATTGCTTGTAATGGAATTACAAATCTGATTTTCCTCTTTTCTCCTGTAGCCAAAAGGCAAAGGGCTGAACTTACGATCACTGGATTCCCTAAGGTCTAGCCTGTTAAAACACCAAGGAAATGAACGTCCAGCTGATTCCACTGTCCCTAGGTTTTTGCAGGCAAACGAAATAGGGACGGTGAATGAAGAGACGGCAGATTGTCAGGTACTTGTAGTGCATTTACTTTGAACATTTCCACTTGACTTTATTTTAAGAAACACATTTCATTTTTCCCTTATTAAAGGGAAGAGAAATTTGAGAACACCAATGTGACTCCGCTTAATAGGGATTAAGTGATATGAAATAAATTTCTTTCTATCATATTTAGGATTTTGAAGCAGAGGAAACAAATGAAGGCAAATATTTTTCAAACCAGTTATTTACCTTTTCAAAAAAAAAGAATGATGTGCTATTTAGTAGTGTCAAGGAAGGAAGATTGGAGTTTGCATCTATGTTTGATACAATACATGCAAAGGATGATGCCAAGGAGGCAGACAGATCCATTACAGAACTGCATTCCATCCAGAAAAATCTACTTGCAGCATGGACAATAGGAATTTCAAAAGATGTGACAGAAAAAAATTTAATGTTAAATTATACAGTGGTTTGTATCACTCATTTTTTCTACATTCTTCAGTTTGTAAAAAGTCCTTTACCTAAACTTGATCCTTTTTCAAGTGAGAACTCAAGACAGAACACATGGGTACTTGGTACCTTTCAATTTTTTCTTCAGTGTTTATCAATCCAGTACTGGGATGTGAGATACAGACAAGATGTGGGATATTTGATAAAGCTGACCTCAAATACTCTAAGACTTTTGCTGGATCAGCAACAGAAGGGTCACTTATTCTCAGAGAAACTTTTAGCCTGTTTTTATTTACTCAGAATGGTAACCGACAGTTTAAATGGTATATACAGTCTTCAGCCTGAAGTTACTTCAGCATCAGCTGATGGAAGTAGAGCAGCAGATCAAGATGCACTGGTGGTGCCTGTCTTTCAAATGTTTCAAGAATGTAGCCCTGATGGAAACTGGTCATGGAAGTCATCTTTCAAGATTCATCCTCAAGTAACGAGTCTTGTTCACCAGCCAGGACATAGGTATAAGTATTTACTTTAATATTAGGAAGCTGGGGCCGGTGTTTTGGCATAGTGGGTTAAGCTGCTGCCTATGACATTGGCATCCCATATGGGCGCTGGTTCAAGAACTAGCTGCTCCACTTCCAATCCAGCTTCCTGCTAATGAACCTGAGAAAGCAACAGAAGATGGTCCAAGTGCTTGGGCCCCTGCACCCATGTGGAAGACTCAAATGAAGCTCCTGGCTTCTGGCTTTGGTCTGGCCATTTAGAGAATGAACCAGCTGATAGAACATTCTCTCTCTCTCTCTCTCTCTCTCTCTATTTCTCTCTCTTTCTTTCTGTTTCCCTCCCTCTCTCTCTCCCTTCCTTCCTTCCTCCTTCTCTGAAGCTCTGCCTTTCAAAGAAAAAAAATTTATCTTTTTTTAAAAAAAAAATGAGAACAGCATTTTCATCAGGTTTTTTTTTTTTTTTTTTTTTTTTTTTTTTTTGCTTTTTTAAAAAGACATAAAAAGGGGCTGGCACTGTGGCACAACGAGTTAAGTCATGGCGCAGGCCAGCATCCTATATGAACGCTGGTTTGAGTCCTGGCTTTTCCACTTCTGATCCAGCTCCTTGCTAATGTGCAGAAGATGGGCTAGGTGCCTGGTCCTCTGTACCCATGTGGGAAACCCAGATGAAGCTCTTGGCTTCTGGCTTTGATCTGGCCTTGCTTTGGTCGTTGCAGCCATCTGGTGAATGAACCAGCGAATGGAAGTTCTCTCTCTCTCTGTCTGTCCTTCTCTCTCTCTCTAACTTTGCTTTTCAAATGCATAAATAAAGTGCTTAGGAAAATGAATTAAACTCATCAGTGTTTGAAAAAAAAAAAAAGAAAAGAGACTGGCACTGTGGCATCTCGGGTAAAACTGTTGCCTGCAGTGCTGGCATCCCATATGGGCCCTGATTGAGTCCTGGCTGCTCCACTTCTGATCCAACTCTCTGCCAAGGCCTGGGAAAACAGTAGAAGATGGCCTAAGCCCTTGAGCCCCTGTACCCGCATGGGAGACCTGGAAGAAGCTCCTGGCTTCTGATCAGCCCAGCTCCAGCTCTTGTGGCCATTTGGGGAGTGAACCAGCGGATGGCAGATTGCTCTGCCTGTGCCTCTGCCTTCCTGTAACTCTTCATTTTAAATAAAATAAATAAATCTTTAAAAATAAAGAAATTCCAGCCGGCGCCGCGGCTCACTAGGCTAATTCTCCGCCTTGTGGCGCCGGCACACCGGGTTCTAGTCCCGGTTGGGGCGCTGGATTCTGTCCCGGTCGCCCCTCTTCCAGGCCAGCTCTCTGCTGTGGCTAGGGAGTGCAGTGGAGGATGGCCCAAGTCCTTGGGCCCTGCACCCACATGGGAGACCAGGCTAAGTACCTGGCTCCTGCCATCGGATCAGCGCAGTGCGCCGGCCACAGTGCGCCGGCCGTGGCGGCCATTGGAGGGTGAACCAATGGCAAAAGGAAGACCTTTCTCTCTGTCTCTCTCTCTCACTGTCCACTCTGCCTGTCAAAAAAAAAAAAAATCCGTACTGTAAAATTCGCTATTGCATAGTGTGTATTTCAGTGGATTTTATGGTGAAATCATTAGCACTAATTCCAGAACGTTTTTATCTCTGCAGAAAGAAATCCTGTTTCCGTTAGCACTCGGCATCACGGCACTATTTTTTCTTTTAAAATTTACTTATTTGGAAAGCAAAGTTACAGGGAGAAAAAGAGAGCGAGAGAGTGTGAGAGCACTTCCATTCATTGATTGAATGCATAGTTGGCCATAATGGCCAGGGCTTGTCCGGGCTGAAGCCAGGAGCATGGAACTCAATCTGGATCTCCCATGTGGGTGGCAGAGGCCCAAGTACTTGGCCGTCTCTTGATGCTTTCCCAGGCACATTAGCAGGGTACTGGATTGGAAGTGGAGCAACTGGGACTTGAACCAGCATGCGAATGGTATGCTGACATTGGAGGAGGCGGTTCAGCCTCGTGTGTAACAGTGCTGGTCCCAAAGCCCTATGGTATTTAAATAATATTTAAGGGGGCTAGCACTGTGGCATAGCGGGTAAAGCCACCGGCTGCAGTGCCAGCATTCCATATGGGCGCTGGTTCAAGTCTCATCTGCTCCACTTCCAATCCAACTCTATGCTGTGGCCTGGGAAAGCAGTGGAAGATAGCCCACGTCCTTGGGCCCCTGCACCCTCATGGGGGACCCGGAGGAAGCTCCAGCCTCCTGGCTTCTGATCAGTGCAGCTCTGACTGTTGTGGCCAGTTGGAGAGTGAACCAGCCGATGGAAGTTTCTCCTCTCCTTTCTCTCTCTCTCTCTCTGCCTCTGCCTCTGCCTCTCCTTCTCTCTCTGTGTATCTCTTTCAAATAAATAAGTAAATAAATATTTAAGTGCTTGTTTTAAAATACCATTTTGTAGCTGGTAAATATATAAAATTTTTGTTAAGATATTTTAGCATTTTTGTCAAATTTTATGCAACATACACACATATATATGTATATATATTTGGTTTTGGGCAATTTATGATGTTATTCAAAGATTTTGGTTAAGTGCTATTGAAAAATTACCCCCAGGTGCATGAATCATTTATAAAGTTTTATTTTTATATGTGTTACACATTGTTTGACCATTGGACTTGGTACTGTATTTAAATCTGATCTGTTTCTGTACACATTACCTCCCATATAATAGGCTCCTATTTTGCTTGTCCAAAAGACAGGCTAAGAAGGGGGCTAAACGAGTCTGAATGTGGTTTTAAAGACTACCTTATTTTGTTTGCAGATTGATTGTTCTCTGGAGATTGTTGTACCAAAAAACTCTATGGTATCAAACACAGTTAGGTCGAAGAGTTCCAGAAGGTTACATACAGTTCACTGAAAAGATGGCACACGAAGCATCTACTGTCAAGTTCTTGTTGTGTCATATACAGGCCAACTTACAGACTGCTGGAGACTGCTTGAACCAAACCTTAGAACTGAAACCTATCAATGGTCAGTATCTTTGTTTTTTTTCTTTTTTAAGATTTATTTATTGGCCAGCGCCGTGGCTCACTTGGCTAATCCTCCGCCTGTGGCGTCGGCACCCTGGGTTCTGGTCCCGGTTAGGGCACCGGATTCTGTCCTGGTTGCTCCTCTTCCAGTCCAGCTCTCTGCTGTGGCCTGGGAGTGCAGTGGAGGATGGCCCAAGTGCTTGGGTCCTGGTACCTGCATGTAAGACCGGGAGGAGGTGCCCTGCTCCTAGCTTCAGATCAGCGTTGTGCGCCGGCCGTAGCAGCCATTAGGGGAGTGAACCAACGGAAGGAAGACCTTTCTCTCTGTCTCTCTCTCAGTGTCTATAACTCTGTCAAATAAAAAAAAAAGAGATTTATTTATTTACTTGTAGGGCAGAGTGACACACATATACACACACGTGCGTACACACTCATACATCCTCATAGACACGTACAGATTTTCATCCGTTGGTTCACTCTCCAAATGGCTGCAACAGCTGAGCCTGTTCCAGGCTGAAATCAGGAGCTCAGAACTCCATCCAGGTCTCCTATGTAGGTAGCAGGAACTCAAGGGCCACCATCCTCTGCTTTCCCAGGCCCATTAGCAGGGAGCTGGATCTGAAGCGGAACAGCTGGGACTCGAACTGGTGCTCTAATATGCGATGCCAGCACTGTAGACAGCTGCTTACCTTGCTGCACCACAAAGCTAGCCCCCTCAGTATATTATAAACAATTTCTGTTTCTACAAATAAGTGAAATAGTTAACCAGGCTTTTATTTTTTTAATTGCTTGCAGTTTGCTTTTCAAAAATAATTTTTGGCTGAGATGTGTCCACTGAATTTTAAAACAAAGTTCCATAAAGCAATGTAAATATGACTGATTTTTGGTTAAAAACTTTCTAGGAGAAGAGTGTTTCCTGTTAGGCTCATATGAAGAGTCTGTTGAGTTGTGGAAGCAGGCGCTACAAGAAACTCAAGAGAAAGGTACTGGAGTGATGATAATGCTACATGGCAGTGATTTTGCTGGGAACATATTTTAATTTGCTTCAGAGCTTAAAAATAATTCCAACTTTTACAATGCTCGCAATATTTTAATGCCCAAATAGAGTACAAATTATATAGGCAACTGGACTATCAGAAATGCTTATTTGAAATTAGTCTTGAAATCTGTAGTACCAAGAATATTTGCAGGGATCTCTGGATAAGTCTCATGTCATTTGGTTAATGTTGAAACTTGTGTGGTTGATTATTGTTGGGGGGAAAAATGAGATTTAGATCCTAAATACAAGATTCTTTTTTTTTTCCAAGATTTATTTTATTTATTTGAAAGAGTTACAGAGAAATGTAGAGACAGAGAGAAAGAGGTCTTCCATCCGCTGGTTCACTCCCCAGATGGCCACAACGGCCAGACCTGCGCCGATCTGAAGCCAAGAGCCAGGAGTTTCTTCTGGGTCTCCCATGCGAGTGCAGGGGCCCAAGGACTTGGACCATCTTCCACTGCTTTCCAGGCCATAGCAGAGAGCTGGATCGAACTGGTTTCCATGTGGGATGCTGGAGCTTTAGGCCAGGGCATTAACCCGCTGTGCCACAGTGCCGGCTCCTACATAGCGTTTTTTGATAAGGACAATTCAGTAAGATAATAGGACTGAGCATGCAGCTGAAATGAGAGAAATTCTCAGATGGTGACTCTGGAGCTAACCCCTACCGGCAGCTATTGAATGGTCAAATTTGGCCAATGACTGCATTTGCTACTGCTGTGGCTTCGTATGCTTTATTCATTCATCTACTTAACCAGTATCTATTTATTTATTTTGAGAGGTAGAAAAAGATTTCTCATCCAGTATTAAGGGTTTTTACAAGTTGCACACTCCTCTCTGATGAGTAGTAGACTAAGAGCATTTCCTTGCCAATGTGCTTAATTATTTGCCATTGCAGGAGGAAGAAGGACATGTTTTCTTCAGACACGCTATTATCTTTCTCTCTTATACTGCTACCTCTATAGTTATAATTTAAATGATGCTCAAGGATTATGCGATCTGCTAGTAAGGGAAATACTGAGATGGTCCCAACTACCTGTAAAAGAACATGAAGATTGTCCAGGTACGCCTTTTTTTTTTTTTTTTAAAGATTTATTTTTATTTATTTGAAGGAGTTACAGAGAGAGGTAGAGACAGAGAGAGAGAGGTCTTCCATCCGCTTGTTCATTCCCCAGATGGCTGCAACAGCTAGAGCTGAGCTGATCCGAAGCCAGGAGCCAGGAGCCTCTTCGGGATCTCCCACGTGGGTGCAGGGGCCCAAGCACTTGGGCCATCTTCTACTGCTTTCCCAGGCCACAGTAGAGAGCTGAATCAGAGGTGGAACAGCTAGAACTAGAACTGGCACCCATATGGGATGCCAGTGCTTCAGGCCAGGGTGTTAACCTGCTGTGTCACAACGCCAGCCCCAATTTATTTTATTTATTTGAAAGACAGTTACAGAGAAAGGTAGAGATAGAGAGATAGGTCTTCCATCTGCTGGTTCACTCCCCAGATGGCCACAATGGGCTGGAGCTTGGCTGGAGCTGCACTAATCCGAAGCCAGGAGCCAGGAACTTCCTCTGAGTCTCCCACGTGGGTTCAGGGGCCCAAGAACTTAGGCCATCTACTGTTTCCCAGGCCCTAGCAGAGAGCTGGATTGGGAGAGGAGCAGCTGGGACTCGAACTGGCACCTATATGGGATACGGGCACTGTAGGCGGCAGTTTTACCAAGCGCCAGCTCCCCCCCCCTTTTTTTTTTTTTAAATTGACTACTCTGTACCAAGCCTTATGCCAGGTACTTTAGCAGATATAAACGTCTTCTACTGCCTTTCCAGGCACATTAGAAAGCTGGATCAGAAGCTGAGCAGCCAGGATTTGGATGTAAACTCTTTTTTTTTTTTTTTTTTAAGATTTATTTATTTATTTGAAAGGAAGAGTTGTTTCAGAGAGGCAGAGGCAGAGAGAGGGAGCGATCTTCCATCTGCTGTTTCACTGAAACAATGCTGCAATGCTGCAGCTGTGTCAAGCTGAAACCAGGGGCCAGGAGCTTCTTCCAGGTCTCTCTCGCGGTTGCAGGGGCCCAAGCACTTGGGCCATCTTCCACTGCTTTTCCAGGTTATAGCAGAGAGCTGGAACAGAAGTGGAGCAGCCGAGACTTGAACCAGCTCATATGGGATGCCAGCTCTGCAGGTAGCTTTTCCTGCTGTGCTACAGCACCGGCCTTGAACCTGCACTCTTATATGGATGCGATGCTGGTACAACTCCAGGGCCTATAGGTTAATTGTTTTCATTTTTACTGTCTGCAGGAAGTATGGCTACAGTTTAGCTGTTCTAGGCCTTAGGTGTGCATCTCAGAAGAAGCATTTTTATTATCACTTTCTTTTTGTATGATGTTGGGACCTTAGATGTGACTACTTTGTGTCGGTTTAATCAGAACCTCCTTTGACTGTGTTCCTTAGTTCCTGAGACGTCTCACTCTGAGTTTGGAATGGCTGGGTGCGTCCATCCGGAGGCAGCAGTCAGAGTTGTCCAGGCCATGGCTCGCTTCATGACTGCCTATTTCACCAATCAGCTGCTTTGCATTTTGCCACCTCACAATGTGAATATTCTTCCTCCACTGCATGTGAAAACAGGTAATGTGGTCAAGAAACGATTTTCTCTTTGCACTTTTTTTTAAGTTTCTGCATTTTATTGATCCTGTCATGAAAAATTTGCCCACTGCCTGAAAATAAAGTTGTTGCAGAATCTTGCTTTTCCCCAGCAGGAACATTGGCCTTCAAAACACTCCATCCTGTTCTTGGGCTCCTTTCACAATTTTCTTGAGGTGCTTTCCTTCTCATACGAACCAGTTCTTGTAAATCTGTGCTTGGATTTTCTTTGTGTAGTTCTAGGACTTGTAAATCCTGCCAAAGCCACTTGGGTTGCCATCACCAGAATGGATTCTGTTTTGACTCTGTTTCTGAATTTCTTTCTGAAGCATTGTTGCCTTCCGGGGTGGAGGATGTCAGTGACATGTCTTTCGTCAAGCACTTGTTTGGTCACGACCTTCCTGGACCATAAGGTTACAGGGTGTTTACAAAAAAGCTCATCAGTGCTTACAAAAAAAGTAAAAATGGTGTAGCACATGTGTACTTTATTGTAGCCCACTTTATAGGTATACCTTGCTGTAGCTTTGTGTGGAAAATAATAGTGGAAGAGATAAATATACTCTTGTAAGGAGGCATGAGTTTGGATACACGAGTTGTAAGTAGAATATCCATTTTTTTTTAATTTACTCACAGATCAGTCCCTTCGGCTTATTCCTCTGCAACACTCTAAGGTGGCAAGTGCTGTTAGAGATCAGAATCTCTCCAATGTGTGGACTGTTGAATATGCCCTTGAATTACTATTTATTGGTGGCCTGATTCCAGAGGCAGTATGGTTGGCACATAAACTTGGAGACTGGAAGACATCTGTGTCAATTGGTGTGGCTTTCCAATTTTTCTGTAAACGTGATAGCAGTTTCAAGAGGTGTGTATTTTTAGGGAAACATGCAATATGATATTCACCTAAAGATGTGTTATGTATCTTTTATTTTGGTATTAATATGTTAAATGGAATCCTTAGGTCAGCATTGTCCAATAGAACTTTCTTTTTTGAAAAGATTTATTTATTTATTTGAAAGGCAGAGTTAGAGAGGCAGAGGCAGAGAGAGAGAGATCTTCTATTTGCTGGTTCACTCCTCAGATGGCTGTAACAGCCAGAGCTGAGCCAATCCAAAGCCAGGAGCCAGGAGCTTCTTCCGAAGTCTCCCACATGGGTGCAGGACCCCAAGGACTTGGACCATCCTCTAGTGCTTTCCCAGGCCATAGCAGAGAGCTAGATTGGAAGTGGAGCAGCCGGGACTTTAACCGACACCCATATGGCATGCCAGCGTGGCAGGCAGAGACCCAGTCCACTGTGCCACAATGCCGGCCCCATCAACTGCTTAATTTCAGATCCAGCTCCCTGCTAATGTACCTGGGAAAGCAGCAGAAGATGCCCCAACACATGGGAGACCAGGAAAAAGCTGCTGGCTCCTGGCTTCATTCTGAAACAGCCATGGTCGTTGTGGCCATCTGGGGAGTAAACCAGCAACAGATGGGGGATCTCTCTCTCTGTCACTCCCTCTTACTCTCTGTAACTCTGACTTTCAAATAAATAAAAGTAAATCTTCAAAAAACAATTCTAAGAAAAAGAGCTTATAGTGAGTGGAGTGTTTATTTCATAATAGGATTTGAGTTTTAAAATAAATTAAACTTATCTATGATTTTAACTTTTTGAATGCTGTGGCACTGTTGTATCTTTTCTATATTTTTCAATTTGAGTCTTTTTTATTTTAAAGATTTGTTTATTTGAAAGAGTTATACAGAGAGAGAAGGAGAAGCAGAGAGAGAGGTGTCTTATTTCCGCTGGTTCACTCCCCAATTGGCTGCAACGGCGGCCAGAGCTTTGCCGATTCAAAGCCAGGAGCCAGGAGGTTCTTCTGGGTCTCTCCTGCGGGAGCAGGGATCCAAGGACTTGGGCCATCTTGTACTGTTTTCCCAGGCCACAGCAGAGAACTGGATTGGGAGTAGAGCAGCTGGGACTCAAACTGGTGCCCATATGCGATGCTGGCATTGCAGGTGGCAGCTTTACCTCCTAAGTCACAGCGCTGGCCCACCTTTTTTTTTTTTTTTTAAATTAACTGCTCTGTACCAAGCCTTATGCCAGGTACTTTAGCAGATATAAGCGTGTCACTATACCTAAGACACGTAAGCTTTATAATAGAGAAAATAGGAGAAACCATTATAATAATTTAATAATATGGTAAGAAAAGTGCCAGTGGTCTGGTGAGGAGTGTGATAATACCAACTAAGGGGAAATGCGGGAAATATTTTATGTAGTAAATGTCATTTGAGGTGGCATGGAACCCAGATAGGCTCTTGACAAATTGAGTAATGAATGAGAGAGAAAACATTCCAAGCTTGAGCAAAGGCATCTCGCGAAAAACAAGTTTTGGTTTGTTTGACTAGCATGTGCATGTAATACAGAAGGAAAAATGAATGGAGAAATGTATAGGCTCTTAACTGTGGGGAGTATTCATAGAGAATTTACTCAAATTTTTATTTTCAAAACAAAGGATAAAGTGAATTCCATTGTTTCTTGAAATTTCATGATTAGTACTTGTGTGAAATCTTTGATTTTCTCAATATTTGGTTTCATTTCTTTTGATATGATATTCTTTCAGGTCTAAAAAAAAGGGTCTGAATCTCCCATTAAATATGGCTCCAGCACAGATTTTCCAGGAAAAATTGCAATGTTTTTTGGGTCAGCCAGCCTCTGTGGAAACAAGAGACAAAATCCGCTTAAAATGTAAACAGTTTACAGGTGTGTTATCTATATAAGATCTGATACATTTATCAGGTTAAAATAAACCCTGTGATAGTTTTCAAAAAAAGTTTGTACATATCTATAAATACATTAGCACTTCGAAATAAGCTTACCAAAAATAAAGTATGATATTTATACTTAATCATAGGAGCATTCAAAATTGATGGCAGCTCATAATGTGAGAGTTAGTAACTGAATGATTTCCTTACTTTCTATATATAATATTATACTAATTGTATTTTGCTACATTTGGATCATTTTCTTTTGTAGACATAGGATCATGGAATCCTGGAATGGTACTTGAAGTGATTTAGTTCAACTCTTACCTACTGCATAAATGATAGTTTTTTTTTTTTAACTTTAAAAATTCAAAGTGGTGTTATAAAATTTAAGAAAAAACCAGCATTGCATATTTTATAAAGATTTTCCCAGATGTATCAAAAATTTATCTGTTTTACAGAAGACAAAACATTAAATCAATTGTGTGCAGACGTGTATATTTGATGGTAAAACAAGGATAACTCTGGGGACTTTGTGTGTGTATGTGTGTTTAAAGGCTTGTTTGTTTATTTGAAAGAGTGACGGGATGTGGGGAGAGAGGGAGGGAGAAAGAGAGAGAGATCTTCCATCTTCTGTTTTAAAGGCTCAAGAATTCCATCCAGGTCTCCCATGGGAGTGGCAGGAACCCAGGGACTTGGCCCATCATCATCTGCTACCTTCCCAGGCATGTTAGCAGGAAGGTGGATCAGAAGCAGAGTAGTCGGGACTTGAACTGGTCCTCCCATGGTGGTTTAACCAGGCTCCTACACTTGTGTTTTTATTAAAGCTTGACTTCATTAAAGAGTGAGACTTCTTCCTGTAGATTTCTAAAAGTTACAAACTTTTTTTTAAAAAGAACATACTTGTTTTTTTTTTTTTTTTTTTTTTTTTTTTTTTTTTTGACAGGCAGAGTGGACAGTGAGAGAGAGAGACAGAGAGAAAGGTCTTCCTTTGCCGTTGGTTCACCCTCCAATGGCCGGCGCGGCCGGCACACTGCGGCCGGCGCACTGCGGCCGGCGCACCGCGCTGATCCGTTGGCAGGAGCCAGGAGCCAGGTGCTTTTCCTGGTCTCCCATGGGGTGCAGGGCCCAAGCACCTGGGCCGTCCTCCACTGCACTCCCTGGCCACAGCAGAGAGCTGGCCTGGAAGAGGGGCAACCGGGACAGAATCCGGCGCCCCGACCGGGACTAGAGCCCGGTGTGCCGGCGCCGCTAGGCGGAGGATTGCCTAGTGAGCCGCGGCGCCGGCTAAAAAGAACATACTTGTTTTTTAATTAGAGATATAAACAGAGAGATCCCATTCACTGGCTCATTCTCCAGTTGCCTGTAAAGATCAGGGCTGGCCCTGGGTAGAGGGAACCCAGTTACCAAAGCTATTACTGCTGTCTCTCAGGGTGAAAGTGAAGTTAGGAGTCAGAGCTTGACACTGAACCCAGGCGTGGGGCTGAGTATCCCAACCAGCATCTTACTCACTAGGCTAAAGGCTCTCTCTCCTTTTAAAAGTTTTTTCTTAATTTAAATTATTTTTAATTTTTTAATTTAAACTTTGAGAGAGTATCTAATTCTTGGAAATCTGACTATAAACATTTATTTGATAATTTTCTGTGCAGTTCTCTCTTATTTTTCAGTTAATAAGACATTACTACATAAAATTTGGATTAAAAAAAAAAAAAAGAATAGGAAAATACCACCAATCTGAACTTCCAGTTCGAATAATATGTTGTTCTAGATGACCTGGAAACTCTCCTACAATAAATATGTAGATACAAAGTGCTTCTAGATAAAATATATCAATATAAAGGCCAAATTTTAAAGAAAGTAAGGGAAGTTGCCAGAGAACAAAGAGCAAATAAAAATTCAGGTTTCTAGTATGTGATAAAATAAATAACAGTATAAGTCCACCCAAAGATCCATACATTAATGTTCATAGCAGCTTGTTTTTTTTTTTTTTTTTTTGGATGATACACTTTATTTTTTTAGAAAGCTTTTATTTAATAAATATAAATTTTATTTTATAGGTACAGCGTTTGGAATATAGTAGTTCTTTCCCCCATACCTGCCCTCCCATCCCTACTGTTCCCCCCCCACTCACTCTCCCATCCCATTCTTCATTAAGATTCATTTTTAATTACCTTTATATACAGAAGATCAACTCTATAGTAAGTAAATATTTCAACACTTTACACCCACACAGACACTAAGTATAAAGTACTTATACAGCAAGTATAAAGTACTGTTTAAAGACAAGTTTTTCTGTTAATTCTCATTGTACAGCTCATTAAGGTCAGAGGTCCTACATGGGGAGCAAGTGCACAATGACTCCTGTTTTTAACAATTGACACTCTTTTTTTTATGACATCAGTGATCACCCGAGGCTCTTGTCATGAGCTGCCAAGGCTGTGGAAGCCTTTTGAATCCACAAACTTCATCATTATTTAGACTGGGCCATAAGCAAAGTGGAAGTTCTCTCCTCCCTACAGAGAAAAGTGCACTCTTCTTAGATGGTCCCTTTTTACCACTGGTATCTCACTCACAGAGATCCTTCATGTAGGATATTTTTTGCCACAGTGTTTTGGCTTTCCATGCCTGAGATGCTGTCATGGGCTTTTTAGCCACATCCAAATGCCTTAAGGGCTGATTCTGAGGCCAGCGCATAGCAGCTTTTTTTAATAACCAAAACTTAGAAGCACCCCAGCTGTCCATCACCTAGTGAATTGCATAAACATGTGCAATATTCCCATAAAAATCCACAGTAAATAATAAAGGGGAGAGAAAAGGATAACATGTGATAACATAGATGAATTGCAGAATTGTGATGTTAATGAAAGAAATAGGAACAAAGACCACCGCTGTATGAGTCAATTTATGTGGAATTCTATGAAAACAAAGCTAGGGGAAGAGGAAGACACTTCAGTGCTTTCTTGGGAGTAAGGGGGCATTGACTACAGAGATACATAAAAAACTTTTGTAGTGATTGAAATGTTCTTACAGTCCTTTATAGATTTGTCAGTTTATTGAGCTATATAATTGGACAAGTGTGAATTTTGTTGTATGTAAATTATGCTTCAGAAAACCTGGTTTAAAAACAAAAAATTGGGAGCAGTTGTTTAGCACAGTGGTTGAGTCACCGCTTGGGACACCCGTATCCCCTAACAGAGTGCCTGGTTCAAGACCTGACTTCCCTATTTCTGATCAGCAGTGATGGTTTCAAGTGCTTGGGTCTCTGCCACCCATGTGGGAGACCTGAATTGACTTACAGACTCGTGGCTTTACTCTGGCGAAACCCTGCCTATTATGAGCATTTTGGGCAGTGAAGCAGCAATGAAAGATTCCTTTCTGTCTTTCAAATAAAAATAAAAAACAGACCCCTCAGAACTCAGCAGATGAGCAGAGGTGTGACATAATTGGAAAATAAACTTAAAAAAAAAAACTCAATAGGTGGTTAAAATTATTATTAGATTAGCTGGCCCAGTGGGTTAAGTTGCTGTCTGCAGGACTGGCATCCCATATGGATGTCATTCACATCCTGGCTGTTCCACTTCTGAGGAGCCTGGGAAAGCAGCAACAGATGGCTCAAGTCCTTGGCCCCCGCATCCATGTGAGAGACCAGGAGGAAGCCTGTGGCTCCTGGCTTCTGCCTGGCTCTGCCCTGGCCGTTGCTGCCATTTAGGGAGTGAACCAGTGGATGGCAGACCTCTCTCTCCTTGTCTCCTTTTCTCTGTGTAACTCTGCCTTTCAAATAAATAAACAAATCTTGTAAATAAAAAAAGACCAGCATAAGAGTAAATTAATAAACTGTAAGATTAATCTGAGGGACTGGTGCTGTGACGCAGTGGGTTAAAGCCCTGGCCTGCAGTGCCAGCATCCCATATGGATGCCGGTTTGAGTCTGTGCCACTTCCAATCCAGGTCTCTGCTGTGGCCTGGGAAAGCAGTAGAAGATGGCCCAAGCCCTTGGGCCCCTGCACCCTAATTGGAGACCCAGAGGAAGCTCCTGGCTCCTGATCGGCTCAGCTCTGGCTGTTGCAATCATTTGCCGAGTGAACCAGCGAGTGGAAGACCTTTCTCTCTGGCTCTAACTCTCTCTGTAACTGTCTTTCAAATAAATAAATCTTTAAGAAAAAGATTAATTTGAGATTACATATATTAAAAAACAGATAATGGGGCCAGCGCCGCGGCTCACTAGGCTAATCCTCCGCCTAGCGGCGCCGGCACACTGGGTTCTAGTCCCGGTCGGGGCGCCGGATTCTGTCCCGGTTGCCCCTCTTCCAGGCCAGCCCTCTGCTGTGGCCAGGGAGTGCAGTGGAGGATGGCCCAGGTGGTTGGGCCCTGCACCCCATGGGAGACCAGGAAAAGCACCTGGCTCCTGGCTCCTGCCATCGGATCAGCGCGGTGCGCCGGCCGCAGCGCGCCGGCCGCGGCGGCCATTGGAGGGTGAACCAATGGCAAAGGAAGACCTTTCTCTCTGTCTCTCTCTCTCACTGTCCACTCTGCCTGTCAAAACAAACAAACAAACAAACAAAAAACAGATAATGTAGGTAGACAGATAGATAAGGAGTTGGAAAAGCTTTGTAGCATATAAAAGAGAGAGAGAGCATAGGAATCCCAGTACTGTTTACCAACTTCTGGAGAGTGGCTACCTCTGGCTGGGAGAGGGAGTGGAATGTAATTAGTCCTTGAGATTTCAACTATATTTGTAGCATTTTCGTATAAAGAATATAAAGTGAATGTTATCACCAGACAAGGATGAGAAGTCAGTACATGAGTGTTTGTCGTATTATATCTATATTTTGCAGTATGTTTAAAACGTTTGTAATAGACAAAGCCTGAAGCCTCCAGTTTTGCTGCCTACGTTTCCTTGTGTTCTGCTTCTGGGACATGTCCACATATATATAGATATTTTATATGGCTGAAGCCATATTTTACATAGGATCATTTTGCATTTTTCTATTTTTTAGCTTCTTAAATAAATTTTACTAATTTTTATCATTATAAAACTATGATAGACAATTAAGAAAAAGAAACATGGGATGGATGTATAGCCTAAAGACTATGATGCCTGTGTTCTTGGTTGCAGTGTCTGAGTTTAGTACCTGGTTCTGCCTCTGGCTCTTCCTATTCTTCCTCCTCTGCTTCCAACTAGTGGAGATACTGGGAGGCAGCAGTGATGACTCAAGTGACTGAGTTCTTAGCATCCACGTGGGAGACCTGGGTTGAGCTCCCAGGTGCCCGTTTGGTTTGGCCCAGCCCTGGCCATTATTTAGGTAGTTTACCATCATACGTAGCACTCTGTCTTTATACTACTCAAATACATTAATTTTAAACAAAAGGAAAAAAAAAGTTACTCGCCCATGGTCTTCAAATAATGTCTATTTTGGTGTCTTTCTTGACATTGTTTTTCCTATTAATATCTTTTCAAGTATTTTTTTAACAGTGTTACATGCCAAGAATGTCTTTCTTGTGTAATTGTTAAATCTTAAGTAATTCTGGAAAGAAAAAGTCTTATGCTGTGGTTTTCTATAATTGTAGAGTAACAGTATAGTTCATAAATTTCTGTTAAGTTTGGATGTTTTGCATATCAGCAAATATGTTTGTTCTAGACTGTTAGCTTTCTCAGATTTGAAATTTTATCTTACAAAATGAGAGTTTCAGTGTAAATGTTAACCAAATTTTGTGTTCAATAGATCCCATTGAAGAGGAAGATGCAAACCTGCTATTTGGTTCGGTGCAGGAAGTACTGAAAGCATCAGTTATGGCTGATGCAGATATTCTTTCGGAGTCATTTCAGCTTCTGATGGACTCTGCCAAGGACTTCAGTAGGAGGCTGTGGGGGTTGGTTCCAGTCGGCTTGTATCTTCCAGCTCCGCCGTTGTACTGTCCCCAGCCAGCTGTTCTTAGTGAAGTAAGCGTAGTCTACTCTTTTCATTCATTTGAAGTGAGCTTTGTCCAATCTTTAAAATAAACTTGTATATTATCAGGGAATGTATTAAACTGGTGTTTACTTTTTTTTCCTCTTTAAAATGCAGATGATAATAGTATAGGTTGAATATCCCTTATGTGTATTGCTTGGGGCCAGAAGTCTCTTTTGGGTTTGGAAGTTTTCAGATTTTGGAATACTTGCATAAACATATAATGAGGTATCATGGGAATGAGTCTGTATTTACCTTATTTGCATATATTAAAGGTGATATTATATAGTATTTAAAAAATTTATTTATTTGCAAGGAGAGTGACAGGGAGGGAGAGACAGAGCATTTCCATGTGCTGATTCACTCCCTAAATGGCCACAGTATTCAGGGCTGGGCCAGGCCAAAGCCAGGAGCCCATTCTGGTGTCTTGCATAGGTGGCAAGGAGCCCAGGTACTTGTACTATCTCTCACCACCTTCCCAGGCACATTAACAGGGAGCTGATCAGAAGCAGAGCAGCTGGGACTCGAGCTAACACTCTAGATTTGGGATGCCAGTGTAGCAGGCAGCCACTTAACCTGCTGTGCCACAATGCCAGCCGGTATACAGTATTTTTAATAATTTCATGGAATTAAATTTTCCAGTTGGATTATGTTGGTACTCAGAAAGTTTTGGATTCTGGAACATTTCAGATTGGAGATATTCTACCTGTGCCTTTCAAGGCATTTTTGTGAAGCTTCAGTGAGAAATGCTGTTAAAGCTTCTAGTTCAGGAACTGGGTGGGATACGTGGTAAGCATTCAATAAATGTTATGAATGTTAATTATAGTGATGTAGCACAATAAAGAAGTTTCTCACTAATTTTTAAAGGCTGGGCATTTTTTTTTTTAGGATAAGAATGAAATAACAAATGTCAGAATTAGAAGTCGTGTTTTTCCATCTTTTACTTACTTCATTGTCTCCCTTTTTTGAAAGACTTATTTTGATTTTGCTTTGATCAGAAATCTTATTTTTTTTTCTGCTGGATTATTTAACTAATATAATTGTCTTGTAAATAGCAATACTGTATTCCTCTCCAGAACTTTGCCTTGGCTGAGGAAGGGAACACATTTTGCTTAAGAGAAGCTCTGTAACGTTTTACCAGTGGAGTCAAGAGTACTGGGCTTACCTGTTATAGAGTAAGACTTGGGACTAAGGTTAGCTTGGGACTGTACATTGTTTGAAGGGAGAGAGAACTTTAGAAATAGCTATGGTTGGGATCTCATAGCCTGTGCCTCAAAATTGCCTTTATAAATCTCCAGGAGCATTCTAGTTTGAGAAGCCCTAAATATCAATAACCTATCTGTATTTTCACTTTAACATTTTACATTTTCTTATTACCAGCCACTAAACTTGTTTTATTTTCCTCAGGAAGATGGTGATGATCTTCTTCTAAAAGCTGAAAAAGATAATCGCCAAAAGGTGTCTGGCATCCTGCAGCGTGTTCTCCTACTTTTCCGAGCCGCTCACTGTTCTGTTCCTGTGGCACAGTGGTATATCTTGCAGTTGAGGTGGGCACGAAAAGTCATGCAGAAGGTACAGAAATGTCTTGGTCATTTATGTACCACGTTGGACAAGTAACGTGTACTAATTCGAGGGGTCTTCAAAATGTTCATGGAAAGCACATGTTATGAAAAATCTGTGCCTGGATTTTAAAATTGTTTTTTATCAAAAGAAACTTAAAATTCCATTTTCCACTAACTTATTGAAGTACTCTCTTTTTTTTTTTTTTTTTTTTTCACTATTTATTCATTTGAGAGGCAGAGTTACAAACAGAGAGAAGGAGAGACAGAGAGGTCTTCCATCCACTGAATCACTTCCCAAATGGCTGCAATGGCCAGAGCTGGGCCTATACAAAGCCGGGAGCCAAGGACTTCCTGGTTTCCCACATGGGTGCAGGGACCCAAGCACTTGGGGCCATCCTCCACTGCTTTCCCAGGCCATTAACAGAGAGCTGGATCGGAAGTAGATCAGTTGAGACCTGAACTGGTACCCATATGGGATGCTGGTGCCACAGGTGGAGGCTTATCTTGCCATGCCACAGCACTGGCTGCAAACTACCTTCATATTTATACTATAATATTTTTAATAGTGACATTGTTCTAAGGACGCTTGCCCTATGGATCTGTGGATTTCAGGCTTATATACAGTAAGTATCCTAGGCAGAGCTAGTTCTTTGTGCTCAAGGTGAGGGCCCTGAACTTGTTCTCTGGGTCAGTCCCATCCTGTCTGGCAATAGACAGTGGCGTCTAATGGGAATAATAGTTACTCCTTCTTCCCTCACCCCACAATTAGTTGCAGTTTAAGAGACAGACAGAGAGAGACTCCGAGAGAGATCTTCCATCCACTGGTTCACTCTCCAGATGGCTGCAACAGCTGGAGCTGTGCCAATCCAAAGCCAGGAACTTCTTCTGGGTCTCCCACAAGGGTGCAGGGGTGCAAGGGTGCACATCCTCCTCTTCTTTTTTAATTGATTTATTTAAAACAGTGACAGTGAGGGACAGAGACAGCCAGAGATTTTCCCATCTCATCATTCACTCCTCAAATGTCTGCAACAACCAGGACTAGGCCAAATGAAAACCAGAACCCAGAATTCCATCTGGGTTTCCCACATGGGTGACAGGGACCCACCTTTTTTTATTTTATTTAAAGATTTATTTATTTATTTGAAAGGCAGAGTTACAGAAAAGCAGAGATAGAGAGAGAGAGAGAGGTCTTCCATCCTTTGGTTCACTCCCCAGATGGCTGCAACGACTCAAGCAGCGCCAATCTGAAGCCACGAGCCTCTTCAGGTCTGGGAAAGCAGTAGAAGATGGCCGAAGTCCTTGGGCCCCTGCACCCTTGTGGGAGACCCAGAAGAAGTTCCTGTCTTTGGATTGGCGCAGCTCCAGCTGTTGCAGCCATCTGGAGAGTGAACCAGTGGATGGAAGATCTCTCTTGGAGTCTGTCTCTGTCTGTCTCTCTCTGCCTCTTTGTAACTCTACCTTCAAATAAATAAATAAATAAAAAGTTAAAAAAAAAAAAGACTCAGGTTGTTGGCATAAACCAGTTCCATGTGGCTGTAGGCCTGGGGTTCCCATTTCTTTGCTGGCTGTACCTTTCCACCTCTTGGTGGCATCCTGCTTGTAAGTCCCATTAATGTATTTGATAGGAAGTCTGTCATTAATGTACTATCAAGGAGATTTGATTAGATCAAGTCTTAAGTAGAGGGTGAGAATAGATTACAAACCTGCTGCTCATCCTTCCTGGTTTAGTCTCTCAGATTGCTCTTCTTGTATATGTAATGGCCCTCCACACTTTTTTTTTAAATTGATTTGTTAGAGAAACTGAGTAATTTATCCTGTGTCGTACTCTAGTTCGGTCATTTCCTCAGTTAAAGTTGTTTAACCTGTTCTTTCCTTTTTGTTTTCTTTAACCTGTTGATCACTCTATATTCACTGCGATAGATTTGATAAGGTTCAGATTTTCTTCAAAATGAATCCTTCACAGGTGTGGTATACTTCCCTGTTGTAGCATTTCAGGTGGTACATGGGCTTGCTTATTTCATTTTTATTGTCAGTAAGGTTAATCAGTGAGTTTGGGTTTGCCACATCTTCTGTCAAGTTCCCCATCAACCCTTAGTTTTTACTTAATTTATTGTTTTATTGATGATCCTTTCCTGGAGTAATTATTTTTTCAGATGTTGCCAAATGGTTCTAATTCTGTCATTACTTTTTTAAAAATTTATATATATAGACATAAGGTTTTTTTTGACAGAGTGGATAGTGTGAGAGAGAGACAGAGAGAAAGGTCTTCCTTTTGCCGTTGGTTCACCCTCCAATGGCCGCCACAGCTGGCGCACTGCGGCCGGTGCACCGCACTGATCCGAAGGCAGGAGCCAGGTGCTTCTTCATGGTCTCCCACGTGGGTGCAGGGGCCCAAGCGCTTGGGCCATCCTCCACTGCCCTCCCGGGCCACAGCAGAGAGCTAGACTGGAAGAGGAGCAACCAGGACTAGAACCCGGCGCCCATATGGGATGTCGGTGCCTCAGGTGGAGGCTTAATCAAGTGAGCCATGGCGCCGGCCCCTAGATACTTAATTTTTAAGATTGTCTTTCTTACGCCTGTGGGAAAAGCCAGAGACAAATAGTGTTAGATTCATTTGTACAGCAAAAATGATTAACAAGATTGTAAATGATTTGTTTAAACCTTTTTTTCTCTTTTGAGATATAATTTAATACATTTCTTTAATTAGATTTGTTTATTAAGTTTTCAAGAGTACAACTAACTTCTGTGTATTTTTCTAGTGCTCAGAGGAATTGAGCTGTTTTCTATTCTGTATGGTTCTTCTTACCTGCCTTGTTCTTTATACTTTCCCTAAAACAATGTTTCATGTTACTGACAGTTAACATATTTTATTATTTACTTCCAGATTCGAATGAAAGGGTCCCTACCTTCATTGAGTCCTTTCCCTCAGTCCTTGCTTAATTACTGTAAAGGAGGAATAGCGTTCTTTAGACCAGGAGCAACTGGAGACCACAAGCTTGATGACGTTTCCACCAAAGCAATAGGTTTGTCCAAAATGATCATCTGGCTTAGAGATTAGGCCTTAATATAAATAATGATACATTTTTCATTTGACACAGGCTCAAAACTATTGACTTTGATGTAAAGTGTGTTCTATGATCTTTTTTCCTGTGTTTACTAGTAAATACTGTACTTTAACAACTGTGGATGTACAAAGGAACTTCAAAAAACCTTGAAATAAAATAAAAGTTTAGGGGCTGATGCCGTGGCTCACTTGGTTAATCCTCTGCCTGCAGTGCCGGCATCTCATATAGGCACCGGTTCTAGTCCTGGTTGCTCCTCTTCCAGTCCAGCTCTCTGCTGTGGCCTGAGAAGGCAGTGGAGGATGGCCCAAGTGCTTGGGCCCTGCACCTCCATGGGGGACCAGGAAGAAGCACGTGGCTCCTGGTTTCTGATCCGCATAGCTCCATCCACAGTGGCCATTTGGGGAGTGAACCAATGGAAAAGGAAGACCTTTCTCTCTGTCTCTCTCTCACTGTCTAACTCTATCTGTCAAATAAATATAAAAAAAAAAAAGTTTAGTTTGCAAAAAGTTTTTAAAAATGCATGCATAATTTTTCAGTAATATACCTTATCCGTGAAGGTTTCTCTTAGGCATTTTTTCAAAAATTTTGTACCAAAATATTTATGTTTTGTATAAGTTCATTTTCCATGAACTTTTTGAAGTACTTTCATATATTTATTATGTGTGTGCTATTATATGTGTTTCTATTTTTATAGAAAACAAACTATAACACCTATGATATTGTCATTTTTTCGTTAGTTAAATTTGGGATACGTTTTTTTTTTTAAGTTTGTTTGTTGCTGGAGCCCAGTATTGTCACATAGTGGTTAAAGCTCCTGCCTGTAATGCTGGCATCCCATGTGGGTGCTGGTTCATATCCTAGCTGCTCCACTTCTGAACCAGTTCCTTGCCAGTGGCCCAGGAAAGCAGCAGAAGATGGCTCAAGTACTTGGGCCCTAGCCTCCCATGTGGGAGACCTGGATGAAGCTCCTGGCTCCTGGCTTTGGTCTGGCCCAGCCCTGGCCACGCAGCCATCTCATGAGTGAACCAGTGAATCGATCTCTTTCTTTGTCTCTGTCCCTGTCTCTCTCTTTTTACCCTTTCACATAAATACATTTTTAAAAAGAAAAACATCAATTGGGACATTGTATATCTAGCTGAAGGGAAAAAACTGAAAAACAGTGTGATTAAAAAAACCACGAAATTTATTTATTTATTTATTTGAATGGCAGAGTGACAGAGAGGGAGAGACAGAGAAAGATATCTCCCATTTGCTGGTTCACTCCCCAAATGGTCACATCAGCCAGGACTGGGCCATGCTGAAGCCAGGGTGGCAGGGGCCCACGTACTTGGACCTTCTTGCACTACCTTTCCAGGTGCAGTAGCTGGAAAACTATTAGAAGCAGAGTATCTGGTACTCAAAACCAGTACTTCAGTATAGGATGTCAGTGTTGCAAATGGTGGCCTAACTTGCTGTATCTCAACTCTGGCTCCTATTTCCTATCTGCTAAAACGGCATGCCAAATATTATGATTCCTTAAGATTAGTGGGTAAAAAAGATGATTTATATGCCTTCACTTTACTTATTAAAATCATTTTATTCTGAAAAGTATGTGGTAGAAGGCTGGTGCCGTGGCTCACCTGGCTAATCTTCCACCTGCGGCGCAGGCACCCCGGGTTCTAGTCCCGGTTGGAGCGCCGAATTCTGTCCTGGTTTCTCCTCTTCCAGTCCAGCTCTCTGCTGTGGCCCGGGAGGGCAGTGGAGGATGGCCCAAGTGCTTGGGCCCCTGTGCCCACATGAAAGACCAGGAGGAAGCACCTGGCTCTTGGCTTTGGATCGGCACAGCGCACCGGCCGTAGCAGCTATTAGGGGGGTGAACCAATGGAAAAGGAAGACCTTTCTCTGTCTCTCTCTCACTGTCTAACTCTGCCTGTCAAAAAAAAAAAAAAAAAAAAAGTGGTAGAGAACTGTCATCTGCTAATTTACTTTCCAAATTTCTACAGTGTTTGGAATTGGGTCAGGGCCAAAGCCAGAAGCCAGGAATTCATTCATTTCTTTCTTTCTTTTTATAAGATTTATTTATGTATTTGAGAGGCAGAGATATGGAGAGAAGGAGAGAGAGAGAATCTTCCATCCTCAAATGGCCACAACAGCAGGGGCTGGGCAACGCTGAAGCCGGGAGCCAGGAGCTTCTTCTAGATCTCCCACGTGGTTGCAGAGGCCCAAGTACTGTGGCCAACCTTTTTATATTTTTATTTTTTTAAAGATTTATTTTATTTACTTGGAAGACAGAGTTATAGAGAGAGGTAGAGACAGAGAGTTCTTCCATCTGCTGGTTCACTGTCCAGATGGCTGCAATGAATGGAGCTTTGCCAATCCAAAGCCAGGAGCCAGGAGCTTCTTCTGGGTCTCCCATGTGGGTGCAGGGGCCCAAGGACTTGGGCCGTCACCTACTGCTTTCCCAAGCCATTAGCAGAGAGCTGGATCAGAAGAGGAGCAGCCGAGACTAGAACTAGAGCCCATATGGGATGCCAGCGCTTCAGGCCAGGGCTTTAACCCGCTGAGCCACAGCGCTGGCCCCGGGACCATCTTAAGTGGAGCAGCTGGGACTCAAACCAGTGCTTATACGGGATGCTGGTGCTGCAGGCGGCGACTTAACCTTCTGCGCCACAGTGCCGGCTCTGGGAGCCAGGAATTCAATCCACGTCTCCCATGTGGGTGACAGGAACCCAGAACCCAATACTGGAGCCATCACACTGCCTCCCAGAGCCTGAATTGGAAGGAAACCTAAGTCAAGAGCTGGAGTTGGGTATTCAAGTTAGGTACTTCACTCTGGGAAGTGGATATCTTTTGTTTATTTGAAAGGCAGTCCCAGAGAGAGGGAGATAGAGAGAGAACTTCCATCTGCTGGTTCACTCCCAGAGCTAAGCTGGTCCAAAGACAGAATCTAGGAACTTTTTCCAGGTCTCCCATGTGGGTGCAGGGGCCCAGGATTTGGGCCATCCTACTCTCCTGCTTTCTTAGGTGCGTTAGTGGAGAAACCAGGACTTGAACTGGCATCCATTTGGGATGCCAGGTCTACAGACAGTGGCTTTACCTTCTATGCCACAGCACCAGCCCAGAGATGTGGGTATCTTTTTGAAAGGCAGAATTAGAGAGACAAAAGCAGAGGGAGAGAGGTCTTCCATCTGGTGGTTCACTCCCCAGATAGCTGCAACGGCTGGAACTGACCGATCAAGAGCCAGGAGCCAGGAGCTTCCTCTGGGTTTCCCACATGGTGCAGAAGCCAAGGACTCGGGCCCTCCTCTATTGCTTTCCCAGGCCATAGCAGAGAGCCATAGCCGAGAGCTGACTCAGAAGTGGAGCAGTCAGGATTCGAACCAGTGTCCATATAGGATGCGGGCATTGCAGCCAGTGGCCTTTCCCACTATGCCACAGTGCCGGCCCTAGATGTGGGCATCTTAATCAACATCTTGACCACTAATCCAAATGCCCATTCTGTATGCCTTTATTTTGACTGTTTATATTGAAAATTTACTATTTGTATTTCCTCTTGTAAATCATTTTCTGTTCATGGCCTAAAAGTAGATGTCATTCTACTCTTTTACATCCAATCAGAAGTTGATGGTGGGGGAGGTGGGTTGTAATATAAAAATGCCTTTAGGTGATTCTGGTAATCTCCCTGGGAGCTTATAGGATTTGTAGAAGACCTGAATTCTGCTCAGTTTCCATAATTTCAAACCGTACTTTCTGGCTCTGTAATAGTTATTTTAAAAATAAGTTAAATAGCTTCTGTAGAAACTGAAAAATCCTGACCATTTATATTAACCACACAACAGTAGAGAAGATGTGCTTTAATTGTTCATACTTAGTTATAGTAAGGAAAACCAAGATTAACAGAGTAGTGGACGCTTGCTTTGCTGGCTGAAGTGTGAGCCCTGGCATTGTGCATAGTTAAATCTTGTTGCTTTGTACAATAGAATATTGGTAGTAAGAACCTTTACTATGTCTATGCTACCACCATGAAAAGATATCCACCATACATTATGTAGAAAATTAATTGCAAAACAGCATACCTAGTATGGTTTTATATTTTTGTGTTCTTATATTGCTTTTAATTTACAAATTATTATTTGAAATAGTATTAAAAATTCAATTTGATAAATGCATGTCAATAAGTGATTTTCCTAATAAATTAACTATAGAACTGTATGTATTGGCTTTGAAAAGTATCTCCAAAGTTATAAGGCAAGTAAATGATAATAAATGCAATCATTTATTTATTTTATAAGTATGTTTTCAACATTGATATGCATGCAATATTGATATGCATGAAATTGATAAGCATGAAATATTCTAGGGTAATATGCATAAACATTGTGAAAGGTCTCTGACTTTTTATAAGGTGTTAAAATGAGAATATGTTTCTTTCATAATCAAAATGAAGACATTTATTTTAAAAAACTAAAAACCAGCAGGGGTGGAGTTGTTGTGTCGATACCACACTCATACGATGTTCTTTCCTACTTGTTTTCTTGCTTTAGGTTGCTTCAGAGAACTTTGTGCTTTGTGTTGGATGCTGCATGTCCGTGATAAGTTATCCTTTAGTTGCAGACAGTTTCAGAAAGCAAGAGAAAATGTGAAAGGAGGAAAGGTACTTACCTGCTCAAGAATAAGAAAAATGAACAAATATTACTTTGCAAATTATTACTTAATAGAAGATTTGTTTGTAACAAAGCTTTCTTTTGAAGTCATTCTGATTTATTCATCTAAACTGAAAAGGAAATGTATTTTTTCTATCTTTTAGGACCTTGAAGTGGAGTTTGATTCTTGTATGGTTGAGCACTGTCTCAATGCAGTGGACTGGGCTTATAGAATGCTGCCATTCTCTCGTTTTTTTAATATTGAGGAACTTATTCAGGATATAATTTTGAGCCTTCTTGGAGAATTGCCACCAATCAGAAAGGTAATATGATTGTAGATGAAAATAAAGTAAGTCAGAATCAGATTTTGAAAGATTTTTATTTTAATTTTTTAAGATTTATTTGAAAGGTAGAAAGACAAAAAGAGACAGAGGAGAAATAGAGAAATCTTCCATCTACTAGTTTACTCCCCAAATGGCCACAACAGCTGAGACTGGGACAGGCCAAAGCCAGGTGCCAGGAATTCCATTTGGATCTTCCACATGGGTGGCAGGGACCAAGTACTTGGGCCATCATCTGCTGCTTTCCCAGGCACATTAGCAATGAACTGGATTGGAAGCAGAGCAGCTGGGATTGGAACAGACACTCTGAGTTAGTATGCTGGTATTGCAAGAGGAGGCTTAACCCAGTGTGTCACAACCCTGGCTCCTGATTTTTTCTTTTGTTTTAATTAAGAATGATGATGACTTTCCATATACATCTGGCTTATTTCACTTAGTTTAATCTCTAGGGTCAAAAGACATACTATTTAAATTGCACACGTGAGATTGTAAAAGTCAGACTCATGGGAGCAGATAGTAGAATGGTACTGTCCAGAGGCTAGTGGGACAGGGATATGGGAAGATGTTGGTCAGAGGATTCATTTGCAACATTCAGTTATAAGATGAATAAATTCTGGGAATCTAATTTTTAACATGGTGACTGAAGTTAGTAATACTGTATTGCGTACTTGAAATTTGGTAAGGAAAGAGGTTTTATTTGTCCTTGTCAAATATACATACCAGGGTATTTCAGAAGGTTTGTGGTAATGGAATTTATTTATTTGCTCATTTTAAGATTTATTTATTTATTTGAAAATCAGAGTTACACAGAGAGAGGAGAGGCAGACAGAGAGAGAGAGAAAGAGAGAGAGAGAGATCTTCCCATCCACTGATTCACTCCCTAATTGGCTGCAATGGCTGGAGCTGCGCCGATCTGAAGCCAGGAGCCAGGAGCTTCTTCCAAGTCTCCCATGTGGGCGCAGAGGTCCAAGGACTTGGACCATCTTCTACTGTTTTCCCAGGCCACAGCAGAGAGCTGGGTCAGAAGTGGAGCAGCTGGGTCTCAAACCAGCGCCTATATGGGACACTGGCACTTCAGGCCAGGGCGTTAACCCACTGTGCCACAGCTCCAATCCCTGGTAATGGAATTGAAAAACAAGTTTATTTTGGTACAGAAATTTTCAAGTTGTGTTCCTAAGGAATCTTCAAAATATCATAGAAAATGCAAGTTACGAAAAAAATATGTGCAGATGTACAGTTTTTTGGTACCAGAATAAACTCATCTTTTAATTCCATTTTCCATCAACTTTTGGGAGTATCCACACATATAAAATGGTAACTTTGTGTGGTGATGTATTTGTCAGTTTGACATTGGTAACCACATAATGTACAAAGGTACTTCAGAATGTTCTTAGGGCGTTTGGTCCTAGCTGTAAAGATGCGCACATCCTCCATCAGAGTACTTGGATTTGAGTCTCAGCTTCACTCTCGATTCTAGCTAGCCTCCTACTAATATGCATCCTGGGAGCAACAGGTGATGACTTGGGTCCCTGCCACCCTCCAGAGAACTCAGTTGAGTTTCTGACTCTGGGTGTTTGGGGAGTGAGCCAGCAGGTGGGAGTTCTGTGTCTGTCTCAAAAAAATAAATAAATTTTGAAAAGTGAAATTGAAAGGTGAGCTTATTTTGGTACAGAATTGTTGAAATCATGTATAGTTTTTTTTTACAATATGCCTTTTCCATGAACTTTTTGATCTTTGTGTGTGTATGAAGCTATCATGCCTTAATGTATGTAATTCTTATTTTTCAATTAAATATGCAAGTTTACAGTTAAATGCTAAACTCCAGTCGGCAGATTCATGCTCAAGGAGAGCTTTGATCTGACATTCAAAGAATAGTAATGAATACACATTTATGTTTTGAATTAAAATAAAATGTTTGAGGAATGGAAACCAAATATATGTTGCTCATAAAACTTAAAAAATTATTTTTCTGAAGGTAGCTGAAATATTTGTGAAAGCCTTTCCCAATCCTGAGGACATAAGGGTTCCCTTAAGAGAAAAATACCATTCTCTTCAACAGAGACTCAGGCACTACGTTGTAAAAGGTATTTATTATTTGCAATTTCTCAGGTAGCTAAAGTGCTGAAGGTTCTCCTTTTGTTTTGAAAGCATTTACTTCCATTCCTTACATTCCAGTGCATTTTTGCCTTTCCAGACAGATAGGTGTATGAGAAGGTGAAAGCACTTGGCCATTGAGAAGGACTGATACTGTTGTTTTGGAACCAGACAGGGCTGAGTTCATGTCATGACTCTGTTGGTTGGTAACTGTGTGACCCTAAGCAAGTTACTCACTCTCTCTGGGTCTCATTTCCTTGTTTGTAAAATGGGCATAACATTACCTGCTTCATAATGTTTATTGAGAGGATTACATGAGGTATATAAAATGAACATATAGTGAGTGCTTTTTATATTCCATGTATTTATTGAAAACATGGATTCTTCCTCTCCCTTTATGGTTCTTTATGCTTTTAGTTTTATCCTATGCAACCAAGATAACTGGTTTTATGGAACTTTTTTGTGTGTAGGTGGTAAACTAGATATAACATAACATAAAATTTGCTCTTCTAATTTTTTTTATTTAATGAATGCATTTTTACATAGATACAACTGTAGGAATACAGTGGTTCTTTCCCCCAACCCCCCCACCCTGCTCCCATCCCACCTCCCATTTCCTTCTTCATTATGGATCATTTTTAGTGTGACTTTATCTACAGAGAACCAACTCTGTGCTAATCATAGATTTTTTTTTTTTTAAGATTTTATTTATTTATTTGAGAGGTAGAGCTACAGACAGTGAGAGGGAGAGACAGAGAAAGGTCTTCCATCCGCTGGTTCACTCCCCAAATGGCCGCAACGGCAGGAGCTGTGCTGATCCGAAGCCAGGAGCTTCCTCTGGGTCTCCCATGTGGGTGCAGGGGCCCAAGGACTTGGGCCATCTTCCACTGCTTTCCCAGGCTATAGCAGAGAGCTGGATTGGAAGTGGAGCAGCCGGGGCTAGAACCAGCGCCCATATAGGATGCTGGCACCACAGGCAGAGGATTAACGCACTGCGCCACAGTGCCAGCCCCGATCGATTTCAACAATTTGTCCCACACCCACACACAACACATAGAGTACAATTTGGGGAGAGAATTTGCAGTCAATTCTCATATTTCAATCCAATAGGGACAGAGGTCCTACCTGGGGATCAAGTGCGCAGTGATTACTGCTGTTCCTTTAACAATTAACACTCTTATTTATTTTGTCAGTGATCATCCGAGGCTCATGTCATGGGTTGCAAGGCTATGGAGGCCTTTTGTGACCATAGACTCTATCGGCATTTGGACAAGGCCATAAACAAAGAGGATGTTCTCCTCTCCCTTCAGAGAAGAGTGTCTCCTTCTTTGATGACCCTTCCTTTCCTCTGAGGTCTCACAGAGATCCTCCGTGTAGGGTTTTTTTTCCACAGCGTCTTGTCTTTCCATGCCTGAGATGCTCTTAGAAGCCTTTTAGCCTGACCAGGAAGCCTTATGGGTTGATTCTGAGGTCAGAGTGTTATTTACTACGAAAGTCATTCCAGAAGTCTGCTGTGTGGACTGCTTCCCATGTTGGTCCTTCCTTCCTTCCTTTTTTAATTCTATTATATTTACTGAGTACTTGATGTTATTTATATCATCCCTTTTAAACTTAGACCAGTCTATCTGTTGCCTTTAACATTTAATATGATCATTGTAACAGTGAAGATGGTGTTTATACTACCGATTCTTACGGGTTTGGAACCTCATGATTAGTTCTTAGGCTATACCCTGAGAGGTGAGTCTATATGCCTGTGTGCAGAACTAGACTGCTTTACAGTTTTAGACTACCTCTAACTATTTTTAAGTGTACATTTCAGTAGCATTAAGTACTTTCATCATGTGGAAATTTTCAAAGAATTCAAATGATTCTCTTTTTTTAAGAGTTAGAATCAAGTATTTAAGTCGTTATATTCTAATTGTACATTATTTCACTTATTGTAATTATGATTTATTTTAATACTTTTTCTATGCTTTAAAACATCTTTATCCTGTGTAAAATTTTTAAAACTAAAGGTAAAAAAATTTTTCTATAAATGGCCTTGAAAAACTTGGCTTGCTCTTAGTTCCTATTATTTGTAGTAAGAAGTATGTCCTTGTTTGTGTTGCTAAGATTATACTCTGCTCTGTTAAAATGGAAAATTGGAAAAAAAATACAGATTACTCATTCATTTTATACTTATTTTTCTGATTTTTGAAATAGCTACATGACTTTTTAATTTTTTTCCCCAGGGCACTTTTTTTTTTTTTATAGAGTCTGAATTCTGTTTCTTTCATTCTTTAGTTTCTGCAGTTGTACTCTAGAATGCCACCCATAGTTTTCCAACAAATACCTTAGGAAGACCTGACCTACGGGAATGTGGATACAAGCCTTAGTCTCTGGTTAGGTTACATGTTCCCAGCAGGTACCAGAATTGATTCTGCTTATGCCTTGAGTTGAAGTGATCTGATGGACAGTAAGCCCTGTTGTTCTGTTCTTTCCAGGGCCCCAGACTGAGGAGATGATGTCTGTCATCATGCATTCTATCCATAAAGTGAGGGTGAAAGCCCTAAAACGAGTACAGAGAAATATAGGTCCTTTTGAGATGAATATATGGGAACCAGCTGAAGAAGAAAAACCGGAAGAGACTGTAGGCTTGGACAGGTTTTCCCTGGGGACCAGCCTCAGCAGAAGCACACTTACAGAACTGGGGAGTTCTGTGGCTCACAGTGATGCAGACACAGCAGAGACGTGCTCTGAAGCTTTGTCTATTGAAGGAAAAAATAGGGTGCATATTTCTCAGAGGTACGGTTGGGATCTGTGTCACAAGCATCTACTTCCTTGGGCAAATAAATGTTCCTAAAATTTTTTATGCCACTGATGAGTTGATTTCTAGTCAAAACAACCCTCACTGATTGTGCTATAACAATATGAGTGACAAGTGCTACTTGTCCTACTCTAAAGGTTATTAGAGTACCGGCACTGGCTGGGAGCGTCTTTCTTATGGTCTCTGTTATTGTGATTCAAGCGGATTTTTTTCTTTATAATTTCAGTATCTGCATTGCATTTTATCCTTCTTATGACTTAAAGACTAACCAAGGGCCGGTGCCGCAGCTCACTTGGCTAATCCTCCACCTGTAGTGCCAGCACCCTGGGTTCTAGTCCCAGTTGGGGTGTCGGATTCTGTCCCCGTTGCTCCTCTTCCTGTCCAGCTCTCTGCTGTGGCCCGGGAAGGCAGTGGAGGTTGGCCCAAGTGCTTGGGCCCTGCACCCGCATGGGAGACCAGGAGGAAGCACCTGGCTCCTATGCTTTGGATCGGTGCAGCACGCCAGCCGCGGCGGCCATATGGGGGTGAACCAATGGCAAAGGAAGACATTTCTCTCTGTCTCTGTCTCTCACTGTCCACTCTGCCTGTCAAAAAAAAATAACCAAGAATAGTCTTCCTTGAGTAAAATTATCACATCTACTACCAATATGTGCTTGAGTCATATCTAATAATGTTTTAAATGCCGTTTTGCTTTACAAAACAACTATGCTTAAATGTTAGCATGGGAAATACTCTGAAGATTGCTTATTGTGTGTTTTCAATAAGAAGAGATGTAATGACCCCTGCCCAAGTTCCTAACACCCCTTCTCTTATTGAGGGAACTAAGGATCAAGAAACAACTTTAAAGTAATTGTGACTGGGAGTTAAGGTGCCTGCCCAGCAGGTTTCATAATAGCTGAAAGTGATGAGAAGAAGTTCTTACCTTTGTGTGTTAAAACAAAAAGGGGAAGTTCTGCTTGTTATACTTGGTATGAGGGGACCTGAAAGGACAACCCTAAAAGGAAAACAAAAACCCTAAATTAAGATGTGTATTTGTGGTTTATGATTTTTATTTGTACATTTCTATTTGTATTCATAAATTCTGCTCTATTAGAGTACTAATTTTTCCTTCTAGGAAAAAAAATGTTCTCTTATGGTGAAATTTCTGTGATCACATTTTGTATTTATTTGAAAGGCAGTGAGACAGAAAGGGAGAAAGCTGCTTCTCAATCACTGGTTTGCTTCCTAAATCCCCACTACAGCCAGGGCAAGGCCCTGCAAAGCCAGGAGCCCAGAACTCAGTCTGGATCTCCCACATTGTTGTCAGGAACCCAAGTGCTTGAGGCATCACCGGGTGCCTCCGCCATGCACTAGAAGGAAGCTCACTCAGAACCAGAGCCAGGACTCTAACCCAGGCACTCAGATAGATAAGAGCTGTAGGCATCCCAAGCACAGCTTTACCCCAGTACTGAGCACTTGCCCCTGTCAAGAAATTCTAATCTCTTACTTACAGATACTGTGTTGTGTTTTCTGAGCTTTTAAAATGTTCCTCCCTTGAAAACACTTAGAGGTCATGTGGTCCAACCTCGTCATTTGAATGATATAGTCAAGGCACAGAAATGATCCATGACTTAATCAGTAGAGAGAATTTTAATGACAATTCTAAGATCAGTGATAGTAATTAAATAATCTTTAATTGTGTCTTTTAATTTTTTTGCTATAGAAATCCCCCCAGTCACAGGAAATTAACATTGACTGGTAAGCCTGGTGATAAAAAGAAAACAAATGATCAGAAAGAAAACCCTAAAAGGAAAGAAGATCATGAAAAGTTACCACAAAATGCGCTTCCTATAATAGGTGTTTGGGAATTTGAACGTGATGATGATGAATATATTAAATTCCTTGATCTCTTCTTGAGTTATGTTCTTGAAAGAGACCTACTTAGTTCCAGGAATCCTAGCATTCCATTTCTCACCAGCTTTTCTGGACAACTTAGAGAACATGAACTGAATTCTTTACTTTTTGATGTACATACAACTTTAAAACGACGTCAGGGCAAAACCAAGAGCCAAAGTGTGTTTAGAGCTGGATCTTGCTTTGTTGTTATTCCTGAGTGTCATGATTCTGAGAAATCGTCCTTGTTAAATGATGAAGGTGCCATTGGTCTAGAAAACCAGGCACTTTCAACTTCAGTACTGGTTAATCAAAGGATCAGGACTTTTTTAGAGAACTCTTTAAATGAAGTCAGTAAAAATGAAGGGAAGAATGGATTATTTGGTTTAAAACAAAAGCCAGTGTACAGAATGCAAGCTGATAATCGAGAGAAACCTCAGATCCAGAGATCATCACACCTATTTCAGACTCCTGAGTCTACCAAAACTAAAAGATACCTTTTCAGAGCAATTCACTGTGGTGATATTAACCCTCAAGAAGACCTTCCTCTGGCGGTAAACGACACATTTGGCCATATAGGAAGATTGCTGGAGTGGATGATAAGATGGTCTGACAGACGACTGCTCTGTGATTCTGGTACGACCGAGTCAGCCTGTGGGTACAGCCCAGTAATTCGTGTAAAGACCTCTTCAGCTGCCATTCTTACTTCATTATGGCTTTTGGAACAGCCTTATTTTGCTACATACAAGGCAAAAAAGGCCATTATTAAGGTAAGTACATCGATTACTTATGATATACAAATGAGAATTTATAGTTTAGATTTTATTTTTTCATCTGCTAAAGAAGTATTGGAAAACTGATGATAGTGTTCTTTATAATTTATGTCTTAAATTTTTTCAAGTGCTTCCTTTAATTCATAAAATAATTAGAATGAAAGTGCTTTATGTTAAGTGTTGCAGCTTTTTTTTTTTTTTTTTTTTTTTGACAGGCAGAGTTAGTGAAAGAGAGAGACAGAAAGAAAGGTCTTCCTTTTTCCATTGGTTCACCCCCCAAATGGCCGCTACGGCCGGCGCTGCGCCAATCTGAAGCCAGGAGCCAGGTGCTTCCTCCCGGTCTCCCATGTGGGTGTGGGGCCCAAGGACATGGGCCATCTTCCACTGCTTTTCCTGGCCATAGCAGAGAACTGGATGGGAAGAGAAGCAGCTGGGACATGAACTGGCACCCATGTGGGATGCCGATATTTCTATTGCCTTTGTTTTGTGGCCTGAGAACGGTGATGACGTATCTTACAAATTCGTAAGGCTGATTTCTGTGGAACGCTATTAGGGAGTCAGATTTTCTTTTTACAAATAAAGACTTGATAATTGCCTAGCAGTGAATATTGAGTTGAACAAATGTAGTAAATACTTGATAAAGGAATAAGAATCAGCAGAATTTCTGTAGAAAGTATGAATAATAAAATATGGTGAAAAATAAAGGGTTCGATAATGAATAATACTAAATACTATAAATGGTTTGTTTTAGGTGCTAGAGAATCATTCCACTGGGTCTCAGACTGGACCTGGTACTGGGAGGGAGCTTGAAACAGATGGTCGCTGTTCAGTTGCAGCTCGAGGTGGGACTGAGCAGAGAAATGAGAAGCAGTCTTGTCAAAGTATCTTGAAGTAAGTTGCTGATATAACCTCCTTTTCAATAGAAGATACCTGGTCTGGTGGTGTTTGGGCTTAAAGTGCAGAGTATTGAACCCTTGAAAGTTAAAGGAATAAGCATTAGCTGGAAGTAAGAAATGGCTTTCTGAGGTGCATCACCTGTTCATTATAAATATGTTTCTTCCCTATTGGTCAACCGTGTGTCATCTAAGAGAAGAGCTGAGTCTTCCCGAGAGATCCCTTTATTATACTAATTTATTTCCCATTTTTACAAGTAAAATAATACTAGAAGTAATATGTCTTTGAACACCATGGCGAAAGCCCTAGGGCATGAAGATTCTTTTGTGAAATGGTAATTTTAAGTAAATTACACATACAAATACTTTGAGTAAATAAAAATTAAGATTTTCAGGCATCCATTAAACAACATTTTAAGCTTCTACCATGTACCAGAAATGTTTTTTTTTTTTAAAAACTTTATGAAAACAAAGTTGCTTCTTTTTTTTAAAAAGATGAATCTAATGAAAACAAGCTCTTTCTCCTAGAGTGAGTTGTAATTTTCATTGCTGCATTTTCATCGTAGAAATGCAACTGAAGCAGAAACCCCTGCAATAAAAGAAACAAGTGATGAGTTTATTCCTATGACTTCTAACACTGAAGAAGAACATGTATATATCAGTGAGGATGTATTAGGAGTGGAAACATTTACACAAGAGGAAATGGATGTTCACTTATCAGACTGTGAAGGTCAGTTCACTTTATTAATTTGAAATTGATACATAGGGGCCGGCGCTGTGGTATAGTGGGTAAAGCCGCCGCCTGTGGTGTCGGCATCCCATATGGGCACCGGTTCGAGACCCAGCTGCTCCATTTCCTTGGGCACCTACACCCGTTGGGAAACTCGGAAGAAGCTCCTGGCTCCTGGCTTTGGATCGGCACAGCTCCAGCCAGCTGTTGTGGCCAATTGGGGAGTAAACCAACGGATGGAGGACCTCTCTATTTCTCTGCCTCTCCTTCTCTCTGTGTATAACTCTGACTTTCAAATAAATAAATAAATCTTTTAAAAAAAAGAAATTAATACATGATATTGTCTGAGATAATCTTATTTACTTTTTTTTTTTTTTTTTAAAGATTTATTTATTTACTTGAAAGTCAGAGTTACAGAGAGAGGGGGGGTCGGGTCTTCGATCTGCTGGTTCACTCCCCAATTGGCCACAACGGCTGGCTGGAGCTGTGCCAATCCAAAGCCAGGATCCAGGAGCTTCTTTCGGGTCTCCTACATGGGTGCAGGGGCCCAAGGACTTGGACCATCTTCTACTACTTTCCCAGGCCATAGCAGAGAGCTGGATCGGAAGTGGAACAGCTGGGTCTCGAACCAGTGCCCATATGGGATGCCAGTGCTTCAGGCCAGGGTGTTAACCCACTGCCCCTTATTTAGTCTTAAAGCCGATGTAGTTCGTTTGTATTAGCCTAAAACAAAAAATTAGAGAATGGAGCATTTATGAAATATATAAATATTGAATATATTAACTTGTAACTTTTTAAAAAAATTTTCATCTACTGGAAAGGCAGAGCAACAGAATGAGAGCAAGCTTCCATCTGCTGGTTCACTCCCCAAATGCCCACAATAGTTAGGGCTGGGGCCAGGGCTGAATCTGAGAACTCCATTTGAGTTTCCATTGTGGGTAGTAGGGATCCAAGTCCTTGGGTCATCATCCACTGCTTTTCCAGGTGCATTAACAAAGAATTGGATCAGTAGCAGAGTAGCTGGGACTTAAAATAGGCACTCCAGTGTGGCTTGTGGGTCTCTAAACTGACAGCATAACCTACTGTGCCTCAGTGCCCACCCTGCATTACGGAATAAAATCAGGAAAATCTAAAGTATTTTTATATTTGTGACTTTTTTTACAATTATTAGTCATCTTTTCCTGCTTATATCATCTTTTCCTGCTTATATGAACATTACAGGTCTCTTAATTTCTGTGAACCTACTCTAAACTCTTCTCCTTGCTTGTCTTCCTTAAGATAGCAGCTTTGTGTCAGGGGTGGGCATGTGGCCTACCAGTTAAGATGATGGTGAAGGGCCCAGTGCTTGGGTCAGCAGTTAGGATACTACTTGAGATACTCATATTCTGTATTGAATGCCTGTGCTTTACTCCTGACTCAGCTTTCGAGTCTAGTTTCCTGCTAATATGTGCCCTGGAAGGCAGCAGGTTATGACTCAAGTGTTTAGTTGCCTGCCAAATCCATGAGAGATCCAGATCCGACTCCTGGCTTTGGCCTAGCCCAGCCCTGTATGTTGTGGGCACTTGGGGAGTGAACCTGCAAAGAAGGGATGTGTGTGTGTGTGTGTGTGTGTGTGTGTGTGTGTTTTATCTTCTCTTTTCTTCTCTCTGTCTGTTCTGTCTCTAATGCTCTGTGTTTCTAGTAGATGAAAATAGATAAACATTAAAAAACTTTTTTGGTGAGTGCTGTATTTGTCATTACTCTATTTCTTACAATATTCCTTGAATATAAAAGTCAATAGATGATTTTTCAAATGATCGATTTTCTCTTTCTGTTTCTCTCTAGAAGATGCCAAAGAACCTGAAGGAAGTCTCAGAAGTCCCAACATTGCCATTTGCATGCGAAATTTGCCACAGAAGTTAGAAGAAGTAAGGCAATAAATAGTAAATGAAATTCTTCAGCCTTGAGGCTGGTGTTTGACTGGTGGTGGAGACGTTTGGGATGCCTGTCCCCTATCTCAGTGTCTGGGTTTAAGTCCATAGCTCCAGCTCTTGTTTCCAGCTTCCTGTTATTGCGAATCTAGAGGCAGCAGTGATGGCTCAAATTGTTGGGTCCCTGCTACTCAAGTGGGAGATCCAGGTTGAGTTCCCAGCTGTGGCTTAGGGCTCGCTCCAGGTCCGGCTATTTTAGACATTTGGGAAGTGAAACAGCAGATGGAAGTGGTCTCTGTGTCTGCCTCTCAAAAAATAAGTAATTTAACTTTTGGTCTAATATTTAAGTAATACCCAAATGTTTTATTCACTGTTAGAACATACATCAAAGCAAAACTACCTGTTATCTCTTAAACATAGACTGTGGATTCTAGAATTGTGCAGTTTTTTTTTTAAAGATATATTTATTTATTTGAAAGAGTTAGAGAGGTCTTCCATCTGCTGATTCACTCTCCAGTTGGCTGCGATGGCCAGAGCTGTGCCAATCCGAAGCCAGGAGCCAGGGTCTCCCACGCAGGTACAGATGCCCAAGGACTTGGGCCATCCTCCACCACTTTCCCAGGCCACAGCGGAGAGCTGGATCGGAAGAGGAGCAACTGAGACTAGAATCAGTGCTCATATGAGATGCTGGCGCTTCAGGCCAGGACATTAACCCACTGCGCCACAGTGCCGGCCCCAGCATTTTATTTTACTGATATTCTGTTAGTAATTTGCCCTGTAATTTCCGGCAATGAAGTTCTCATTTCACAAACTGCTCTAGCAAATTAACTGAATTAAGAAGAGTGAAAGTGTCCTTTATTTAAAAAGTATAAAAAGTGATATATGTGTATATATATATATTTATATATATGTATGAATCAAGTAAAATATATATTTATATGTACTTTAAAAATACTTTTATTTCATTTTATTAGAGAACAACAGAGATCCTTTGTCTACTGTTTTTCTTGCCAGATACCCTCGAGAGCTGAGGCTGGGCCAGATTGAAACTAGGAGCTTGGAATTTGATCCAGGTCTCCCATGTCGGTGGTAGTGATACGAGTACTTGAGCCATTATCTGCTGCCTTCCAGAGAATTAGCAGGAAGCTGGATCAGAAACACAGGAGCTGGGGCCGGCGCTGTGGCATAGTGGGTTAGGCTGCTGCCTACAGTGCTGGAATCCCATATGGGTGCCGGTTCGAGTCCCAGCTGCTCTACTTCCAATCCAGCTCTCTGCTATGGCCTGGGAAAGCAGTGGAAGATGACCCAAGTGCTTGGGCCCCTGCCTCTGTGTGGGAGACCCGGAGGAAGCTCCTGGCTCCTGGCTTTGGGTTGGCACAGCTTCTGCCGTTGCAGCCAGTTGGGGAGTAAACCAGCGGATGGAAGATCTCTCTCTGCCTCTCTTTCTCTCTCTTTGTAACTCTGACTTTCAAATAAATACATTTTTTTTTTTTTTAAAAAAGAAACGTGCCTCACTTGGTTAATCTTCCACCTGCAGCACCGGCATCCCATATGGGCACCAGGTTCTAGTCCCGGTGGCTCCTCTTCCAGTCCAGCTCTCTGCTGTGGCCCGGGAGGGCAGTGGAGAATGGCCTACGTGCTTGAGCCCTGCACGTGCATGGGAGACCAGGAAGAAGCACCTGGCTCCTGGCTTCAGATTGGCACAGCGCTGGCCGTAGCGGCCATTTAGGGGGGTGAACCAATGGAAGGAAGTCTTTTCTCTCTGTCTCTCTCTCACTGTCTATAACTCTACCTGTCTAATAAAATAATAATAATAAAAAAAAGAAACACAGGAGCTGAAACTTGAAGCAAGCACTCCAGTATGGCATGTGGGTATCCCAAGTGACATCTTAACCACCATGCCAAACATCCACCATCATGCATTTTTTTTCTTTTAAATTGGATTTTTTTTTAGGATCTATTTATTTATTTGATAGATAGACTTAGAGAAGCGGGGGGGGGGGGGGAGAGCAAGCGAGCGAGCTTCCATCTGCTGGTTCACTCCTCAGATGGCTGATGCTGGGCCAGGCCAAAACCAGGAGCCAAGCTCCACGTCTGGCTCTCCCACGTGGGTGGCAGGGCCCAAGGACTTGGGCCATCTTCCACTGCTTTCCCAGGCTCATCAGCAGGCAGCTGGATTGTCGCTCCCCCTCTTCATGGAGGAACGACACAGGACCCTGCGCTGTTCTTTTGTCTGCTCGGCCCTCCCCGGGTTTGCTGCTGGTTCTTCCCGGGTTGGCTACCGTCCCTTCCACCTCCGTGGAAGGGCGGTTCCCCCTGCCACTTTCCCCACTTCCGCGGGGGAGCGGCACACCGCCGGCCGGCTCTCTCGGGGGCTGCACAGGTGTTCCTTCAGATAGATGTTCCTCCTAGATGTTCCTGGTGCATGCCGTCTCTCTCCTCCTTTATAGTCCTCCTCCGCCAATCCCAACTCGGCTGCCCACACGCCGAGTACGCTGCTCTCCTCCAATCAGGAGCAGGTCCTGCTGTTTATTGGCTGAACTGGAGGCAGCTGTGTAGAAGCTGCTTCTCCCTTCTCAGCGCCATATTGTGGGAGAGCAGATGCATAGAATAAGTCTTAATTCCAGTAACTTAGTCTAGTCCGAGTTGCTCCCCACACTGGATCAGAAGTGGAGCAGCTGAGAATTGAAGTGGTGCCCTTATGGAATGCTGGCACTGCAGGCAGGTGCCATAGCACCAGCCCTGTATTATTTTTTGAAAGCTGTATTTCTCTAAAATTTCCAGATGGGGCATAGACATTTCCAATTATTATAACCATTCTTTTCAAAAGGATTATTTTTCCTGATCTTACAGTTGTCTTCAAAGGATAGTTAATCATGTAGTGATGAGTGTGTGTCATTTGCAGTTTGTAGGTCTCCTCATGTCATCTTGTCTTTGTACGTTAGAATGTGCAGTGGTGACTCAGGGAGATAGGCCAAAGACAGCCACGCGGTGTATACATCTGGCCGGAGCAGGACTTGGGGGTACTCTGTAGTGTGTGGTTTTCTTACTTGCATTGAGACTATTGTAACTTACTTTGGGCAGGTGGCTTCTGTGAAACTCAAAATATCCAAGACAGTAATGTCTCTTTGCTTCACTCCTTTTGTTTTGGGTACCATTAATTTTAACAGCATTTCACAAAAGTGGCCCAGTTTCCAAGGGAAGAACCATTGGAAACAAATAAGGAGAACAAACCAGCTGAACAAGAAAGGTAAGGGGAAAGCATGTGGGCGGGGTTGTAAGCTCATTTACCTCTTAATTTACTTTATAGTGGTATTATGTTTTTAGGGAAATTTATAGCTGTGGTCAGTGATTTTGGTGAATGTTATGCTTTTCCATGTTGGTAGAATGAAATAGACAGTAATACCCAGAATGCTTTTTGTTCTCCCATCATTGTCAGCTTTTTGAAAATAAACGACAGTTGCAAATAGGACAAGTTTATTCCGCTGCTAATTACAGAACCACCTTTATACACTGATTCCATTTTTATTTTTGTTCATTTATGTCAGAAAGATTTTATTTATTCATTTGAAAAGCGGGATGATAAAGAGGGAGAGACAGAAAGATTTAAATGCCTGCAACAGCCAGATCTGGGTCAGGTTGAAGCCAGGAGCCAGAAACTCCATCCAGGTCTCCCACATAGGTGGCAGAGACTCACGTACTTGGGCCATCATCTGCTGCCTCCCAGGCACATCAGAAGGAAGGTGGATTGGAAACAGGATAGCTGGGACTCAAACTGACAATCAGATATGGGATTTGGGTATTATAGGCAGGGGTTAATGTGCTGCACCATAGTGCCTGTCCATTTATTTATTTATTTATTAGGTTTTATTTATTTGAAAGGCAGAGTGACAGAAAAGGAGGTTTTATGCAAGTTTACTCCCCAGGTGCCTGCCAACAGCCAATCCGGGGCCAGATTGAATCCCGAAGGCAAGAATTCTGTCTGGGTCTCATGTGGGCGGCAGGGCCCAAGTACTTGAGCCATCATTTGCTGTTTCCCAAGTGTGTTAGCAGAGAGCTGGGTTAGAACTGGAGTAGCCAGAACTTGAACCAGTGCTCTGATATGTTATGCTGATGTCTCAAGCAGTGCCTTAATTCAGTATACCACAACACCCACTCTGGTTTCAGTTCTACTGAATCAGAGCCATTAGGAATCACATTACACATCCATCCTCTTTCACTGTTGTGCTCTGATTGCTGCATGTTGACCATGAGGGCTGTGATAGACTTAGCCTTTGCTGCCTCATTTACTGGCTTCAAAGAAAGGAAAGGCAGTTTCCTTGTGTTGCAGTGTGGATGCAGTTTCTTAATTTTTAGAATTTTAGAAGTTAAGAATTACCTTGGATAAGAGAGGCAACATAATTTTCTATTGTTCTCAGTATACAGTTTTGTTCAGTTTGATTGTGGATAGTTAACAGGAGACATTTTATGTCATTTGCCTTTATGAGTAAAAGATATTTCTGTTCTTAAAAGCTAGTATTGGGGGGCTGGTGCTGTGGTGCAGTGGGTTAACTCCCTGGCTTGAAGTGCCGGCATCCCATATGGGCGCCGGTTCTAGTCCCGGCTGCTTCTCTTCTGATCCAGCTCTCTGCGATGGCCTGGGAAAGCAGTAGAAGATGGCCTAAGCCCTTGGGCCCCTGCACCCATGTGGGAGACCTGGAAGAAGCTTCTGGCTCCTGTCTTCGGATCAGCTTAGCTCTGGCCCTTGTGGCCAATTGGAGAGTGAACCATTGGATGGAAGAGTCTCTCTATCTGCCTCTCCTCTCTGTGTATCTCTGACTTTCAAATAAATAAATCTTTAAAAAACAAAAACAAACACACAAAAAAAGCTAGTCTTGGGGCCAGTGTTGTGGTATAGTGGCTAAAACCACTGCCTATAATGCCGGCATTCCACATGGGCATAGGATCATGTCCCGTCTGCTCCACTTCAATCCAGTTCCCTGATAATGGTCTGGATAAAACAGCAGAAGATGACCCAGGTGTTTGAGTTCTTGCCAACCACTTGGGAGACCTGGATGAAGCTCCTGGCTCCTGGCTTCAGTCTGGCTTCCCCTGGCTATTTAATTTTAACTTTCAAATTAAAAAAAAAAAAAAAAAGCTAGTCTTTACAGTTTCAGGGTTTTGTTTTGTTTTGTTTTGTTTTGTTTTTTTGACAGGCAGAGTTAGAGGGGTTTTCCTTTTTTCCGTTGGTTTACCCCTTAAATGGATGCTAAGGCCGGTGCGCAGTGCTGATCCGAAGCCAGGAGCCAGGTGCTTCCTCCTGGTCTCCCATGCAGGTGCAAGGCCCAAGCATTTGGGCCATCCTCCACTGCCGCCTTGGGCCACAGCAAAGAGCTGGACTGGAAGAGGAGCAACCGGGACAGAATCTGGCGCCCTGACTGGGACTAGAACCCAGAGTGCTGGTTCTGTAGGCAGAGGGTTAACCTAGTGAGCCACGGTGCCGGCTACAGTTTCAGTTTTGACAGTGGTCTCTTCAGTATTCTGAGTAAATTGCCTGTCTTCCTCATAAGTGAGCCTGTGTCCCACTATCCTCTCATGTTCTCTTTGTTTAGTCTTTGTTTAGATTCTATTGTTTTCATTGCTAAACAGTCAGCAGTGTTTAAGTTGTGTGTTAAGTCATTCAGACCTATTCTTAGCTTTCATTTGGATCTGTTACTAATTGCTATGGAGACAAATGTAAACAGATTGTAATTATGAGGTAAGCATTACACAGGAATGGAGGATGTTTAGACTTCAGATGGCTCAGTATTAGATTACCTAAGCCTTAGATAATGCAAAGAATATCTTGCTTCCTGATCACTAATTAACTTTTATTTGCAGTATGATCGAAGTCCTCTCAAGCCCTGAACATGCCATTTCTCCAAGTTTCAGTGCAGATACAAATTCAGAAATGTCTAGGTAAGACATTTTGCCTTCTGTATCACTTTGAAATAATAATGTTTTATGAATAAGTAAGAGAATGAAATGATGTCTACTATATCATTTCAAAATAATTACTAAGTCTTATTACAGAAAACTAAGAATAAGTGTAAGTACGTGGAACATTGAAAGAGTACCCCAGGTACACATCCTGATATCTCTGTGATAATGCTCTTTTTTTTTTTTTTTCCAGATGAACAGCCTTACATTTAATCAATCAACATCACATCACATTTCTCTGACACTTGATTTTTTTTTTTTAAGATCTATTTATTTATTTTCCATGCAGAGTCACAGAGCGGCAGAGGCAGAGGTCTTCCAAGTGCTGGTTTGCTCCCTGGATGGCCGTAATGAATGGAGCTGCACCAATCCGATGCCAGGAGCCAGGTGCTTCTTCCAGGTCTCCTACGCAGGTGCAGGGGCCCAAGGACTTGGGTCGTCTTCCATTGCTCTCCCAGGCCTTAGCAGAGAGCTGGATCGGAAGTGGAGTAGCCGGGACTCGAACCAGTACCCATGTGGGATGCCAGCACTGCAGGTGGAACTTTACTGGCTATGCCACAGTGCCGGCCCCCATCACTTGTGTTTTAAAGACTTAAATAGACTGTAAAAAAATGGCTAGACCAGTTTTTTCCTGGGTGGGGGTGGGGTGGAAAGTGCCCATATGAGATTCCAGTGCTGCCAACAGAGTCTTGACCTACTATACCACAGCACTGGGCCCTAAAGTTATCTTAAAATAGGCAGATTAGGGCTGGCAATGTGGTGTAGCGGATTAAGGTGCTACCTGCAATGCCTGCATCCCATATGGGCACCGGTTCAAGTCCCAGCTGCTTCACTTCTAATCTAGCTCTCTGCTGTGACCTGGAAGAGCAGTAGAGGATAGCCAAAGTCCTTGGGCCCTCCTCACCCACGTGTGAGACCAGAAGAGGATCCTGGCTCTTGGCTTTGGATTGCATAGCTTCAGCCATTGCAGCCAATTGGGGAGTGAACCAGCAGATGGAAGACTTCTCTTTCTCTATGCCTCTCTTTATTTCTCTATGTAACTCTGACTTTCAAATAAATAAATCTTAAAAAAAATAAAATAGGCCAGTGTCGCGGCTCACTAGGCTAATCCTCCGCCTTGCGGCTCTGGCACACCAGGTTCTAGTCCCGGTTGGGGCGCCGGATTCTGTCCCGGTTGCCCCTCTTCCAGGCCAGCTCTCTGCTATGGCCCGGGAGTGCAGTGGAGGATGGCCCAGGTGCTTGGGCCCTGCACCCCATGGGAGACCAGGAAAAGCACCTGGCTCCTGCCTTCGGATCAGCGTGGTGCGCCGGCCGCAGCGCACCGGCCATGGCGGCCATTGGAGGGTGAACCAACGGCAAAGGAAGGCCTTTCTCTCTGTCTGTCTCTCTCACTGTCCACTCTGCCTGTTAAAAAAATAAATAAATAAAATAAAATAGGCAGATCAGTTGCAATGCTTACTTTCAGTGGATTTGGCAGATAGTTTTGTTAGCATTTTAGATGCTTGATGGAAGGTGGATGTTACCATTGAAATGGAATGAGTGAATCAACCTAAGTGCAATTTAATATATTCTTTGCGTTTTGGAAATAGTGATCAGCTTATTTTAATACAATAATTACCTACTGCCTTGTTTAGGAAATTAATTTACTTAAAAAATATTGAGTACTGGCAATGTTTAAGGAATAATCCTTCTAAGGTAATTTTTAAAAAACAGCTTGTTTTTAACCTTAATTTTTATTTCTAAATAAGCATTTTTTGGTGAGAGCTTATTATAAAGGTAAACTCTGGAGTTTGTTTGGAAATGAAATGTTCACAATATGATTGTTTCACATTTTACAAAAGATTTATTTTAGTGACAATGCTCTGCTGCAGTGGGTTAATAAAGCCACTGTCTGCAGCACTGGCATCCCATATGGGCACCAGTTTGGTTCCTGGCTGCTCTACTTTCCATCCTGTTATGTGCTAATGTGCCTGGGAAAGCAGCGGAGGATGGTTCAGTTCCTTGGGCCCCTGCACCCACATGGGATATGCAGAAGAAGTTCCTGGCTTTGGCCTGGCCCAGCCCTGGTTATTGTGGCCAATTGGGAAGTGAACCAGTGGACATAAGATCTCTCTGTCTCTCCCTCTCTCTCTGTAAAAATCTTTTTAAAAAATTTATTTGAAAGGCAGAGTTAGAAAGGAGGACAAAGATTTTTCAAATACAGTAGTTGGTTTTATTGATTCAGGAATTAAACATTTTTTCTTAAGATTATTTATTTGAAAGAGTTACACAAAGGAGAGGCAGAGAGAGAGACAGAGAAAGAGAGAGAAAGTCTTCCCTTTGCTGGTTCACTCCCCAATTGGCCTCAGCGGCCTGAGCTATGCCGATCCGAAGCCAGGAGCTTCTTCTAGGTCTCCCATGTGGGTGCAGGGGCCCAAGGACTTGGGGCATCTTCTACTGCTATCCCAGGCCATAGCAGAGAGCTGGAACGGAAGTGGAGTAAATGGGGCTCAAGCCAGCGCCCATACGGATGTCAGCACTTCAGGTGGCGGTTTTCCCCACTACACCATAGCGCCAGTCCTGGGATTAAACATTTGTTTAGAAAGATTTATTTATTTATTTGAAAGGCAGAATTACAGAGGGGGAGAGAGAGAGATCTTCAGTCTTATCGATCACTCCCCCAAATAACTGTATTGCCTGGAGCTGGGCTGGTCTGAAGCCAGGAGGCAGATGATTCTTCCTGGTCTCCCACTTGGGTCCAGGGGCCCAAGAACTTTGGGCCATCCTCAGCTGCTTTCCCAGGCTCATTAGCAAGGAGCTGCATCAGAAGTGGAGCAGCCTGGATTTGAACTGGTGCCCCATATGGGATGCCAACACTGTAGGTGGTGGCTTTGCCTGCTATGCCACAGTGCCGGCCCCTGAACAATTTTAAAACCCATTCTTTATCTACTTTTCTTAACTCTACTTTGGCCCCTTTAGTTTAGTCAAAATACTAATTTCTAATCAAATTGTAAAGTCTGTACAGTTAATTGGAATGATTGGATATGTCTCAAACTCAGAAGTCTACGGGTACCAGACAAATAAAATAAATTGTTAACTGTTTTGGGTTCTAACAGCCCAGGAAGGGGAACATTGCTAACCAGACAGGACCTTGAATAAAGGCATTCAGATGAAAACATGACTGCAGTGTCCAGTGACTGATGGGTGCTAGAGAAACAGGCTTTACAGTGGAGATTGTCTGACAGCTGTCAGAATAACCTTTACATCTGAAGAAAAATGGGTCTGAATGTTTAGATAATAAACATCTAGTTTGTTTTCTGTTGAATGATTTTTTTAATCTAAATTCTTCCACATAGTGCACAGATTTCTGCATTTAAAGATAAGTCTCTCCCGTTTCCACCTCCGGTACCGAGTGGAGTCAGTGTTGCTTCAGAAACACCTGTTCCAGTTCCTCAGACGACACAGCGGAGTGAACACACTGTTCAGTTACCAGATTCTTCAGATTCTGTTAGGCAGATGCTCCAGGATGAAATGTTTAAATTAGTTCAGGTAAGCATATCACTATAGAAATATATAAGCCTACATGACATAAGCAAAATTTAAAAATATTGATAGGCTTCCAGAAAAATACAAGGAAAAATTAAAATGCAGGCAAATTCCATGCTTTGAGCAGTTGATCATTCAGAAGTTGGTAAGTCTGGGGCCTGGAGTCCAGGCTGAGCTCCTGCCTTCTCACAATGACTTCTTTTCACTGAGATCTTAGCACTGCAGCTGCTCCCAGAGCTGAGGCGGGGCAGTCAGACCAAATCAGTGGGCTTCTGCTCAGAAGTCTCCAAAGTTCATGTTGTAGCAGCGGCTGTCACATCATATCCTTTATCCACGGAGCAGAATTTGGCGTGGCTGAAGCTGGCAGCTACATTCCAGGTCGTTGATCCCCAGGACTTCCTGTCATTGTCTTTTCACTTGGTTATCCTTTTCTCTGTCTACTTACAGTTTTTCATTATTTTTGTTTTTTCTTGAAGCATTCGTTTTCCTCAAGTCTCATTATCATTTGTTTTGTATCTACTTTTTTTGTGATATAATGTGTCATTTTATGATGAATCTTGCCACTAATTTCCTTTTTTAGTCTAAGTGCCCCTGTTGCTTGGCACTTACAGAAACTGGTTTTATTCTTATTCTCCCCAGTCCCTTGATTATCCTTTCTGTGTTGTAATACCACTTGTTCTACCAGCTTAAAGTTTTAGAAGCATTTCTTAAAGTGTTATATAGTCACACTTCTATGCATTTACTGTGTTCTGCAAAAATTCTGAGCACACAAGAGATTCAGAATCACTGTCTTAGAGAGCCATCCTTGCCATCTTCATTACTTGTATCCAGTGTTTGGCTATGCCCTTTTGATTCCTGGCCCACATTATGCGCTAGAATGGCACCTTGCTATATCCACAGCTGTAGTCGACATGAGATTTACAGCATTTTATACTTCAGATGTCTTAGGTAAGCATCTTCTAGGACATACTTCTTCAGATATTATCTCAATACTATCTCCTATTTTTAAAATCTTTGCCAATTTCAGGGACAAATTTATATACTATATGAATCAGTCTTGTTTTAAAAATAGAGAGGTAGATGTTTGGCACAGCTGATAGGAGCCCTCATCCTGTATCAGTGCTGAGGTTGGAGTCTTGGCTTCATTCTGCATTCCAGTTTCCTGCTACTGCCATCCTGTGAGGCAGCAGGTACCGACTCTAGTAGTTGGGTTTGTGGCTCCTGGCGCTTTGTGTTAAGAGTGCCAGAGAGAGCAAGATTTTCCACTGGTTCATTCCACCAGTCTGTACAATATTCAGAGTTGGGCTAGGCTGGAGCCAGAAGCCCAGAAATCAATCCTAGTCTCCCATGTTGGGCCCAAGTATTTGAGCCATCATTGCTGCCTCCCAGGGAGCTCATTAGCAGGAAGCTGGATCAGAAGTGGAGGAGCTGGGGCTCAAACCAGGCACTCTGATGTGGGCATCCCAAGCAGCACCTTAACTGCTGCACTCAGTGTTCCTTTCTAGGAGTTCTTCAATTATGTTCCACTCCATCAGATCCCTCCTCTCTGCTCTCTGGGATGTTTATGGAGACTGGATTACAAATAGTCCCAAGTTCATTCATGAGTTAATATTCATATTCCCAGTTGATAAGAAGGTACACCTTTTTTTTTTGTCTTTTATAAAAAGAAGCAGTGTCAGGCGAGTTGTTTGGCCTACCAGTTAAGATGTCAGGTTAAGATTCCCACATCCCATATAGGAGGGCCTGGGTTCAATAACCAGTTCCTGAATCCGGCTTCCTGCTGATGTGGAACCTAAGAGATGGCGAGATGACTCAAGTGATTGGGTTTCTGCCACTTACCTTGGAAGCCTGGATTGAGTTTCTGACTCCCAGCTTCAGCCCTAGCTTATGCACAGCTGTTGTTGGCATCTGAGGAATGAACCAGCAGACAGAAGCTCACTCTCTGTTTGTCTCTCTCTTCTCTCTTTTTCTGTCTTTCTTCTTCTCAAACAAAAATTCAGTATTATTTTTTAAAAAATTCTCCTGGCTTTGCTTCCTGCTCAGCATTCATGAGTCTGACAGATAATGAGACAAAGGTATGACTGTTATAGAATACTAAGATGATTGTTGCCTTTGGTTTCTTTCCATTTTTCTCACATAACTCTTTGATTATTTTATTCTAGCTACAACAGATCAACTTCATGAGCTTAATGCAAATAGTAGGATCATCCTTTGCTAACCTACCAGATATACAACAACTTGTACAGCAGTCTCAGTCTCTGCATTTCCGGGGAAGCCAAGTATTGAACCCCACAAACGGGAGCGATTGTGTTGAAGAGAACAGTAGAAATCTTAAGGAGAGGATTTTTATTAAGCCACAGTTCATGGGAGAGTACAACAGAGAGCCTGGCAGGGACAGCCCACACTGCCAAGAAGGAATTACCCAATCTGATCAAAAAAGCAATGGGAATTTACAGGTAATGTAGTAGTTCCACTGTTGGTTTTTGTTATTTGAGTAAATAAATTTTTTAGCATAATTACCTCCCACCCTCTTCAAAACATATTGAACATTTTTCAAATAAGAGGAATGTGTACTATATTCTAAACTTACACAGTATGTCTTTTTCTCTTCCAGAATGTTCCACAAGGGAGTATTCCTTCACATCATTTAGGCAGCCAGTCCCAGAAGAGAAAACTGACTCCAGCATCTGAAAGCTTACCACCCACTGGGTTTTCTCTAGCCCCTGCTGAAAATACTCACCTGTACCTTTTGTCCACCCCTTCTGCTCTTCAGAAGACACCTAGACTCATCCCACTTGCAAAATCTTTTAGTCCTGGTGATGGTTTTCCTTTGCTTCAGTTTCAGCCTAAGCAAGAGTTCAAGCCCCCTTATTTACATACAGGAAGAGTTCCACCAGTTCCATTCAGGCCTCTGGCCCAACCACGAGAGGCTTGGGGATTCTCCGATTCCTCCCAGCCTCCTCTGCCCCAGAAAATAGTGCACACTACTGCAGTATCTCATGTGAATGGAAGCCAGCACAATATGGAAGCCATAACAGAAGCTGCTGAGCAGAAGAAATGGGCAGAAACTGTGATTACAGAGGTCCCTAAGCATGTGAACCTGGGTCAGGATGTCAGCCTAGAAAACTTGACACCTCAACAGGACTCTTCAGTATTTGCAAATCCAGAAAAAACACTTAATATTAAATCTGGGCTCCTGGAGATACCTCCTCAGAATTCCCTTGGACTTCCCTTATTACACCTGCAACTTAAACCTCCTTTGATAGTTCCACCAGCCTCAAGAACATCAGTTACAGCTCCTGCAGTACCCATCCGGGCTGTTGCAGAAGAAAGAAAACACTCAGGACTATCATTACTTCATTCCTGTCTATCTCCAGAAACTGTGGTAATGCATTTCTGTGCAGTGATGCGAAAGCAGGGGCATTTCTCATACTCTGAATACTGTCTATTCAAAAAGAAGCTCTTGTACATTTCTCTTTTAAAAATAATGCTTACAATCATAGAAAACAACATAAAAGTCAGGTTTAAAATAATTATAATGTATTTAAATTTTTTTAGAAAAAAGATTTATTTTATTTATTTGAAAGAGTTATAAGGAAAGGTAGCGACAGGGAGGGGGTGAGATCTTCCATCCGCTGATTTACTCCCCAAATGGCTGCAATGGCCGAAGCTGAGCCGATCCAAAGCCAGGAGCCAGGAGCTTCTTCCAGGTTCCCCATGTGAGTGCAGGGGCCTAAGCATTTGGGCCATCTTCTACTACTTTCCCAGGCCATTGGTAGGGAGCTGGATCCAAAAGAGGAGCAGCTGGGACTCAAACTGGTGCCCATAAGGGATGCTGGTGCTAGAGGCCGGGACTTTAACCCATTGTGCCACAGCACTGGCCCCCAATTATAGTGTTTTTTAAAGGCTTTAGGTTTGGCTGGGCTATCAATACTAAAGTTGACTCTATTTTTTTACAGTGTTTATTTTTAGCTTCTTGAAAGGTAATGAGCAAGAGAGCAAGCAAGCTTCCATCTGTTGGATTGCTTCCCAAATGCCCACAACAGCCAGGGTCAGGCCAAAGCCAGGAGCCTGCAACTCCATCTGGGCCTTCCAAATGGGTGGCATTGCCAGCTCTTGAGCTGTCTCCTCTGCTGCCTCCCAGGTTGCATTAGTAGGGAGCAGGGTTGGAAGTAGAACAGCTGGGACTCAAAGTCAGCACTCTGCTCTGGGATGCAGGTGTTGCAAGCCACAGTTAACATGTTGTACCATAATGCCTGCCTCTTATGGACTCACTCATAGTTATTTGTTCTGCTCAGAGAAGAATTAAGTACAGTAAGATGACTAACTGCTCCTATGCATGTGTGGAGTATATGTAGAGAAAGTGACCCAGTGCCCATATTGTTTGTGGTTCCTAGCAGTTGTGATATGGATCTTTGAATCTCTTAAAGGTTAAATTGTGAAATAGTCCCACGGTTGTCAGTAACTGGGCATAAAGCAAAATGGTATCTTTATGATCCTCCTCCCTTTAAAGATATAATGAAATTCGATTTGTTTAGATTTCAATTCTGTATTAGTACTATCTTTTTTGAAGATTTATTTATTTATTTGAAAGAGTTAAACAGAGAAGGAAAGAGAGAGAATGAGGGAGGGAGGGAGGGAGGTCTTCCATCTGCTGGTTCACTCCTCAATTGGCCGCAATGGCTGGAGCTGTGCCCATCTGAAGCCAGGAGCCAGGAGCTTCTTCTGGGTCTCCCATGCAGATGCAGGGGTCCAAGGACTTGGGCCATCTCCCACTGCTTTCCCAGGCTATAGCAGAGAGCTGGATCGGAAGTGGAGGAGCCAGGTCTCAAACTGGTGCCCAAATGGAATGCCATCACAGCAGGCCACGGCTTTACCCACTACACCACAGCGCCGGCCCCGGTAATATCTTATTTATTAATCATTCTCTGATATGCTTTTTAAGATTTGAGTATGCTAGTTGGAAAAAATATTTATCGTGCCTCCTTTTTATGTGAACACATTGTGAGTAGAAGAAGAAAGGATTAGGGGCTGGCGCCGTGGCTCACTTGGTTAATCCTCTGCCTGCAGCGCCTACATCCCATATGGGTGCCAGATTCTAGTCCCAGTTGCTCCTCTTCCAGTCGAGCTCTCTGCTGTGGCCCAGGAGACAGTGGAGGATGGCGCAAGTGCTTGGGTCCCTGCACCCACATGGGGGATCTGGAAGAAGCACCTGGCTCCTGGCTTCGGATCGGTGCAGCTCCGGGTGTAGCGGCCATTTGGGGAATAAAACAATGGAAGGAAGACCTTTCTCTGTCTCTATCTCACTGTCTATAACTGTACCTGTCAAATAATAATAATAAAAAAAAGGATTAGAGGAATGGAATAATAGAGATTTTTGAGGAGTTTTTTTTTTTTTTTTAATTTATTTTATTTATTTGAAAATCAGTTACAGAGAGAGGTCTTCCATCTGCTGGTTCACTCCCCAAATGACTGCAGCACTCCGAGCTGAGCTAATCCAAAGCCAGGAGCCAGGAGCTACAGGCTGTGGCTTTAACCCACTGCGCCACAGCGCCGGCCCCTGGGAGAATTTTTTTAAAAAGATTTGTTTATTTATTTGAAAGAGGAGTTACAGAGACAGGGAAAACAGAGGGAGGTCTTCTATCTGCTGATCCACTTTCCGACTCTTTTTTTTTTTTTGACAGGCAGAGTGGACAGTGAGAGAGAGAGACAGAGAAAAAGGTCTTCCTTTGCCGCTGGTTCACCCTCCCATGGCTGCCGCGGCCGGCGCACCGCGCTGATCCAAAGGCAGGAGCCAGGTACTTCTCCTGGTCTCCCATGGGGTGCAGGGCCCAAGGACCTGGGCCATCCTCCACTGCACTCCCGGGCCACGGCAGACAGCTGGCCTGGAAGAGGGGCAACCGGGACAGAATCCGGCACCCTGACCGGGACCCGGTGTGCCGGCGCCGCAAGGCGGAGGATTAGCCTAGTGAGCCGTGGCGCCGGCCTGCTGATCCACTTTTCAATTGGCTGTTAGAGCTGCGGTTGGTCCTGGCTGAAGCCAGCAATCAGGAACTTCATCTAGGTCTGCATGCATGCAGGGGCCCAAACACTTGAACCAGCCTTTGCTGCTTTCGCAGGTATATTAGCAGGGAGCTGGATCAGAAGTGGAGCAGCTGGGACTTGGGCGAGTGCCCATGTATGATGTCAGTGTTTCATTCAGCAACTTTATCCACTATGTCACAACGCCGGCACCAAGAAGAATTTTTTTCTTTTAAATATTTATTTATGGGGGCCAGCGCTTTGGCATAGCAAGTGAAACTGCTGCCTGTGGTGCTGGCATCCATATGGGCGCCAGATCGAGTCCTGGCTGCTCTGCTTCCAATCCAGCTCTCTGCTGTGACCTAAAAGGCAGTGGAAGATGGCCCAGATGCTTGGGCCCTTGCCTCTGCATGGGAGACATGGAGGAAACTCCTGGCTCCTGGCTTCAGAACGGCACAGCTCCAGCCATTGCGGCCAGTTGAGTGAACCAGTAGATGGAAGACTTTCTCTCTCTCTCTCTCTCTCTGTGCCTCTCCTTTTCTCTCTGTGTAACTGACTTTCAAATAAATGAATTATTCTTTAAAAAATATTTATTTATGAGCTGGAACTGTGGTGTAGCAGGTAAAGCTGTCCGTGCAACACCAGGCACCCATGTGGTTCCTGCAGCCGAAGATGGCCTGAGTGCCTGGGCCCCTGCACCCATGTGGAATACCTGGAGGCAACACCTGGCTTTAGCCCAGCCTAGTCCTGGCTGTTTTGGCTAGATGGGGAGTGAACCAGCAGATGGAAGCCCCTTGTCTCTACTCCCCTTTCGCTGTCTCTGTAACTCTGATTTTCAAGTAAGTAAATCATCAGGAGCCAGTGCTGTGGTTTAGTGAGTAAAACTGCTGCTCGCGACGCTGGCATGCCACATGGCCACTGGTTTGAAACCCAGCTGTTCCACTTCTGATCCAGTTCCATGCTCATGCTCCTGGGAGAGCATTGGAGGATGGCCCAAGTACTTGTACCCCTGTACCCACATGAGAGACCCAGAAGAAGTTCCTGGCTCCTGACCTTAGGCCAGCCTAGTTCTGGCTGTGCAGCCATTTGGGGAGTGAACCAATGGATGGAAGAGCTCTCTCTTTCTCTGTTTTTGCCTCTCTCTCTGTAACTTAGCCTTTCAAATAAAATAAGTAAATCTTAAAAAGAGAATCTTCTGAAAATTTAAGATTATTTATTTATTTTAAAGAGTGATGGAGAAGGGGAAAGATCTTCCATCTGTTGGCTCACCCTTCCAAGTGGCCCCAGCAGCCAGGGCTGGGCCAGGCTGAAGCCAGGAACCAGGAGCCAGGAGCTTCTTCCAGGTTTCCCACGTGGGTGGCAGGGGCCCAAGTACTTGAGCCATCTTCTGCTGCCTTCCCAAGTGCACTAGCAGGGAGCTGAATCTAAAGTGGGACTGTGAGGACTCTAGCTGGCACCCATGAGGGATTCCAGTGTCACAGGCAGGCAGCTTACCCTGCACCACGAAGCTGGCCCCCTGAGAAGAATTCTCTTAAGGATTTGTTTTATTTGAATGGCAGAGTTACAGAGACAGAGAGAGATCTTTCATCCACTGGTTTACCCCTCAAATGACCACAATGGCCAGGGCTGGGTCAGACCGAAACCAAGAGCCAGGAACCAGGAAATTCATCTGAGTCTCCCATATGGGTACTGGGGCCAAAGCACTTGGGCCATCTTTGCTGCTTTCCCAGGTGCATTAGCAGGGAGCTGGATCAGAATTGGGCAACCAGGACTTGAACCAGTGTCCATATGGGATGGTGGCATTGCAGGTGGATTAACCTGTTACATTATAATGCTGGACCCGAGCTGAATTTCTAAAAACAATTTTTTAATGAGCCCCCAAGTTCCCAGTTCCCTGCTTCAGGAGTTTTAAGTATACTGCTCATGTGTTCTCTTTAATTTCTTTCTTCTTTGATTTTTTTTTTTTTTTTAACAGGCAGAGTGGACAGTGAGAGAGAGAGAGAGACAGAGAGAAAGGTCTTCCTTTGCCGTTGGTTCACCCTCCAATGGCCGGGCCACCGCGCTGATGATGTGGGAGGAGGCAGGAGACAGGTGCTTTTTCTGGTCTCCCCTGGGGTGCTAGGCCCAAGCCCTTGGGCCTCTCTCCACTGAACTCCCATGGCACAGCAGAGAGCTGGCCTGGAAGAGGGGCAACCGGGACAGAATCCGGCACCCCAACCGGGACTAGAACCCGGTGTGCCGGCGCCGCTAGGCGGAGGATTAGCCTAGTGAGCCGCGGCGCCGGCCCCTGCTCATGTGTTCTATGTCTTTGTGTGTGTGTGTGTGTGTTCTATGTCTTTATGCCTCTGCATCCTCCCTTTCCAATAATTTAAAATGAAATGGCAGATATTATGCCATTTCATGTCTAGTTGTAAAAAGTATGATTTTTAAAAAAGATTTACTTATTTACTTGAAAATCAGTTACACACACACACCCACACCCACAGAGAGAGAGAGAGAGAGAGAGAGAGAGAGATCGATCTTCTGATTGTTCACTCTCCAGAAGGCTGTAAAGGCTGGGGCTGGTCCAGGCTGAAGCCAGGAGCTCCCTCCCTCCCAGGGGCCCAAGCACTTTTCCCAGATCATTAACAGAGAGCTGGATTGGAAGTGGATCAGCTGGGACATGAACTGGCACCCAGATGGAATGCCAGCGTTGCAGGCAGAGGCTTCACCTGTTGCACTACAACACTGGCCCTAGAAGGATGACTTTTTTTTTTTTTTTTTTTTTTTAAGATTTATTTGAAACAGTTAAAGGAGAGAGGGAGGGAAAGAGGCCTCCCATCTGCTGGTTCACTTCCAAGTGGCTGCAATGGCCAGAGCTGGGCCACTCTGAAGGCAGGAGCCAGGAGCCAGGAGCTTTCTCCTGGTTTCCCACTCAGGTGCAGGGACCCAAGGACTTGGGCTTTCTTCTGCAGCTTTCTCAGGCCATAGCAGAGAGCTGGATTGGAATTGGTGCAGCCGGGTCTCGAACTGGCGCCCGTATGGGATGCCAGCACTGCAGGCTGCGGCTTTACCTGCTACACCACAGTGTTGGCCACGAAGGGTGATCGTCTAATCTGGGAATAAAATGTGGAAGATGGGGACTTCTGACTTGATGTCTGTATAAGGACGATCTAGTGGAATTTGTTAGTGCTGGAAAATCTCTTCTTCCTAAGATATGGACGCTCATCTTACAGTCTAAGTCAGTTTGTTAATGTTTGATTTGTTTTACCTCTTGCACATTTAAAAACATTTAAAGAAATGCTTTTCTTACTTTTTAATGTATGGCACAGCTTTTTAATTTTTATTATTATGCTGTTTCTTATAGTGTAAGAAGCCGCAACTTATCCCACTTGAAAACCTCCTTGCCTTTAAAAAAAGCCAGAAGAAACTGACGCTTAGTTTATTTGAACAAGGTGATTCTGCACACCTGCAGCTTCTAAAGGCTGAAATTGAATCATCTGAAGTAAGACAAGTAAAAGACAGTAAAAAAAGGCAAGTTTTAAATGACATTTGGCAGTACCGCATGAAAGCAAGGTCATTATTATTTACAATCTCATAGTCCTAAAGGTGTGAGTCATGTCGTTTAGCCTCCTAGCCTGTATTTTCATATTGTTTCCCTGTTAAGTGTCATGCACTTGAACACTTACTGTAATGAGCACAGTTTCTATATTGTGAGACAAATACTGTCGTCGTTGAAGGAATTATTTTCTACTGTTCATAGGCTGAAGCACTCCTGTATTTGTTTCTGCCACGGGATAAGAACTGTCTTTTGCATACTTGGTATCATGTAATAGTCCATGTACTGTCCAAAACTTGAAGCAGTATATTATAATTATATTTTTAAAAATATTTATTTATTTATTTGAAAGAATTACAGAGAGAGAGAAGGAGAGACAGATCTTTGATCTGCTGGTTTACTCCCCAAGTGACGACAACTGCCAGGGCTGAGCCAGGCCAAAGCTAGGAACCTGGGAATTCATCCTTGTCTCCTACCTGGGTGGAAGGGGCCCAAGTATTTGGACCATTTTCTTTTGCTTTTCTTGGCCATTAGCAGGGAACTGGATCAGAAGTGGAGTAGCTGGGACTTGAACTGGAGCCCATATGGGATGCTGGTGTGGTAGGGGGGTTTGCTACAATGCCAGCCCTATTGTTACTCATTGTTCCATATTCTCTGGACTTCTAAAGGAAGCAGTTGAGAAAGTGATGCAAGTTGTTTTAGGAAAGTGAATGTGTATGTAAAGAAACAAAGCTGTGACAGGTTTTTGGCCTAGCAGTTAAGGCATGAGCATCCCACATCAGAGCATAAGGGTTAGGGGCCAGCGCTGTGGCGTAGCAGGTAAGGCCGCTGCCCACAGTGCCAGCATCCCATATGGGCGCCAGTTTGAGTCTTGGCTGCTCCACTTCCTATTCAGCTCTCTGCTATGGTCTGGGAGAGCAGCAGAAGATGGCCCAAGTCGTTGGGCCCCTGCACCTGTGTGGGAGACCCAGAAGAAGTTCTATGGCTCTGGATTGGCACAGCTCCAGCCGTTGTGACCATCTGGGGCGTGAATGAGTGGACGGAGGACCTCTCTCTCTCTGCCTGTCCTTATCTCTCTTTGTTACTCTGACTTTCAAATAAATAAAGTTAAAAAAAAAAAAAGTATGAGAATTGGATACCTGGCTCCTGATTCCAGCTTAAGACTGAAAAGCACTTATTACAGTATTTTACCTACATTGGATGTTCAAGACTTACATAGATTGGTAGACTTGGCCAGCGCCGCGGCTCACTAGGCTAATCCTCCGCCTTGCGGCGTCGGCACACCGGGTTCTAGTCCCGGTCGGGGCGCCGGATTCTGTCCTGGTTGCCCCTCTTCCAGGCCAGCTCTCTGCTATGGCCCGGGAGTGCAGTGGAGGATGGCCCAAGTGCTTGGGCCCTGCACCCCATGGGAGACCAGGAGAAGTACCTGGCTCCTGCCATCGGATCAGCACGGTGTGCTGGCTGCAGCGTGGCGGCCATTGGAGGGTGAACCAACGGCAAAGGAAGACCTTTCTCTCTGTCTCTCTCTCTCACTGTCCACTCTGTCTGTCAAAAAAAAAAAAAAAATTAAAAAAAAAAAATAGATTGGTAGATTATTACTGAATCTAGAAAATAAATTTAAAATTACACAATTACCACACTAAAATTATCACCAGAAATGATTCTCTTTCCAGAAGTTGCTCATTCCTTCCATTCTTTTCCAAATATTCCCTGTTTACGTCTTCCCCTTACTGTTTGTGTACCTCTTTCCCCTCTGCTAAAAGTTCACTGAGGTGACCAAGTGTGCTTCACACCTTCAGATAGGCAAATGGAGGTGTCTGGTAGAGTATGTAGCATCAGCCAGTGAAAAGAGTTGGAAAACTACATAATAGTTCCAAAATAGGCAACAAAATAAAAAGAATAACCTGTGCCTATATTCCCATTACTGACATAGAACCGTCAGTTCAGTAGTAGTGGATGTTAAAATAATTTTACATTTCTTTTTTTTTTTTTTTTTTTTTTTTTTTTGACAGGCAGAGTGGACAGTGAGAGAGAGAGAGAGACAGAGAGAAAGGTCTTCCTTTGCCGTTGGTTCACCCTCCAATGGCCGGCGCACCGCGCTGATCCGATGGCAGGAGCCAGGAGCCAGGTGCTTTTCCTGGTCTCCCATGGGGTGCAGGGCCCAAGCACCTGGGCCATCCTCCACTGCACTCCCTGGCCACAGCAGAGAGCTGGCCTGGAAGAGGGGCAACCAGGACAGAATCTGGCGCCCCAACCGGGACTAGAACCCGGTGTGCCGGCGCCGCTAGGCGGAGGATTAGCCTAGTGAGCCACGGCGCCGGCCCTTACATTTCTTTAATTTTCTTTCTTTGCTTATATTTGTCTGTTTTCCAGCAGAAAATTTTGCTCATTTAATTAAATGATACTGAAAATAATACATTATTGATAACTGTTTTCCTGTTTAGGGTGATACAGATGCAAAACTGATAACCCTATATCAGTAATGAAAGTATGCTCTGTGCTGTGCTACTGTTTTTAATAGGCAGAGACGTCGAGCTGTGAAAGAGCTGCAAGCAAAAAGTTCTGAGAAATTAAAAAGAAAATCTGGTGTCACTTTCCGGCCAGAGGATTCTATCATTAATAGTGATGATCCCGAAGTTGTTATGAAACCCAAGGTATAGAACAACTATAGATTCTTCCCTGATTTTTATATACACAGTTTGGTGTGTGTTTGTGGTTTATTTAGTCTGATTGCTGGAAGCCTCAAAAGTGAGTAGGATAATCTTTATGTCGCTTTTAAAAAAAAAAAAAGATTTATTTATTTGAAAGTCAGAATTACACAGAAAGAGGAGAGGCAGGGGTGGGGGGCTTCCATCCGCTGGTCACTCCTCAGTTGACTGAATGGCCAGAGATGCGCCGATCCGAACCCAGGAGCCAGGAGCTTCCTCCAGTTCTCCCATGTGGGTGCAGGAGCCCAAGGACTTGGGCCATCTTCTTCTGCTCTCCCAGGCCAGAGCAGAGAGATGGATCAGAAGTGGAGCAGCCAGGACTCAAACCAGCACCCACATGGAATGCCAGCACTGCAGGCGGTGGCTTTACCTGCTATGCCACAGCGCTGGCCCGTATGTCACTCAATACATAAGTTCCTGCTGCTTCCCTCCCCACCACATCAGGTGCATAGGGTTATTTAAAACATCTTGATGGCAAGTCCAAAACTGCAGTTTAGACCCTGCCTGTGTGGCTTTTCTCTATTTTAAATCATTTTGCTTTTTTCCTGTAACACTGTAATGCATGTAGTATGTTATTTGGGCTTCTGTTACAGTTTCACCTATCTCTGAGGTGCTTCTAGGATTCCCGAAGCATAGATTTGCGAAACCTGTGTTATGTAACCTGTATTTTAAATCAAAATTTTTAAGTGTTCTGCTAAATTTGGGTTGAGCTGTTTTTGTGATAACAGATTAAACAAAAGTACACTTTTGTTTACACAGATTTTTTAAAAGTTATGGCTCAAGAGCATGTGTGGAGGCACATAGTAAAAATATTCGTTGTTGTCTTTAAGTATTTATTTATTGTTATTTGAAAGTCAGAGTGATGCAGAACTAGAATGAGAGAGCCAGAGACAGAGATCATCATATGCTGGTTCATTCCCCAAAAGGTTGCAGCAGCTGAGGCCAGGCAGGCCAAAGTTAGGAGCCTGGAACTCTATGCTGATCTCACATGTGGGTGTCAAGAGCCCAGGAGGTTGGGCCATCTTCTGCTACCTTCCCAAGTGCATTACCAGGGAGATGCATCAGAAGCCAAAATAGCTAACACTGAATCCAGTACTCAAATGGGATGCAAGTGCTAAAAGTGGTGGCTTGGGGCTGGCGCCGTGGCTCACTTGGTTAATCCTCCACCTACGGTGCCAGCATCCCATAAGGGCACCAGGTTCTTGTCCTGGTTGCTCCTCTTCTGGTCCAGCTCTCTGCTGTGACCGGGAAGGCAGTGGAGGATGGCCCAGGTGCTTGGGCCCCTGCACCCGCATGGGAGACCAGGAGGAAGCACTTAGCTCCTGGCTTTGGATCAGCGTAGCTCCGGCCGTAGTGGCCATTTTGGGAGTGAACCAACGCAAGGAAGACCTTTCTCTCTCCCTCTCTCCCTCTCTCCCTCTCTCCCTCTCTCCCTCTCTCCCTCTCTCCCTCTCTCCCTCTCTCCCTCTCCCTCTCTCTCCCTCTCCCCCTCCCTCCCTCCCTCTCTCTCTCACTGTCTGTAACTCTACCTGTGAAAGTGAAAAAAAAAAGTGGTGGTTTAACCTGCTGCACCATTGTACCACCTACCCCTAAAATATTTGTTGACTCCATGAAAAATGGAGGTGCAGTAACTATTTGAGCATTGAAGAGACTCTGCAATGGAGAATTGCACATAACTTAATAACTTCACACTAAATTGTTAATACTCCTTTTTATTGCTGGACTTCTGAATTTTGTCTACTCTTATAAAGTTATTTTTTGATAAAAAAATTTGATAGGACAAATAATTATGCTCAGAAAAATAGAAACTGAACCTGTAGTTAAGGATTCAACAATCTTCCTAGCAAATGGTTTTTTTTTTTTTTTTTTCAAAAATAATAGATGTCTTTAGTTAATCATAGTTTATTCATTTAGGAACCACAGGAACATCTTGCTCCCCAGCCTTTGGAAGAGTTTGACATTCCTTTTGGTATGTATATGCATGAATATTGTAATAGCTAAGTTAAGAGGTAGAAGTCAGCTTCTAGAACTATATTCAGTATGAATTTCATATTATCTTTGACAAGATATGGGGGGTATGTGTGTTTATGTTTTGTTGTTGTTAAGTTTTATTTATATATTTATTTTGAGAGTCAGAGAAATACACACAAACATGGAGAGAAAGTCCCCATTTTCTGATTCCCTCCTCAAATGCTAACAGTCACTGTGGCTGGAGCCAGGAGTGTGGAACACAGTCCAGGTGTTCCATGCTGTGACAAGGACTCAGCTATATGGGCGGTCACCTTTGCCTCCAGGGTCTGCATTGGTGAGAAGTTGGAATTGGTGGGAGTTGGGGCCTGGAATCTAACCCAGGTCTCCCATATGGGATGTGGACATCTTAACCGCTAGGCCAAGTGTCCGTCCTGTGTGTGTTTCAAATCAGTGGTGACAGCCTGTGACCTGCAGGCCCAATCTGAACCACTACTTAAGTTTTTTCTTTTTAAGATTTATTTTTATTTATTTGAAAGAGTTACCGAGAGAGGTCTTCCCTCTGCTGGTTCACTCCCCAAATGGCCCCAACGGCTGGAGCCAAACTGAAGCCATTAGCCAGGAGCTTCTGGGTCTCCCATATGGATGCAGGGGCCCAAGCACTTGGGCCATCCTCTGTTGCTTTCCCAGGCACATCAGCGGGGAGGTGGATCAGAAGTGGAGCAGCCAGAACACAAACTGGTGTCCATATGGGATGCCAGGGCTTTAACCTGCTGTGCCACAGTGCCGGCCCTGCCTCGCCTCTCTTGAGTTAGGTACTGTGCTTCTGGTCTGTTGGCTTCTCAGTGATCTCTTCTAATGTTTTGTTGTATTTAAGAAATGCTGCAAGATGATGTTACTACTTCAGCTGGACTGCATTTCATGGCTTCTGTAAGAAAGAAAGCTATAGGAAGTCACGATGCAAGTACAAATACAGACCCAGGTAAAGTGCTCCCTTTTGAAAAACCCATATATTGTGACATATTTAATAGATCTAGTCTTTGTCTTTAAGGCAGTGACTTAAAAGGAACTTTTAATCATTTGTCACAGGTTCTTCTGCCCAACCCAGGTATATACTGTACAAACTGAATTTATGATAGCGTAAGTAAAAGGTAGTAAAGATATTTATTCAAAACAGACATGAATAGCAACCGAGGTCAGTAGAAATAATGCTTTGAATCAGGTATTTTATGCCATTCAATTATGTTGACTGGAATTCCTTGTGTAAGGTTGAGAGGCCTGGAGCTGGGGCTAGTCAAGATGGAGCTGGAAGAGGAATATAACAGGTGCAGGATGGGAGGAGCAAGTCCTATGACCGAAAGGAGAACAGATAGGAAGTGTTGGAGGATCCAGCATCTGGAATGTTGCCTGACAGGTTCCTCATTCAAGTAACCGTTATAAGTAGGATCTTGAATAGTGCTTTGCTGGTTATTTCATAGTTATCTTTTTTTTTCTTCAGACTTTTAGCAAATGGTTTAACTGTACAGAATTGTGTCTGTTTTTTAACTCTAATATTATCTTATTGTAAAAGACTATTGATTTTTTTTTAATTTTTTTTTTTTTATTTTTGACAGGCAGAGTGGACAGGGAGAGAGAGAGACAGAGAGAGAAAGGTCTTCCTTTGCCGTTGGTTCACCCTCCAATGGCCACCGCGGCCAGCGCATCGCGCTGATCCGATGGCAGGAGCCAGGTGCTTGTCCTGGTCTCCCATGTGGGTGCAGGGCCCAAGCACCTGGGCCATCCTCCACTGCACTCCCTGGCCACAGCAGAGCACTGGCCTGGAAGAGGGGCAACCAGGACAGAATCCGGCGCCCCGACCGGGACTAGAACCCGGTGTGCCAGCACCGCTAGGCGGAGGATTAGCCTATTGAGCCACGGCGCCAGCCACTATTGATATTATTTTAAAAATAATTTATATTCATTATTGAAAATTTGGATGATATAACAGACTATGAAGAAGATGAAGATTAACTGGATTAGCTGTAACCATACCCTTTGGCAATAACTTTTTTTTTTTTTTAAGATTTATTTATTTATTTGAAAGAGTTACACAGAGGAGAGGCAGAGAGAGAGAGAGAGGTATTCCATCCAATGGTTCACTCCCCAGCTGGCTGCAACAGCAAGAGCTGTGTTGATCTGAAGCCAGGAGCCAGGAGCTTCCTCTGGGTCTTCCATGCGGGTGCAGGGGCCCAAGGACCCGGGCCATCCTCCACTGCTCTCCCAGGCCAGCTGGATCAGAAGTGGAGCAGCTGGGTCTCGAACTGGCGCCTATATTGGATGCCGGCGCTTCAGGCCAGGGCGTTAACCCGCTGCACCACAGCGCTGGCCCTGGCAATAACATTTTTTTTTTTAGAGATTTACTTATTTATTTGAAAGTCACAGTTACACAGAAAGAGAGAGAGAGAGAGAAGAGAGAGAGGTCTTCCATCCTATGGTTCACTCCCCAATTGGCCGCAACGGCTGGAGCTGCGCCAATCCGAAGCCAGGAGCCAGGAGCTTCTTCCAGGTCTCCCATGCAGATGCAGGGGCCCAAGAACTTGGGCCGTCTTTTACTGCCTTCTGAGGCCGTAGTAGAGAGCTGGATCAGAAATGGAGAAGCCAGATCTCAAACCTGCGTCCGTATGGGATGCCGACACTTCAGGCCAGGTTGTTACCCTGCTGTGCCATAGCGCCATTCCTGGCAATAACATTTTTAAAAAGATGTATTGAAAGGCAGAGTGTCAGAAAGAGGGAGAGACACAGAGAGTGTGTGCTAGTTTGCTTCCCGAATGCCTGCAATAGCCAGGGTTGGGCCATGCTGAAGCCAGTAGCCAGAAACTCCATCTTCATCTCTTATGTGGTGGCAGAGACCCAAGCACTTGGGTGAACATCTGCCTTCTCAGGCACATTAGCAGGAAGTTGGATTGAAAGCAGCATAGCTAGGACTTTTTGTTTAAGATTTATTTACTTGAGGGGCTAGCACTATGGTATAGTAGGTTAAGCCACTCTCTGCCTGTGGTGCCGGCATCCCATCTGGGCACAGATTCATGTCTTGACTGCTCCTCTTCCAATCCAGCTCCCCTCAGGTCCAGCTCTGGCCTGCAAAAGCAGGATAAGATGACCCAAATGCTTAAGCCCCTGAACCCAAGTGGGAGACCCAGAAGAAGCTTCTGGCTCCTGGCTTCAGATTAGCCCTATTCTGGCCTCTGTGACCTTGTGGAGAGTGAACCAGTGGATGGAAGACCTCTCTGTCTTTCCATCTCTCTGTCTGTAACTCTCCTGCTCAAATAAATAAATAGGTCTTTAAAAAATTTTATTTGAAAAGTATAGTTACAGAGAGGGAGGGAGAGAGAGAGATCTTCCATCCTCTGGTTCACTCCCCAAATGGCCGCAACAGCCGACGCTGGGCCAGGCGGAAGCCAGGAACTTAATCTGAGTCTCCCATGTGAGTGCAGGGACCTAAGGACTGGGCCATCTTCCACTGCTTTCCCAGGTGTGGTAGCAGGAAGCTGAACTGGAATTGGAGCAGCTGGGAACCAGTGCCCATCTGGCACCGATAAGGGATGCCAGTGTTGCAGTGGTGGCTTCGTCCACTGCACCACAGCACTGTCCCCAGCCAATGACAGTTTGATAAAATATATACCATAAGTTCCTCCTTTACTATCTGAACCCTCATTGTCTAGGTATTGCTCTCTTCTGTAGTTTTCTCCTGAGAATCTAACCCACGTAAGTCCCCATGTTTGTTTTTGTCCAGGTCCTTTGAACATTCTCCTTTATAATTTCTTTCTCTCTTTAATATTCAGTTTATTTATTTGAAAGTGTAACAGAGACCAAAAACTGTACCTATGAAATTTACATTTATTAAGTAAAAGCTTTAAAAAAAAAAGTGAAAGAGGAAAAAAAAAAAAAAGAGTCACAGAGAGAGGGAGAGACAGAGATCTTCCATCTACTGCTGGTTCATTGCCCAAATGACTGCAACAGCAGGGGCTAGTCCAGGCAGAAGCTGGGAGCCTGGCATTCCTTCTGAGTCTCCCACATTGGTGGCAAGGTCCCATGCATTTGGGCCATCTTCTGCTGCTTTCCCAGGTACATTCCAGGGGCTTGGATCAGAAGTGGAGCAGCTAGGATCGAACATCCCATCTCATATGGGATGCTGGCATGACAGGCCATGGGTTACCCTGTTGTGCCACAGTGCCAGCTCCTAGAGTATATGTTACTCTTTAACATACCCATATAAATGGATACACATGGTTTTGCACCAAAATAAACTTCAATTTAATTCAATTTTCCACAAACTTTGGAACTTCCTGAGTTATTTCATGTTAGTATACTTACAACATCATGCAAACTTGCTGCAGTGTTGAAGGTGATTTGTATGTGGTATGTTCACTGTTATTGCATATTACTAGTGAATTAACTGGATGTTATTGAAGAAGTGATGTTTAAAATGCTGTACAGTATGTAGGTTTCCTTGATATGTTGTTATTTAGGTGTTTAGAGTTATGTAAAGATATCTGGGAAAATTAGATGCTCTGGGACACCTTTGTTCCCCATTGAAATAATGTAATAATGTCTCGCTGCTTGAAAACTTTCCGGCACAGTTCTAGGAGTGGATTAAGTTTGAGTAACAGGAAGTGCTTTTATTTTGTACTCTTCTCATTTCACTTTGGTTTCTCCTTACATTGAGTATTTCCCTGTGTCATCAAAAAAGAACTTTGTAAGCATATTCCTTTTTTTCAGCTGTGTCATAAAGTAAAAGGATACCTCAAAAAGTTTGGAAAAAATGTAATGAAAAGATAAGTTTATTTTCTTGCTAAAAATTTTTGAAATCCATGCATAGTTTTTTCATAGTGTGCATTTCCAAAGAACTTTTTGATTCTTGGATTTCAAATTTTTTTGGCACAAAGATAAACTTATCTTTTTTGTTCCATTTTTTGTGGACATTTTGAAGCACCCTTGTATTAAACTGCATTCAGCAGTTTCCAGTTTTTTCTCCTATAAATAATTCTTTGGGAAATATCTTCTTGCCTAAGAGCCTTTGTTTGTCATTGATTTAGGTTTTTTTTTTTTTGTTTTTTTTTTTTTTTTTTACTTTGCCAATCTGGTAGGTCAAAAAGTATTATTTTAATTTGTGTTTTCTTTTTTTCAACTATCAATTCCCAACTTGACTCTCACTGGGATTAAACATGACAATAGGTCTGATCTGATTTCATCATCATTTAAAAAAAATCATCTATTATTTTTCACTTTATGTTTCTGTGTGGGAACAAACTGTTGAAATCCTTACTTAAGGTATACTAAGCTGATCTTCTGTATACTAAGATAATCGAAAATGAATCTTGATGTGAATGGAAGGGGAGAGGGAGTGGGAAAGGGGAGGGTGGTGGGTGGGAGGGACGGTATGGGGGGGAAAGCCATTGTAACCCATGAGACGTACTTTGGAAATTTATATTCATTAAATAAAAGAAAAAAAAAATAAAAAAAAAAAATTTGTGTTTTCTTTTTTTCTGAATGAGGTTGAACATGTGTAAGATGTTTTTAGTGTAAATGAATAAAACATGCAAGTGTTTTTATCTGGGCATGTCTTTGAGCAAGCCTTGGAGGGTCTTTGCCTTAGTGCTGGCTTGTCTCCTAAAGCTGGCCAGCTGCTTGGTAGTAGGTGTTTGTTACTCATTCAGGTAAAAGGCCCAGCATGTAAGTAGAAGGAACATCTGATTTTATTTTATTTTAAAATCAAATTGTTGTCAGTCCACAGTTCTGCCACCATTTGTGCAAATCATATGATTATCTGTATTCATATATTTTATATTCCTTGTGTTTTCAAAATTCTTCCTGTGTTTTTTCTTATGGCCTCAAAGTTCCTAATTTATTACAAGACAAGGAAGCTACTTCTCAACTAGCTGTTTCTGAATGTGGAAAAAATCAACAAATCATTTCTTCCTCTCCAGGTATGATTTGTTTCTTTTTTTTTCTGAGAACAGTGACTTGTAAATATTATGTGTGCAGAATGCCATGTTAAGAGTCACCATCACCCATGAGAAATCTACCTTAGCAGGAAACGGGTCAGAAGTTGGACCTTGGCATGAAAGCACTGTAAAATGTGGGACACAGACTTGCGTTTTAACCACTGTGCTAAATACCTGCCCCCTTTTGTGAAATAGTTGAACTTTATTTTTATTTTTTATTTTTATTTTTTTATTTTTTTTTGACAGGCAGAGTGGACAGTGAGAGAGAGAGACAGAGAAAGGTCTTCCTTTGCCGTTGGTTCACCCTCCAATGGCCGCCGCAGCCGGCGCGCTGCGGCCGGTGCACCGTGCTGATCCGATGGCAGGAGCCAGGAGCCAGGTGCTTTTCCTGGTCTCCCATGGGGTGCAGGGCCCAAGCACCTGGGCCATCCTCCACTGCACTCTCTGGCCACAGCAGAGAGCTGGCCTGGAAGAGGGGCAACCAGGACAGAATCCGGCGCCTCGACCGGGACTAGAACCCAGTGTGCCGGCGCCGCTAGGCGGAGGATTAGCCTAGTGAGCCGCGGTGCCGGCCGAAATAGTTGAACTTTAAAAAGCAGAATTCAGCTATAGACTCTGAATATTCTAAAAACCACTGAATATTTCTGTTTTTTTTTTTTTTAATTATTTATTTGAAAGGCAGAATTACAGAGAGAAAGAGAGGCAGAGAGATAGATCTTCCATCTGCTGGTTCATCCCCAAATGGCCACAACAGCGGGGCCTGGGCCAAGCCAAAGCCAGGAGCCAGGAGCTTCATCGTGGTCCCTGATATGTGTGCAGAGGCCCAAGCACTTGGGCCATCTTCCATTGCTTTTCCAGGCACATTAGCAGGGAGCTGCATCAGAAGTAGAGCAGCTGGGTCTTCAGCCAGCGCTCATACGGGATGCTGGCCCTGCAGGTGGCAGCTTTACACCACAACACCGGCCCCTGAATATTTTTTAAAAAGTTTTTTTTAATTTGAAAGAGATAGACCTTTAATTCACTGGTTCACTCCCCAAACGCCTGCAGCTGCTGGAGCTAGCCCAGGCCAAAGCTAGGACCTAGGAACCCAATACAGGGTGGCGGGGACCCAACCATTTGAACCATCAGATGCCGACTTACAAGGTATGCATTAGCTGGAAGCTGGCATTGGGACAGAACCGTGACTCAGAGCTGGGCAGTTTAATATGGGGTGCAGCTGGCTTCTTAACTGTTCCAAATGCCTGAGAGTACCCTTTTGAAGAGTGTGAATTATAACTCACTCAGTAAAGCTGTTACCCCAGCAAATGGGAAACTTAAAATTTTAAACAATTGGTAATATGTTAATTTCTTAAGATCTGGGTTTAGTGGGAAAAGTAGAAAGACATGATTCAGTGTATCTATCATGGAAACAGGAAATTACAGTATTTTTTGATGTTATTGGGTAATTTATTCTGGTGAGTCATTCACCTAAGTGTGATAAGTAAGAAAATAAAATCACCTCTCCTCCTGTACTCTGACAACACAGATCACTTCTGACACCTGATAGACATGTGAGGTGTCTTCCACATATCAGACCACCAATTTTGCATCATTGGACAGCAGCTGGAGAATGCTGATCGAATTCAGTTTTCATACTATTTGGAAATAGGGTCAGATCCCACAGATTGAGGGGTTGGGCCCCAAGAATGCCCCCTACTTCAGATGCCAGTCGCAAACCTCAGGTGAAACACATAGCATAGGCTTACCAGTTTATTGTAAAGGATATTTCAAAGGGTACGAATGAAGAGCTGCAGAGGGCAAGTAGGAGGGAAGGAAAGCAGAGTTCCATGCCTCTCTAGGTGCTGTGCTGCAGGAGCTGCCGCGTGTCAGCTCTTGGAACCCTGTCCGTTTGGTTTGGTTTGGTTTTAAAGATTTATTTGAAAGGCAGAGTGACAGGGAGAGAGACAGAGAGAGATCTTCCATTCACTGGTTTATTCCCCAGCTGGCCACAATGGCTGGGGCTGGGATAGGCTGACTCCAGGAGCTGGGAACTCCATCTGGGTCTCCCATGTACGTAGGCCATCTTCCACTGCTGTCCTGGGTGCATCAGTAGGGAGCTGGATTGGAAGCAGATCAGCTTGGACTCTTGGACTCTAATGGGCAGCATCACAGGTGGCGCCGTACCACCAGCCCCTGTCCTACTGAGTTTTATATGGAGACTTCGTTGCATAAGCATGATGCTGATAGACTAGGCGGGGAAAACCAGCAAGGCGTGTCTGTTTCAGCCACCTCCTGGACCCTTTGTGTAGTGTTTGTTTTTCCAGAGTATGGGACATGATCTAATTTGAAGTAAGAGGGTCTTATCTATCAGAGGGTGTAGATCAGAGAGAGGCAGGGAAGAAAAAAGTTCCTGTGACCCACCTTGGGGAAGAAAGTTATGAGCCAGAAACCATGGATAAAAAAACAAAAATGAGAAAAGCAACAGACTATGTTGAATTATGAAGTACTCTAGAGAATAAATTGCCCTTAGAATAGAATAGAATTTGCTTTATTTGTAAATATGAAGCTTCTACTTAGATTTCCCAGAAATATATTTTACACAGTTTGATGTTAATTTGGTGTAGTTAATTATTTTGAGCTATTTACAGACATATTTTACATTCTTTATTTTTGTTTCTTTAATTTCTAGAACATCAGCCTTCGAAAGTTCCTCAGCAGTTGGTTCCAGATGTATGTCTAAACCTCAGACGTTCCACAGAAATACCAGAGACAGCTTTGTCACCTTCAGCACTTCATACGGTAACGAGTTTGGTTTGTGTTTTATTCAGAAATCAGTCTAGTTTTATGCTAAAATGTGTAGTGATCATCCTGACATCATTCGACTGAATAGGTGAAATGAGGCTAAAAACATGTTATATATGTAGCTTTGTAGGAAAGGTCAAAGCACTATTATGTTCCCAAAATTTAGGAAACTAAGACTAATAATGTACTTCCATAGCTTTCACTAAGTTAGGCCACATACAAGCTTTTCTTACCTTGTTATTAATAAGAATGAAGAATTAAACCTTATTTTGTGGAGTAGCCATGTGGAAGAAAAGGAATGTAATCTTTTTTTTTTTTTTATTACTACGTGTCTTGACTCAGACTGGCCACTCTTACATAAAGGTGATTGACATTCAAGCTGATGATCTCCAGGAATCACCTGTTGTGGAAGAGTCTCCCCCTGACAGTGGTAGCAGAGCGCAGAGCGACCACAGGGAAGCCCCATCATCTGCAGAGTTACATTATCTTGCTGCTTCAGTTACTAATTCTGTTCCCCCACACAAGTTTAACAGTCAAGGTAATAATTTTTTTCCTCCGTTTTAAATAAGTAGCTTTTGAAAAATTCTTTAATACAGCATTGTTACTCTGCTTGCATCTGTATTCCCACTGTCATTTTGGATGTTTATGTTCACGATGATCAATGTTCTGTTAATCTTCTAATTACCTTATTTAGAATCTTTTTATGCCTTTCATATTCTTGATAGACTGTGCCAGTTCTGCTGTGGATTTACCTAAACCTGCTAAAGGGACTCTAGCCTGTCTGGAAGGAAAAGGTTGGAGAGCAGACATTTCAGAAGTGGAGGAGCCTGAAGTTTGCTCACCTGTGCCACCAGTCAGGCTGCAGGATAGAGGTGAATGGCCAAGATAACCCTCCCTGTCCCCTGAATTACTATCATATTATAAATAAGCACTGGTCAGCGTTGTGTCATGGTGAGCCAAGCTGCCACCAGCAATGCCAGGATCAGAGTGCTAGTTCAAGTTTTGGCTGTTCTGCTTCCAATCTGGCTCCCCGCTGATGTGCCTAGGAGGGCCAAAGAGGATGGCTGAAGTGTAAGAGTTCATTGGTGTCTTGATGTTAACAAGGAACTACAGCCACCTGTGCTGTAGACCCAGATGGCGCTTTGGGCTTCACCAGCTGAGGGAGGGTTGCGCACTTTCTATTTCCCTCCCCTTTATCTTCCCCTCCGTCTGTTTCTATCACTCTGCCTTTCACGTATAGAAATCAATCTTTAGAAAATAAAAAGAGATAAGTACTGACCACTGTAAAAGAAATGAGAGAAAGGCTAGTCCTTTGCCAAGGAGAGTGGGCAGGTAATACAGGATAGAAATAACTGCAAAGCTTGTACTCATGGATGTTTTGTAAGGAGGCCACAGATCTATGTCTGCATGTTTTTTTTTCTCACGTGTTCTGTAAGAGTTCATTGGTGTCTTGATGTTAACAAGGAACTCCAGAGCCAGTGTTTTTGCACAGTGCTTAGGGTGCCATTTGAGACATCTGCATCCGTAGTGCAGTGCCTGGATTTGAGTCTCAGCTCCTTTGTTTCTGATGCAAATTCCTGCTGATGCAGACCCTGGGAGGCAGCAGATTAAGTTTAAGTAGTTAAGTCCCTGTCTCACATATGGAAGTCCTATACTGAGTTCTGGGCTCCTGGCTTTGGCCTGGCTCAGCTCTGACTGTTAGGGGCAATTTGGGAGTGAACCAGTGCGTGGAAAATCTCTGTCTCTGTCTTTGTCTATCCCTCTTTGCCTTTCATATAAAGTAAAAATAAACATTTTCTAAAATGGGAATTCTCATATTTACAAAGAAAACTCTAAATTGGCACGTTGAAAATAAACAGGTATGGTAACCAGCAATGCTTTTCCAGTAAAATATTCAGTGTTATAATAAATTAGGTTGCATTGTGTCGCTCCCCCTCTTCGTGGAGGAGCGACACTGAACCCTGCCTAGGCTTCATATCCGAGTCACGGCACCATTATGTCGCTCCCCCTCTTCGTGGAGGAATGACACTAAGCCCTGCCTAGGCTTCATATCCGAGTCACGGCACCATTATGTCGCTCCCCCTCTTCGTGGAGGAGCAACACTAAACCCTGCGCTGTTCTTTTGTCTGCTCGGCCCTCCCCGGGTTTGCTGCTGGTTCTTCCCTGGTTGGCTACTATCCCTTCCACCTCCGTGGAAGGGCAGTTCCCCCTGGCCACATTCCCCACTTCCGCAGGGGAGCAGCACACCGCTGGCCGGCTCTCTCGGGGGCTGCACAGGTGTTCCCCTTAGATGTTCCCGGTGCATGCCGTCTCTCTCCTCCTTTATAGTCCTCCTCTGCCAATCCCAACTCGGCTGCCCACATGCCGAGTACGCTGCTCTCCTCCAATCAGGAGCAAGTCCTACAGTTTATTGGTTGAACTGGAGGCAGCTGTGTAGAAGCTGTTTTCTCTCCTAGCGCCATATTGTGGGAGAGCAGGTGCATAGAATAAGTCTTAATTCCAGTAACAGTCTAGTCCGAGCTGCTCCCCACAGATCCCCCTTTCTTTTTATTTTTTGGCGTTGATACGCGCCTGTCTTCGGTGTCCCGCGGCACACACTCTACTCTACTTGCTAGAGTTGCCACAGGTTCTTACAAGTCCTATCAATCAGGCAAACCGAATCCGGGTCCTCTCTTCGCCATGTTGTGAGGAGGTTTTTAGGCGCTGATGTGTGCCTGTGTTCGGTGACCTGCGGCTCATACTCTGGTCGAGCCGCCTGCTGGTGCTTACCGCCTTAATCAGGCAGACCGAATCCAAGCTTTCTCATTGCCATGTTGTGGGGTGACTTATTGGTGTTGATTCGTGCCTATCTTCGGTGACCTGCAGCTCACACTCTGGTCGAGCTGCCTGCTGGTGCTTACCGCCCTAATCAGGCAGACCGAATCCAAGCTTTCTCATTGCCATGTTGTGGGGAGGCCTTATTGATGTTAATTCGTGCCTGTCTTCGGTGACCTGCGGCGCATAAGCTGCTAGCCGCCCGCAGGTGCTTATCGTCCTAATCAGGCAGACCGAATCCAAGCTTTCTCATTGCCATGTTGAGGGGAGGCCTTTCTATTTCTCTATTTCTCTATCTCCGGGCATTCCTATTTCTCCCATTTTACTTCTATCTTCCAGCATTCCTATTTCTCTCATTTTACTTCTAAACTTCTGTTTCTCTTATCCCTGCAGCTTCCCGGCGCCCGCCCCGAGGCTGCTTTTCGGCGGCTTCCCGGCTGAGCCGCTTCAGCCCGCTTCTCTCATCTGCGCGGCTTCTCGGCTCTGCGCGGCTCGGCTTTGCGCGCACACTCCGCGGTCTCCGCGCTAGCCCCGCGTTCCCTATCTATTCACGCCCCGTGCTCTCTCTGCACGCGGCGGCTTCCAGGAGTCACACAGCGTAGCTTACGTCTCCGCCACTAGCATTCAATCCAAGTTCCCCGGGCTAACCTGGCGAATTCAACCCAGCTCACGTCTCTGCGCCTTTCGGTCTGGCTTCCCGTCCTTTGCTCCTCAGGCTAATCTGACGGATTCCAACCTAGCTCATACATCTCCGCTTCTGGTTTTAACTTTTCGCCCCCTATTCCCGGGCTAACTTGAGAATCCCAAAGTGGCTTTCGTTTCCGCCTCGGCCTGCCCCCTGCGGCTTCAATTTCCCTAACATTTTTCTCTACCCGGTATGTTTCCCCAAGCTTTCCTCCAACAATACTCCTCCCTCATTTCTCCTGGCCTCTCCCCACAGTCCGCATCCAAGTCTGTTTGTTCTAGCTTTCACTTTCGCTTTCGACCTTAGAGATTTCTCCCAGCTTCCCCCCGTAGTCCGTATCTGAGTCTATGCCTAGGCTTTCAATAACTTCTTCTGGCACCTTTTTCGTCCGGCTTTTCCCTAGGCTGTTTGCTAGTCTCTCTCTCCGATATTTTCCCTAGGCTGTTTGCTAGTCTCTCTCTCCGATATTTTCCCAGTTCTTCCCGTTTCTTCCCTCCTAAGTTTGCTATCTGAGTCACGGCACCATTATGTCGCTCCCCCTCTTCATGGAGGAACGACACTAAGCCCTGCCTAGGCTTCATATCCGAGTCACGGCACCATTATGTCGCTCCCCCTCTTCGTGGAGGAGCAGCACTAAACCCTGCGCTGTTCTTTCGTCTGCTCGGCCCTCCCCGGGTTTGCTGCTGGTTCTTCCCGGGTTGGCTACTGTCCCTTCCACCTCCGTGGAAGGGCAGTTCCCCCTGGCCACATTCCCCACTTCCGCAGGGGAGCGGCACACTGCCGGCCGGCTCTCTCGGGGGCTGCACAGGTGTTCCCCTTAGATGTTCCCCTTAGATGTTCCCGGTGCATGCCGTCTCTCTCCTCCTTTATAGTCCTCCTCTGCCAATCCCAACTCGGCTGCCCACACGCCAAGTACGCTGCTCTCCTCCAATCAGGAGCAAGTCCTACAGTTTATTGGTTGAACTGGAGGCAGCTGTGTAGAAGCTGTTTTCTCTCCTAGCGCCATATTGTGGGAGAGCAGGTGCATAGAATAAGTCTTAATTCCAGTAACAGTCTAGTCCGAGCTGCTCCCCACAGCATTGTGATAAATTTTTCTAAGATTTAGTAAGAATACTTCTCACCGACCCTAAGTTACTATACCCTGTAGTAATTAATCCAGCATGTAGTCAGACTTACTGCAACAAAGAACTGATGTCTTTACTGGGTTCCACAGCTGTTGGGCAGCGTGAAGCCTGCTTTGTGATTGTGAGATTCTTGGTACAGAATCTGGTAATGCCTGGTCCTTGCCAGTAGCCGACGGATACTCAGGAGATAGGAGGAGCAAGGAAGAAATGGGTGGGGGGAGCTCCTAACTTGGGACGTATTCGAGCACATGTAATACAAACCACATGCCAAGGTTTGGTTTGGTTTGTTTTTGAAGATTTATTTATGTTTATTTTTAAAGATTTATTTATTGGAAAAGTTAGAGAGAGAGGAGAAAGAGAGTTCTTCCATCCACTGGTTCATGCCCCAGATGGCTGCAATAGCCAGGACTGGGCCAGGCTGAAGCCAGGAGTCTGGAGCTTCCTCCAGGTCTCCCACAAGGGTACAGGGGCCCAAGGATGTGTGCTATCTTTCGTTGCTTTCCTATTTGCATTAGTAGGGAGCTGGATTGGAAGTGGAGCAGCCAGCACTTGAACCAGTGCCCATAAGGGATACTGGCACTGCATGCAGTGGCTTACCATGCTGTGCCAAAGCACTAGCCCCCAAGTTTTATGTATTTTATTTGAAAGGCAGAGTTAACAGAGAAGGGAGGTAGAGGAGAGACATCTTAACATCTGCTGGTTCACTCCCTAAATGGCTGCTATGGCTAGGAGTGGGCCAAGCCAAAGCCAGGAGCCTGGTGCTTCATATGGGTCTCCAGCCTGGCTGGCAGGAGCCTAAGTCCTTAAGCCATGGTTTACTGCATTTCCAGGGGCATATCAGGGAGCTGAATTGGAAGTGGAGCAGCTGGGACTCCAAATTGGTGCTTATATAGGATGCTGGCATTATAGGCAGCAGCTTAACCTGCTGCACTATAACTCTGACTCCTAGGTGCAGTGTTTCAGGTTTTGAAACTTTGATTTTCTCCGACCTGTTCTGGGGCTGCCAGAGTCCACAGTGGTGGAGGGAAATGAGCCAGTGGTCTTTCAGGCTGGAAAAATGTGTAGTAAAGTGGAAGACTTGGCTTTTAGACTTAAATTGATATACTTGAATTTCCATGCTGCCTCTGTCAGTGAATTGCTTTTGGGCTTTTTTTTTTTTTTTTTTAACAAATAAATTAACTTTATCTGATTTTCTCTTGTGTGTCTGTGGGATTCAGTCTGATAGGATTGTTAAAATGTACATCTAACCAAGTATCTGTGGCTACTGAAGTATCTCATTGGTTTCCCTTTATACCAGCCAACTTTGGAAAGTTGAAATGGGACAGATACCTAGGTGAAACCTTAAAGGCAAGTATGATTTAGAGAGAGAAAGGGCATTTGGACTGAGAGAAGAGATTGTGTGATGACTCAGATTTGATGGAGTCTACTGAATTTGAGAAAATTAAAGTTGAGTATGTTTGGAGTCAGATAAAGTGTTTGCTAAATGAAGTGGCACAAGGTGAAGCTGGAGTGGAAGACTGGAAAGATTATGTGTGCCTGTGCCTTTTTTGTCATGCTAAGGCATTTGGACTTTAAGGTAAAGGCATTGGAGATGCTCTGAAGGGCTTAGGGGCAGAAAAGGAACCGTATTGCATTTTTGGGTTTAAAAATTTTTTATGTATTTTATTTTTTTAAAGATTTACTTATTTACTTGAAAGAGTTACAAAGAGAGAGGAGAGTCAGAGAGAGAGAAAGGTCTTCATCTGCTGGTTCACTCCCCAATTGGCTGCAATGGCCGAAGCTATGCTGATCTGAAGCCAGGAGCCAGGAGCTTCTTTCTGGTCTCCCATACAGGTACAGGGGCCCAAGCACTTGGGCCATCTTCCACTGCTTTTCCAGGCCACAGCAGAGAGCTGGATTGGAAGTGAAGCAGCCGGGACTTGAACCGGTGCCCGTATGGGATGCTGGCACTGCAGGCGGTGGCTTTATCTACTACGCCACAGCACCAGCCCCATGTAATTTTATTTGAAAGGAAGAGTCAGAGAGAGAAACAGTGGTTCACTCTTCAAATGTCCATAGCAGCCCAGGCTGGGCCAGGAGGAAACCTGGGAGACAGGAACTTTAATCTTGATCTGCTGTGTGGATGGCAGGGACCCATTTACTGGAGCTATCAGCTGCTTCCCAAAGTGTGCATTAACAGAAAGATGAAATTGGAAATAGAGGCTGGATTCAACCCCAGGCTCTCCGATATGGGATGTGGGCACCCCAAGCAGTGCTAGTGCCTATCCCCTCAATCATTTGTGATCTTCTGTTGACATTTAGATCTGCCCAAACCAGAGTTCCAATTCAAAGAACAGAGCACGGAGTCGGACTCTATGGAAGATTATCTGCTGGGGAGACTCCTGCAGGACGTCTCTGCACCTCGCCCTGCTCCAGGCCCTGCCGCTTGCCGCCTGGAACATCTCACCTCTAAGCTGCAGGAGATTGACCGACAGCTGCTAGCAGTGCAGAACATCGCTGGAAGCATAGAGCAGGATTTCCCCAGCCCTGAAATGCTGAACCTGCCTAGTAACAAGGTAGAGTCTCTTCATTTTTCTGTTCTTTACTGAGTTGTTAAACATTTATAGTGTAGTACAACTGTAGGCACTTGATTTTTCTTTTTTTTTTTTCTTTTCTTTTCTTTTTTTTTTTAGCTTTAGTTGAAAGGCAGAGTTACAGAGAGGTGGGGGGGCAGAGAGAAAGAGAGAAAAAGAGAATGAGAGAATCTTCCATCTGCTGGTTCACTCAGATGGTTACAGAGGCTAGAGCTATACTGATCCCAAGCCAGGAGCCAGGAGCTTCCTCTGGGTCTCCCATGCGGGCACAGGGGCCCAAGGACTTGGGCCATCTTCTACTACTTTCCCAGGCCATAGCAGAGAGCTGGATCAGAAGTGGAGCAGCTGGGACTTGAACTGCTGCCTATATGGGATGCCGGCACAGCAGGTGGTGCTTTTACCTGCTATGCCACAGCACTGGCCCCTTGGTTTTTTAAATAATTGGAGATTTGGTTTCTACAAGCTAGAGTTTCTCAACCTCAGCTCTGTTCACGTTTGGGCCAGATAATTATTTGTTGTAGAAGTGTCCCGTGCAATGTAGGATATTTGGTATCATCCCTTGTTTTTACCAAATGCCAGTGGCTCCCCTACCCCATCAGAAATGTCTCCAGACATTGCTAAATGTCCTAGGGGGCCAAAGTCACATCTGGTTGAGAACCACACTCCCTTAAGCTTCTAAGAATTGAGCCTGTGCTTCATACCAGAAAAGGTATACATGAATTGGGGCCAGTGCTGTGACGTAGTAGATTAAGCATCCACGTGTGGTGTCAACATCCCGTTTGGGTGCCAGTTTGAATCCTGGCTGCTCCACTTCCAAATCCAAATCCCTGCTGATGGCCTGGGAAAGCAGTAGAAGATGGTCCAAGTGCTTGGGCCCCTGCACCATGTGGGAGACTTAGAAGAAGCTCCTGGCTTCAGATCTGCTCAGCTCTAGCCATTGCTGCCATCTGGGGAGTGAGCCAGCAGATGGAAGACCTCTCTTTCTGTCTCTTCCTTGCTTTGTCTGTGGCTCTGCCTCTCAAGTAAATAAATAAATATTAAGGAAAAAAAAAAAAAAAAGAAGAAGAAAGAAATGCAGGAATTATAAAACCAGAATGTGATTTCAAAGAATCCTGGCTTATAAATTGTTTTCTTCTGAAAGATGCTTACTTTTTATTTATGTTCAAAGGGTTTGAAACTTTGTTTGAAAGAGCTCCCATGTGCTTGTGTACTAGCCAGATACCCATGGCAGCTGGGTCTGGCTTGGGCCGGACTAGGACGGGTCAAAGCCAGGAACTGGGAAGCTCAATCCAGGCAGAGACCCGACTACTGGAGCCATCACCTACTGCCTGCCAGGCTCTGTGCTAGTTGGAAGCTGCAGTTATGAGCTGAAGCCAGGAACTGAACCCAGACCTTCTGATACTGGACACAGGCATCTGAACCACTAGGCTAAACACCTGCCCCTGAAAGATTTTTATAACTTCACAAATGTTTTTATCCTTATCTTTTGAATTCTTCACAGTTTCTCTGAAATACTTCATGTAGGAGGATAGTAATCAGTTCCTTAGAGGCTTTCTATAATATTATCTAGGACTAATATTATTATGTTTTTTTTTTGGTTATTTTGATTTTATTTATTTTTTTTTTAAATCTTTTTTTTTATTTTTATTATTTTATTTATTTATTTTTTTGACAGGCAGAGTGGACACTGAGAGAGAGACAGAGAGAAAGGTCTTCCTTTGCCGTTGGTTCACCTCCAATGGCCGCCGCGGCCGGCGCACCGCGCTGATCCGATGGCAGGAGCCAGGAGCCAGGTGCTTTTCCTGGTCTCCCATGGGGTGCAGGGCCCAAGCACTTGGGCCATCCTCCACTGCACTCCCTGGCCACAGCAGAGAGCTGGCCTGGAAGAGGGGCAACCGGGACAGAATCCAGCGCCCCGACCGGGACTAGAACCCGGTGTGCCGGCGCCGCTAGGCAGAGGATTAGCCTAGTGAGCCGTGGCGCTGGCTTTTGATTTTATTTTTTAACTCGGGCTTAGAACTATCATATCAAAATGAATGTTAGCTGTCAAAGTAGTCTATGGAATGTCCTTCATAAAACCTTTTCCTCCCCTTTCTGAGCTAGTTCAGTAAGCACAGCTAAAGCCAGAGGCTTCATTTATTTCCAATTCTAATCTTGATTCTGGCTTGCTCACCCTTGCATTCATTCACTTCAACATTTATTGAGTATCTACTACATGCTAGGCCTGCTACTAAGTTCTGGGGATGGAAAGTCTAGTAAGGCAGAGTACCTACTTACTCTGGGGAGCTTGGAATCTAACAGAAGGTATTGAATCTGTACACAAAGAAAACATGAAGCAGGTGAGGATACCGAGGTGCGCCTGGCCTGCTGTGAGAAAAAGCAGAAAGATGCCACACGGTGGGAGGTGTTGGGGAGTGTCTCAGCATTACCTGGAGGTAGAGGCTGGTGGATCTGGCTCTGCGACTGTAGCAGTAGACAAAGGTGGGAGATAGATAAGAAGCATTGTTGGCCGTGTCCAGTGGCTGGGATTTCATCCTGCAAGCAGGCAGTGGGGATCACTGCAGAGCTTTCGGCAGTAAAGTGATGTGATCACACTTGCTGGCATAGTGTGGAGGGTAGATTGGAAAGGCTAAGACCGGGAACAGGGGGGCCAGTTGTTATCACTGGGGTTCCAGACCTTGCTGCTCATTAGAATCATCTTTGAAACTTGTTATAAATGCAAACTCCTGGGCCCTGGTTCCCTGAGAATCTGATCTTTAAGTAAGTCTGGGATAGAGCTCAGGAATCTTTATTATTAACAAGCTTTACAAATGATCCCTGTGCTGCTAGTTTTATGTGAGGTCCACTGGTAAGTTTTCAGTGGATCCCAAACACCTAAGGTATGCAATAGTGATACAGGTAAACCTTCCCTAGAGGGAGAAGCTATCAGGAGTTAGCTATCGGCTAAGGCACGTGAAGAAGAGAACAGATTCGCAGTGGTGTCCAGGTCCCAGTCTGGGTGCACGCTGGGGCCACTTTCTAAACTCAGGTAGAGGAAGCGCTCGTGTGTGTTTATGTACGCATGAGTTTGGGGAGGGACGCACATGTGAAACATGAGGTGCTGTGAGATTGTAGGTATTGGATATATGCTCCTGGAGCTGAGAAGTTAGGTGTGGGCTGGAGGTTCAGATGGTGGAATCACTAGTTAGGAGAGTTCAGATCGTAGGAGAGAGCAGACGGTGGCACAGGAGAGATTCCAGGCACACTCCTTTTTAAGGATGAGGATTCAACATGCAGGCCTGAGAACAGCCCAGGGTTGTAAGAGATCCAGGAGAAAGCTGGCCAGTGGAGGCGTTTGAAGAAGGAGCTCTCACGGATCTGCTGCGTTAGACATTGCACAGTTGTGTCATGATCACCCTGCTAGCTCTTCTGGTAATGTACAGGCCAGCCCTGCTGAATCTGTGGAGGAGGCATAGGGGCTGCCATTTCTGAAAAGTTCCTAACAATTGAGGGAGAGCTTCCCTATCAGCCCATGCCTTTGAGACTGGAAGGTGGGTGCTAAGCCTTGTGCTGCCCATGGCAGGTACTGGGTTAATGTTTGCTTAACGACTGCCTTTGTTCTCCTGGTTTTGATTGTAACAGCAGTACAACTATATATACACTGCAAGATTTGCTACTAGAATGTTTAGTAATAATTGTAACACAAGTTTGGAAGACAGTTTGAAAGGAAGAGATTTATTAACTCTGTTTGAAAGGCAGAGTTACAGAGAGAGGCAGAGACACAGAGTAGTCTGCTGGTTTACTCCCTAAAAGGTTGCAGCTGCCGGGGCTGGGCCAGGCTGAAGCCAGGAGCCTGGATTTCCATCTGGGTCTCTCACCTGGGTAGCAGGGGCCCAAGCACTGGGGCCATCTTCCGTTGCTTTTCCAGGTGCATTACAGGAAGCTGGATAGGAAGTGGAGTAGCTAGAACTCAAACAGGAGCCTGAAGACTTGGGTGGAAATCTGTGTTCTACAATTAAGCAAGTCACTGAATCTCCCCAGGGCCGTGTTCCCTCATCTTTTTTTTTTTTTTTTTTTTTTTTTGACAGGCAGAGTGGACAGTGAGAGAGAGACAGAGAGAGAGAAAGGTCTTCCTTTTGCCATTGGTTCACCCTCCAATGGCCACCGTGGCCGGCACACTGTGGCCGGCGCACCACACTGATCCAATGGCAGGAGCCAGGTGCTTCTCCTGGTCTCCCATGTGGGTGCAGGGCCCAAGGACCTGGGCCATCCTCCACTGCACTCCCGGGCCACAGCAGAGGCTGGACAGGAAGAGGAGCGACCGGGACAGAATCTGGCGCCCGACGGGACTAGAACCCAGTGTGCAGCGCCGCAGTGAGATAGCCTATGAGCACGCGCGGCCCCTCATCTTTAATGCTTTGCTGAGATGTAGTCAAGTCTCGTGTTCTCAATATATATACTGTTTTCTGGAGCCTCTCTTTTTTTTTTTTTTTTTTTTTTTTTGACAGGCAGAGTGAACAGTGAGAGAGAGACAGAGAGAGAGAAAGGTCTTCCTTTTGCCATTGGTTCACCCTCCAATGGCCACCGTGGCCGGCACACTGTGGCCGGCGCACCACACTGATCCAATGGCAGGAGCCAGGTGCTTCTCCTGGTCTCCCATGTGGGTGCAGGGCCCAAGGACCTGGGCCATCCTCCACTGCACTCCCGGGCCACAGCAGAGGGCTGGACAGGAAGAGGAGCGACCGGGACAGAATCTGGCGCCCCGACGGGGACTAGAACCCAGTGTGCCAGCGCCGCAAGGTGGAGGATTAGCCTATTGAGCCACGGCGCCGGCCCCCTCATCTTTTAAATGCCTTTGCTGAGATGGTAGTCAAAGTTCCTTCGTGTTCTCAAATTATATATTACTGTTTTTCTGAGCCTCTCTTTTTTTTTTCTGAATTAATATTTATTTTTTTGAAATAATATATTTTAATTTTCTTTATAATGAAAGGTATTTTTTTGTTTAAAGATTTATTTATTTATTTGAACATAAGAGTTACATAGAAGGAAAGGTGTAGCGGGTAAAGCCGCTGCCTGCATTGCCGGCATCCCATATGGGCTGCTCTAGTTCCGATCCAGCTCTCTGCTGTGGCCTGGGAAAGCAGTAGAAGATGGCCCAAGTGCTTGGGCCCCTGCACCCACATGGGACACCCAGAGGAAGCTCCTGGCTTCGGATCAGTGCAGCTCCAGCCACTGCGGTGTGAACCAGTGGATGGACGATCTCTCTCTCTCTCTCTCTATCTCTCTGCCTCTCCTTCTCTTTCTGTGTAACTCTTTCAAATAAATAAATAAATCTTTTAAAAAATTTATTTTTTAAAGATTCTGTTTGTTTATTTGAGAAGTAGAGTTATAGACAGTGAGAGAGAGAAACAGAGAGAAAGGTCTTCCATCTGTTGCTTCACTCCCCAAATGGCCGCAATAGCCGGAGCTGCGCCGATCCGGAGCCAGGAGCCAGGAGCCAGGAGCTTCTTCCTGGTCCTCCATGTGGGTGCATAGGCCCAAGCACTTGGGCCATCTTCTGCTTTCCCAGGCCATAGCAGAGAGCTGGATGTGAAGAGGAGCAGCCAGGACTCGAACCAGCGCCTATATGGGATGCTGGCACCGCAGGCGAAGGATTAACCCACTGTACATGGTGCCGGCCCCCCAAAATTTAAATTCTTTTAAAAATATATATATATCACTTCTCCTGAGCCTCTTAAAAGGTTAATTCAGTTAAGGAACAAATAAATAAAATTTTCTTCTGTACTGATCTCTATCATTTAGCTCAGAGTGGATTTAATTCATTTTTTTCATTTGTTGCATTAATGCAAATGTTTAAAACTTATATAAAATTATTTGTGATATTGATACGAGCAGTGTATAAAATCTGTAACTGTTGTTTTGTTGTGTGTGTGTTTTCTGCAGTTTGGACAGGTGGATCATGAGGAATTGTCTCCTGGCTCTGAAATTGAAAAACCATTAGCTTCAAAAACCATCAGCATTTCTGAAGAAGGTTTGTTGTGGGTGTGGCAGGAGCTGGGACTGAGCCTTGTTTGGTTGATCAGAAAGAATAACATTGTTTCTTGGAATACCAGAATCAGGAATAGTGAACTGAAGACATCAGCCTCCCAATTTTTAGTTTAGGGTTATTTTTGTAATAATGTAATTGACTCCCACCTTAAGGTCGTTTTTACCCCTGAGAAGCCAGTAACCTCCTCGAGCTTTGACGCCAGAAGCGGGCAGTGTGGCCTGGATCTTAGTTTCTTTGGATTCTGAGCCACTGGTTACCCACAGCTGAGGACTGCACAGGGCTTGTGGTTATGCCTCTGTTTGAGGTGGTCAGGTGAGCTGACACTGGAGGCTCTGGTTAAGCCAGGCAAGAGTTTTTTGTTTTTTATTGAAAGGATGAGATTGGAGTGATATTGTTTATTTCTACTGTATCTTTTTTTTTTTTAAGAAATATTTAAAATCAAAAATCTCCAATTCTCTTGTTCACTACCCAAATGGCTGCAGCAGCCAGGACTGAGCCAGGCCGGAGCCAGGATCCAGGAGCTCCCCCTAGGTCTCCCATGTGAATGCAGAGGCCCAAGCTTTGGGCTATCCTCCACTGCCTTCTGAGGCATACCAGAAGGGAGCTGAATTGGAAATAGAGTAGCCAGGACTCGAACTGGCATCCATATGGGATACCAGTGCTGCAGGCTAGGGCGTTAACCCACTGAGCCACAGCACTGGCCCTTCTACTGTATCTTTAGTTGTTTATACCTGCACTCTTATTCAGTCTGATCAAAAGAAGACAGCTTTTTCAGTGTTCTCAAAAAACCATCCTGTCTGATACTTCTTAAAATATTCATTTTCTTGGCCGGCGCCGCGGCTCACTAGGCTAATCCTCCGCCTAGCGGCGCCGGCACACCGGGTTCTAGTCCTGGTCGGGGCGCCGGATTCTGTCCCGGTTGCCCCTCTTCCAGGCCAGCTCTCTGCTGTGGCCAGGGAGTGCAGTGGAGGATGGCCCAGGTGCTTGGGCCCTGCACCCCATGGGAGACCAGGAAAAGCACCTGGCTCCTGGCTCCTGCCATCGGATCAGCGCGGTGCGCCGGCCGCAGCGCGCCGGCCGCGGCGGCCATTGGAGGTGAACCAACGACAAAGGAAGACCTTTCTCTCTGTCTCTTTCTCTCTCACTGTCCACTCTGCCTGTCAAAAAAAAAAAAAAAAAAAATCAAAAAAAATATTCATTTTCTTTATTTTTTTCATGTAGTCTGTGAGTGGTAAATTTCTCGTCTTTGAAAATAACTTTGATTGTACTATAATTTTTGAGTGATAGCTTATAACTGAATATAGAATTCCAGGATAATCATTGCTTTCCGTCACCATTTTGAAGCTATCTTCTGCCATTTCTTTCTCTTTTTTTAAAAAAAATTTTGAAGCAGAGACAGAACTTCTGGTTCACCTCCCAAGTGCCCCCAGTGGCCTTGGACTAGGGGCCAGCACCAGGAACTAGGAACTCAATCCAGATCTCTCATATGGCTGGTGAGAATCCAATTACTTGAGCCATCACTAGTGTCTCCCAGGATCCACATCAGCAGGAAGCTGGAGTCAGGAGTGGAGGCGGGTATTAGCCCGGACACCCCCAATTTGGGATGTGGGTGTCTTAACTGGCATCTTTGTCACTGAGCCAGATTTCTGGTCACTAAGTATCCACCATGTGCGGTCAGTCTAATTGCATGTCCTTTTATCTCTGAATTCATAAGATTTCTCATTTTAAATTTATTTTGCTGTTTTGAAACAATATGTCTAGGTCTTTATCTTCCATTGAGGTAGTAATGACTCTTCGGTTAATGGTTTAACATGGGGAACTTTTCACGTGGTATGTTCGGCAGTGTTGTGTCCACCCTGTTCTTTGTTCTTTCCTCAAACCGTCCTTTGTAGGTTTGTTAGAACTCACTCTGTTCCTTATCTCTTTGACCCACTCTCCATAATTTCCTCTCTTATCCCCTTGGGGTTCTCACAGATATCTTGGACCTGTCTTCCTAGTGTGCCAGTTCTCTTTTCTGCTGTCCTCTTAGTCTTTCACCCATTCCTCATGATTTTAGTTTTGATGACCACATTTTTAATATATAAAACTTCTGTACTTTTTTTCCAAATCTATCTGTTCTTTTGATGTTCTATCCTATTCTTCTGGTATGGTTTCTATGCCTTTTAAATTGTTTTTTATTACTATGGAAGAATTTTGTTTCATATTAAATTAATTCATTATACAGTAAAAATTTATCAGAATATTGATACAAACTTCTGATATATCTGAGATGCCAGTGGAAGTATTATAAATTGTTTTCATGTGATTTTTTTGGCTACTGTATTCTTTTAATTGTAATATGTGTTCTGAATTAGTGCATGTCCTGACTCATGTGGATGGGGAAGATCAGAGTGACAAGATTTCAGAAGCTGAATTTTCAGTAACAGAAAATCGTTCTCATCAGAAAACCTGTGTATTTCCTTCTGCTGATTCAGCTGTCAGCCTTTGCAGTGGCCAGAACACTGCTTCTCCTGGTACTGGTCTTCATCTTTGTTATTTCCCTATACTTGCTACTACCGCGTTATTGAACTGTGTTCACTGGGGCCACAGGTAGGAAGAATTTGTGAAGGCCATTATGTAATACTTACTTCATGGAAGTTACAACTTGAGCCATTCATCTGAAGAAGTGTGTTACATTGTCACCTTTATAAAGTGTACTACAGCCACGTATCTCCCTGTAACCAAGGTTAAATAGATGAGAATAACAACTGGAATTACCATGTCTGATTTCCACAAACATTTAGAAATTTAAACTTTGCAAATTATGAGAACTTTGAATTTTAATTTGAAAACAAGATACTGGCTGCAAAATACTGAGGCTCTGCCATGTGCTAGACGTCACTTTTTATATGCACAGATTCTGGTTTAAGCTTGGCCTGTGGCTTACTTTTATGATCTCCATTTTACCATTGCAGATATTGAGACTTAGATTTAGCACCACTTTTTATTCCATTTTATATGGGAGGAAAAATTAGCAGTGATATTCTTTTTTTTTTTTTTTTTTTTGACAGAGTGGACAGTGAGAGAGACAGAGAGAAAGGTCTTCCTTTGCCGTTGGTTCACCCCCCAATGGCCGCCGCGGCCGGCACACCGCGCTGATCGATGGCAGGAGCCAGGTACTTATCCTGGTCTCCCATGGGGTGCAGGGCCCAAGCACTTGGGCCATCCTCCACTGCACTCCCTGGCCACAGCAGAGAGCTGGCCTGGTAGAGGGGCAACCGGGACAGAATCCAGCGCCCCGACCGGGACTAGAACCCCGGGGTGCCAGTGCCACAAGGCGGGGGATTAGCCTAGTGAGCCGCGGCGCCAGCGCATCTACTGTTTCACTCCCCAGATGACCTCAATAGCCAGGCTGGGTCGGGTGGAAGCCGGGAGCCCAAGTACTTGTGCCGGCTTCTGCTGTTTTCCCAGGTGCACTAGCAGGCAGTTGGATAGGAAGCGGAGCAGCTGGGGCTTGAGCTGGTGTTCTGGTGTGGGATGCTGGTGTCACAAGTGGTGGCTTAACCTGCTGTGCTGCAACGCTAGCCCTTAACTTCCATTTTTTAGCACATTCTTCTGAAGTCGTAATACTGGGAAACAATTACTCACTGAGAATGGATTTAATCTGGGGGCCGCTTCTGGCAAGTTAAATAGATGATGGGGTTGAGTATCACTTTTTGAAATGAAAAATAAGGAATTGTGGTAATCAAGGAATAAAGCTTACTGATTTTGGTTAAGAAATTGTACAGGCAGTCCCTGTGTTAACTTGTCTTTCCCAGGTAAACTTATAGAAGATTTAATAAATTGTTTGCTTTAAAGACATGTAGTTAACATTGAACAAGGTTTAAAGAAGTCATTCCTTAGTTTCTGTCCTTTCAAGTAATTTGCTTCTTAGATTTAAATTAGATATCTTCCAAAAGGTATTACTTTCAGGTTACTAGAGGGTTTTTGTCATTTGTGTTTTGTTTTAAAGTCAGTTGCATTCCGGTATTCCACACCATGTACCAAAGATGCAACTGAAGGATATCATGTTGAATGAAGAATGAAATAAGCTGGACCCAGAAAGACAAACACCTTATGTCTCCCATATTCATATGTGAGAGCTAAAGTTAAAGGATAAAATAAAAAAATCCATGTACTAAAGGAAGAGGAGTTGAAAAATATTCTACAGGATACTCAAGATTCTAGGAAGCAATCCTGAAATGTAGTAGTACCAAATAGCGTATTCAAGACGAGGACAAACATGTTGATGAATATGTATTTAAACCAATTCAGAGATTTAAAAATATTTCTTTTTCTGAGTATATGATTTGTATATGTGATTACTGATTGACACAAAAAAAGACCTGAAATTTTTATTAATAATATTTCTTTCTTCAAGGTGCAAATAACAGTGATGAATTATTTGAAAGGTAAATATTTTAAAAGCTAATTCTTGATTTTAATTAAGTTTGGGTAAAAATATGTATTCTAGGAATTTTGCAATATGTATGAACTCTTAAAGTATACATCTTTGCATGGTTTAAAGAAATGTAATAAATTCCCACTGAGAACTGAAAATTGTTACATACCTTTCTATTTTAACACAATTAGAATATAGACTCCATTTGCTACATTTCCCTTCACTAAATGTGTATTGAATTTCAGCAGCAAAATCTGCAGACTTTTTTCTTGGTCCTTAAGAGTTTGCTTTTCAAAATGCATTTGCCAAGTCATCTGTTGTGGATTAGGCTTTTCATTTAGAAAAGCATAGAATACTAGAAATTAGTATATTAGAATGACAAAATATCAGAAAGAGTAGGTACGTGTTTATCATTTTGTGTTCAGGTACTCTTGAAAGGCGTAGTTTCACATGTTTAGTTTTGTTTCATTATGTTGTGGATACTGATTTTTGTTTCTCAAATCACATTCGCAAACACAGTGCTTCAGTCGATGCACTCCAGGTGGCTGGCCTGACTGACATTGCAGACATTATTGATGATCTGATAACCGGCGGTGGAGTTTCCAGTGAAGAGCTTGGCTTAACAGAACAACAAGCTAAGAGTATCTCCAGGTAAACTTTGAAAAAATCATTTTTTTTTTCTTCTTAGAGGCAGAGAGAGAGGGACAGGCACACACACACGGAGTCAGAGAGGGGGAGAGCGAGCGCTCGCATCTACTGGTTCATTCCCCAAATGCCTGCAACAGCCGGGGCTAGACTGAGCTGAAGCTGGGAGCCCAGGAACTCTGTTCAGGTCACCCAAGTGTGTGGCAGGAACCTGGTCAGACCAGAGCAGGAATCAATCTTGGGTCTGTGAAGCAAGATATGGCCAGCTAATGGTGATTAAATGTCTACCCCGAGAATTCACTTTTAACCCATTGAAAATATTGGTGTTTCAAAAATGTTCAGAATGGACATTTTTAATGTGGTATTCATGAAACAAATTTGAAGCTATTCTAGAATATACTTTTTCTTCATCACTAGTTTTTGTGATGTGTATGTGTCATTTGCCCCTCTCCCCCAACAGTACATAACTGGTTTATTCAGTGTAGCACATTGTATCCAGCGAGTTTTTCCAGGGTCTCAACACTCTGTCATACATTTCATCTCCTCCCTCCTCTGCTCCTCCCTCCCCTCCCCTTTAGTTCCCTTCTCTTCGCCTTCCAGCCCTGCCTGCTTGCTGCCTGCCTGCTGCCTCCCTGCCTTTATTTGGAAGGCAGAGAGAGGAAGAGACAGACAGAGATCTCCTATCCATTGGTTTGTGCCCCAACTGTCTCCAGTAGTCACGGCTGGGCCAGGCTGAAGCCAGGAGCCTGGAAGTCCTTCTGGATCTCCCATATGGGTGTCAGGGGCCCAACCACTTGGCCAACTTCTACTGCTTTCCCAGGTGCATTTACAGGGAGCTGGATCAGGAGGGGAGCAGCCTTTGCCATGGGGAGCCACTGCCATGAAGGTCGAGCTGTGCAGCTGCAGTGGGTGCACGATCGATCCCAGCCACGGGAGGCACCACGAGGACTGATGGGAAGGTGTTCTCATTTCTTAACACAGAATGCGAGTCTGAGTTTCTTTCCAAGAGGAATCCTTGGCAGATAAACTGCACTGTCCTCTACAGAAGAAAACATAAAAGGGGCAGCGGAAGAAATCCAAAAGAAACAAACTCGCCGTGCAGTCAGATTCCAGAGGCCATCACTGGTGCATCTCTTGCTGATATAACGGCCAAGAGAAGTTAGAAACCTGAAGTCAGACTCAATGAGAACAAGCTATCAGGGCTGCCAAGGAAGCCAAAAAAGCTAAGCAGGCATCTAAAAAGATAGCAATGGCTGCTGCTAAAGCTCCTGTACAGGCAGCACCTAAGCAAAAGTTCGTAAAGCTAGTGAAGGGTTCCGCTCCCCAAACTAGTGGAAAATGCCAAGTTGGCACATTAGAGTTTTAACTAAAGATTGGAGTATCAATAAAAAAACGAAGTAGAGAAGCTGGGTCCCCCACTGGCACCCATATTGGATGCCAGCATCTTGGGTGGTGGCTTAACCTGCTAGGCCACAGCCTCACTTCTTGACTTTTATAGAGTCAGCTTTACAAGGAGCAGCTATACTTCTTTATTTCCTAGCTCAGTTCCACTTACTGCCTCAGTAAAAATAGTGTTATAATCAGACTTTAAAGGCTGTGACCAGAAAACAGTCTACCCCCCACCCCGAGAAAAATAAACGATTATTTATTTAGTGGACTTTATCTGCTATATTATGGCCTTCTATCACGACATTGTAAACCCTAACTGCCTAAACTAGCACATTTAATTACCTTCAATATTTTTTTTAAAGACTGATTTATTTTAAAGGCAGAGTTGGAGAGAGGGGAGAGAGAGAGATGAATATTGACTTAACCTGTGCCATAGCACCAGTTTCTTTCTGCTGTTTTTAAGTTGATGACATAAATATTTCATTAAGTCTATTAAATGTCAAAAGTTGGGGCTGGCACTGTGGTATAGCAGGTAAAGCCACTGCCTGCAGTGCTGGCATCCCATATGGGTACTGTCTATGAGTTTTGGCTGCTCCACTTCCAATCCAGCTCTCTGCTATGGCCTGGGAAAGCAGCAGAGGATGGATGGTCTAAGTGCTTGGGACCTGTACCCCTGTGGGAGACCCAGAAGAAGCTCCTGGCTCCTGGCTGCCAGTCGGCCCAGTACCACCTGTTGGTGCCATTAGTGGACAGAAGACCCCTCTCTCTGTCTCTGCCTCTCTGTGACTCTGCCTTTCAAATAGATAAGTCTTTGGGGAAAAATGTCAAGAGTGATAAATAACAAAATTTTTTTTCTATTCCTGATTGGAGATAGAAATGTAAGACCAAGTTATGTCAGTGTGCTGAAGGGGTCCAGGGCAGGAGAGTCAAAGGCAGCACTTCACCAGAGTTTGAGCTGTATCCTAAAGGATCTGTAGAAACTCATGGCTGCGGGCCGGCCCTGTGGCATAGCAGGTAAAAAGCTACCACCTGCAGTCCTGGCATCCCATATGGGAGCCGGTTCGTGTCCTGGCTGCTCCACTTAGGACTCAGCTCAGACATTAGACCACAATGAAGATCTGAGGCCTGCTGGCGCTGCAGCTCAACAGGCTAATCCTCCGCCCAGCGGTGCCGGCACACCAGGTTCTAGTCCCGGTCGGGGCGCCGCATTCTGTCCCGGTTGTCCCTCTTCCAGGCCAGCTCTCTGCTGTGGCCAGGGAGTGCAGTGGAGGATGGCCGAAGTCCTTGGGCCCTGCACCCCATGGGAGACCAGGAGAAGTACCTGACTCCTGCCATCGGATCAGCACGGTGTGCCGGCTGCGGCGCGCTGGCCGCGGTGGCCATTGGAGGGTGAACCAACGGCAAAAGGAAGACCTTTCTCTCTGTCTCTCTCTCTCACTGTCCACTCTGCCTGTCAAAAAAAAAAAAAAAAAAAGAAGAAGAAGAAGATCTGAGGCCTTCTTTTTAAGGAGAGAGGGAAGAAAAGAAGGTTAGGGAGACAGAGAGCCAAGAGTCACCCAGAGTCACCCGTGTCCTGCAGGAATGGGCCAACCCAACCGTTCCTGCCGTGCCTGGTCATTGACTTGGCCAGACTGTGGACGTGGGACATGAAACCGAGCAGGAGCTGGGGAGATCCAGAACAGTTCCCTCTGCGTTACAAGTTCTGGAAGTGATGGAGTCTAGGATATAGATTATAGATAAGAAAGTCTAAAACAAAACCGTTAGGACTGGAATAGTGAAATGGTGAGCAGAGTGGAGCCATGTAGGAGACCACGTATGTTTGAGAGTTAAAATCCAGGCTTGTGGTGCAGTCCCAGCTACTCTGCGCCCCCAGCCAGGTTCCTGCTAATGTGCTTGGGAAAGCTGCAGAGGATGGCAAGTGCACCCGAGTGCTTGGGTCTCTGCCACCCACGTGGGAGGCCCAGATGGAGTTCTTGACTTCAGCCTCAGCCTGCCCTGGCTATTAGGACCATTCAGGGATTCATAGCAGATGGAAGATCTCTCTCTCTGTCTCTTTCTCTCATTCTGCCTTTCAGATAAGTAAATAAATAATTAAAAAAAAAAAAGTTCCAGAGAGAGTATAAAGAGAAAAGAGCTTAAAGCAAATGTATAGGGAAGTTGATCATTCTGAGACCCTTTTCAGTGGATTTCAGGGAGCAGATTTTAGCGAACTGCCTAGAGCAGGGGAAGACTCCAAGTACACAGTAGTTAGTCATGGTACTTCCTATCTGCATGAAAATGTAAAAGTAAACGAAATCTTGTTCTGTTTCTCAGGATTCAGCGTTGTTCTGGCAGGCGTCCACAAAGAACTGAGAGAGAGAGGAGAGAGATTCAAGTGTGGATGAAAAGAAAACGGAAAGAAAGAATGGCAGAGTACTTAAATCAGCTGGCAGAAAAGAGAGGGCAAGAACATGACCCTTTCTGCCCCAGAAGCAATCCGGTAAGTCCGCCATGTCCCAGGAGTGGGATTACCATAGACTGTGTAGTTTTATCATGTCAAATAGTCAAGGATTACTGTAATTTGGATAAATTTTATTTGTTTAGAAGTCACTGTTTACTTAGCTCAGGAAAAATTAAGAAACTTCAGAAAATATAGCAGGATATTGTACAAACCACTTTCACTTGAACTAGCTTAAATACTTGTTTTCTCCTCCAGGCTCATTATGGCTCTAGCATTTTAACCAGGAAGTTGAGTGAGTAGGTGTTTTGCTGGAGTTAAATTTGTAATTTTCGGTGAGAGTTAGGGGCAGCTGAACAGCTTTGTGCATATGAAAGCTGTTTTAAAATTTGATTTTCTACATTAATTTATATATGAAGAATTTTTTAAAATATGGTCTAATCTTGTACCTGCAGAACAGTGGCTAATGTGTGTGTGGGGTTGTTTTTCTTTTTTTTTAAGATTCATTTTATTTGGAAGATAGAGTGATGTTTCATTCTCTGGTTCATTGTCCAAATGGCCACAACAGCCAGGATTGGGCCAGGCTGAAGCCAGGAGCTCAGAACTCCATTTGTGTCTCCCACATAGGTCGCAGGGGCCCAAGCAGTTGGGCTACTGGCTGCTGCTTTCCCTGGAGCATTAGCAGAGACAGGAATCAGAAGTAGAGTAGCCAGGACTCGACCTAGCACTCTGATATGGGATGCTGCTGCTGTTAATATACTGGCCCTTGTTTTGCTTTTATTTTTTCTTTTCTTTGCTCTTTTTCCTTTTTCTTTCTTTCGCTATTTATTTATTTATTTATTTTGGAAGTCAGAGTTACAGGGTATTGGGGGAAAAGAGAAGTCCTCCCATCAGCTGGCTTATTCCCCAGATGGCCTCAATGGCCATGCTAGGCTAGGCTGAAGCCAGGAGCCAAGAACTACACAGGGTCTCCCACAAGGGTGGCAGGGGCCCCGACAATGATTTCCCAGGCCATTACAGAGAGGTGGGTCAGAAGTAGAGCAGCCGGGACATGAACCAGCACCCTTATGAGATGGCCAGTGTCACAAGTGGTGGCTTTACCCACTGTGCCATAGCGTTGGCCCCTTTTTCTTAACTGCCTCCCTTTTTTGGTCATTTAATTTGAAAAGCAGAGAACTCTCTCTCTCTCTCTCTCTCTCTCTATATATATATATATATATTTTAAGATTTATTTGTTTGCTAGGCAGAGATCAGAGAGAGGGAAGGAGAGACAAAGAGAGAGCTATCTTCCATCTTCTGGTTCACGCTCCAGGTAGCTTCAGTGGCCAGCACTGGGTCAGGCCGAAGCCAGGAGCTTCTTCTGGATCTCCCATGTGGGTGCAGCAGCCCAAGGACTTGGGCCATCTTCCGCTGCTTTCCCAGATGCATGTTCCAGGGGAGCTGGAACAGAAGTGGAGCAGCCAAGACTTGAACCGGCACCCATATGGGATGCCAGCACTTCAGGCCGTGGCTTAACCTGCTGCGCCACAGTGCCAGCCCTAGAGACAGAGAACTCTTTCATCTACTAGTTCACTCCCCAAATGCCCAGAACAGCTGGAGTTGGGCCAGGCTGAAGCCAGGAGCCTGAAACTCAAGCCAGGTCTCTGATACGGGTGGTAGCGACCCTGCTGTCTCCCAAGTTGCACAGCAACAGGAAGCTGGATCAGAAGCAGAGTGCTGAGTTGAATTCAGGACTTCCCAAGTGGTGCATCTTAACTGCTGTGTCAGACATCCGCCTTTAACTGCCTTTTAAACAGTCAGTGTTTATTTTCTGAGCCTGAATATAGGCATCACTGTGGCTATGTCAGATTTTTTTCCTTCAAAAAAGTGAAAAAAAAAGCAGTGTTACTTTGATAATCATATTAGTATGAAAATTTAGGTTATAATTAGATTATATTTTTATCTTTGACTTTTTAATATAAAATAAAATGCTTCATTTTTTTCAGCCTCATTAGTAGAACACATTATTTTTAATGTTTTTTGATTAACATGTAGTAGTTGTACATTTAAAAAGTACTGTCATTGTATTTGAAATGGAGAGAGAAAAACACACACACACACTGACAGTGACAAAGAGACAGATACAAAGAGATCTTCCATCCACTGGTTCACTCCCCAACAACCAGGGCTGGGTCAGGCTGAAGCCGGGGCCAGGCTGAAACCAGGAGTCAGGAACTCAAGCTGTGTTGTTGGTAGCGACTTAAGTACTTGCTACGTCTCACAGTGTGCATTAGCAGGAAGCTAGATCAGAAATGGAGGAGGGATGTGCACCAAGAACTCTGATAGGGAAGGCAGGCATCCCAAACCAATTCTTGATCACTGCACTGAATAGCTGCCCCACCATGCTTAATGTATTTCCTCCCTCCCTTCTTGCCTTCTTAAGAGTTACACAGAGAGGAGAGGCAGAGAGAAGGGTCTTCCATCCGCTGGTTCACTCCCCAGTTGGCCACAACGGCTGGAGCTGCGCCAATCCAAAGCCAGGAACCAGGAGCCTCCTCTGGGTCTCACATGCGGGTGCATGGGCCCAAGGAGTTGGGCCATCTTCTACTGCTTTCCCAGGCCATAGCAAAGAGCTGGAAGAGGAGCAGCCGGGTCTCAAACTGGTGCCCATATGGGATGCTGGCGCTTCAGGCCAGGGTGTTAACCCGCTACGCCACAGTGCCAGCCCCTTAATGTATTTTCATGAATTAAGCCCAGTGTTTCCCATATGTATAGTGTAAATTGATCCAACCAACTATCCGTTTCTGTGTCTGGAGCCTAACAACTCCTCTCTTCCTGTTCTTTATACAGTATATATTGTGAATTATACTCAGCTGTTGGTACTGTGGAACACTAAAATTTCCTTCTATCTAATCTCTCTCCCACCCTTCCCAGCCTTTACTAATCACTATTCCAAGTTTAATTTTTTTTAACTTCCACAGATGAGAAAGCCAATGGAAAGGAAATCAGCATAGCAAACATGCATTGCCATGTTCATTACCGTGCTAGTCACAGCAGTCAACATTTGTGATCAATAGATTACAGGAAAAAAATGTGGTATATAAACATATGATGGAATACTGTTCAGATATAAAAAAGAATGAAATTCTAACATTGTTAGCAAAATGGATGAAACTGGATGCCATTGTGTTAAATGAAATAAACCAGACACAGAAAGACAATAACAGGGCTGGCACTGTGGCATAATGGACTAAGCCTCTACCTGTGGTGCCAGCATCCCATATGGGTGCCGGTTTGTATCCTGGCTGCTCCTCTTTGGATCCAGCTCTGTGCTCTGGGCTGGGAAAGCAGCAGAAGATGGCCCAAGTCCTTGGGCCCCTGCACCCGTGTGGAAGAAGCTCGGAAGAAGCTCCTGGCTCCCGGCTTCAGATTGGACCAGCTCTGGCCATTGCAGCCATCTGGGGAGTGAACCAGCAGATGGAAGACCTCTCTCTCTGTCTCTCCCTCTCTCTCTCTGTAACTCTGCCTCTCAAGTAAATAAAGAAATCTTTAAATCTGTCATTTGTAAAAGGAGAACACGTTGTGTAAGAATTTTCCAGCTAACGCTGTGCCATATAAATACCAAATCATGAAAAAATAATTGAACTATTGTCTAAAGTGTGTTATTTTCTTGGAAAGAGCATGTTGTTAATATATTTTTTGGATAGCGTTAGGGAAATGATAGTGACCTTTGAGGCTACTGTGATATATAACCAAAATGCTAAAGTGTGTGTATGTCCCCTCTCCATGGTAATATCACTTTCAAAACGGTTAAAATTGGGACCAGCATTACAGCATACCAAGTTAAGCCATCAACTGAAGTACCAGCATCCCATATGGGCACTGGTTTGAGTCCCGACTGGTCCACTTCTGATTCAGGTTTCTGCTAATGTGCTTGGGAAAGCAGTGAAGGATAGCCCAAGTACTTGGGCTGCTGCACCCACATGGGAGACCCAGATGAAGCTCCTGGCTCTTAGCTTCAGCCTGGCCCAGCCCTGGTTGTTGCAGCCATTTGTGGAGTGAATAACCTGATGGAAAAATCTCTCTTTCTCTAATTCTGCCTTTCAAATAAAATAAATTATTTTTTATATAAAAAGATGTTTAGAGTTGTGTCCAAATACAGAAAAAATTAGCTATGAGGGCATAGTGTTTGCAACATGTCATTCACAATTATAAGCACATTTCTTAGTTTTTAGCTTGATTAAAAACATAGTGGGCCGGCGCCGTGGTTCACTAGGCTAATCCTCCACCTGCGGCACCAGCACACTGGGTTCTAGTCCCTGTTGGGGCGCCGGATTCTGTCCTGGTTGCCCCTCTTCCAGGCCAGCTCTCTGCTGCGGCCCTGGAGTGCATTGGAGGATGGCCCAAGTGCTTGGGCCCTGCACCTGGCTCCTGGCTTCGGATCAGTGCGGTGCGCCGGCCAGTTGCGGCTGCCATTGGTGGGTGAACCAACGGCAAAGGAAGGCCTTTCTCTCTGTCTCTCTCTCTCACTGTCCACTCTGCCTGTCAAAAAAAAAGTATAGGATTAAAAAGGGGTTAATGTAATTAAAATTTTCATTTGAATTTCTATCAGAAATCATTAAGATTAATTTGTTATAGATACTACTGTAGATGACGTCAAGAAAGCTAATTTACCTTTGGGTGGCCAATTTTTTATAGGTAATTGTGTACAAAAAGAATCTTACATGTAACAACAATAATTTTGGGGGATGAGATGCATATAATAGATGTTTGTCTATTTGCTTTCTGGGGCATACATTTTTGAAGAGTTTACAGGCTACAGTGGACGTAGCACTTTTTGAAGCATCAAAATGGTGATTTTATTTTTATTTTTAAAAGATTTTATTTTATTTATTTGAAAGGCAGAGTATGCAGAGAGGGAGAGGCATTACAATCTTCCACCCACTGGTTCACTCCCCAAATGTCTGCAATCATTTGGGCTAGGCTGGGCGGAAGCCAGGAGCCAGGACCGTCCTCCTGGTGTCCCACGTAGGTGCAGGGGCTTAAGCACTTGGGCCACCCTCTGCTGCTTTTACTAGATTGGAAGTAGAGCAGCAGGACTTGAACCTGGCGCCCCTATGGGATGCTGGTGTTGCAGGCTGGTGGCCTTACCTGCTGTGCTGCAACATGGCCCCAAAAATGATGATTTTAAATGTCTGACTCATTTCTACTTTTTCAAGCAAGCTCTTGGTGAGATTAATCACAAGATTGAGTATAACAGATAGGGATCTCTGCTCCTAAAATGTTCCTTTTTTTTTATTTTCATTCAGCTGATAACTTGCTTCCCTTCTGCATACATACTTCACATTCCATTTATGAAACTGGATTTTACTTGAATTTCCATGTTTTAACATTTTCAGGTTTTGTGCTAGCTAGGTTAGGAAGTTTCATCAGATATGGCATTTTGCATTGTTTCCTAAGTAGCAGAATTATGTCTAATGGTTAAATACTTGTATTAAACAATAATGAACTAACTGGTTACTTCTTGTGCAGTTTTATATGACTTCAAGGGAAATCCGGCTGAGACAAAAGATGAAGCATGAAAAAGACAGGTGAGTTTGGTAGCTCCTCCCTTCATATTCTCTCTAGCCCAAGGTCACTCAGCCTAGGTAATGCCTTAGGAATTCTGTTTTTTATGATATTCTTTTTGTTGATAAACAGAAAACTATAGGAGATATCACTGCAAGGAAAAGAATTGGAAAAGCATTGGGTAACAAAACAAACAAAATGCTCCTTGTTCTTTAGGCACTGTTTCCTCTCGAAATAGCGACTGAAAGCGACTGTTTCAGTAAATGGTGTCTAACTGTTTGTTTACAGATTGCTGCTGTGTGACCACTACAGTCGTCGAATCTCACAGGCGTACAGTCTAATGAATGAACTGTTATCTGAATCAGCTCAACTACCAGGACCCACACAGAAACCATTGCCTTCCAAACCCAGCACTGTTCAGTCTCCCAGATGGCAACATTGCCCTTCTCCAAGAAGGTAAGACAAGGTTGTCATGTCATTTGGGAGTAGTTAGCCCTGATCAGAAGAAATGTACTTTTTTTGTTTGTTTGTTTGTTTTTGACAGGCAGAGTTAGACAGTGAGAGAGAGACAGAGAGAAGTCTTCCTTCCATTGGTTCACCCCAAAATGGCCGCTATGGCCGGTGCTGTGCCGATCCGAAGCCAGGAGCCCAGCACTTCTCCAGGTCTCCCATGCGGGTGCAGGGCCCAAGCACTTGGGCCATCCTCCACTGCCTTTCCGGGCCACAGCAGGGAGCTGGACTGGAAGAGGAGTGACCAAGACAGAATCTGGTGACCCAACCAGGACTAGAACTCGGTGTGCCAGTGCCGCAGGCTGAGGATTAGCCAAGTGAGCCCCGGTGCTGGCCAGAAGAAATGTACTTTGTGACCAAGTACTCTTTATTTGTATCTAACTTGTTTAGAGTTACGATGACAGAAAAAATAGCCCCATAAATATGAGGTTTTTGTAAGTTTATAGAATTATTAAGGAAACAGGCAAAAATGGTATTAATTTTCTACCTAAACTATAATAAAGCACTTCAGTATATCTGTTTTGCTTCTGTAATTTTCCTACTAATTGCTCTGCTTGTTTCTTTTTTTTTTTTATTCTCTGCTTGTTTCTTGTCCTTGTCCCTCTCACTGAAGCAGCCAGTCCCCATGAGCCAACCACTTCTTCTGCTTCCCTCCTCACCCTGCCTAGTTATTCTCACTCAATTACAGATATTATGTATTTCACTTGTAGGGGGCTTAGATATAGTCTATTGGGCAGGAATTATTAAACATAGGATGCTAAAGAAAAGTATTACCAGTGTATACGTGAATCACATATTGTAACTCATAAATAATTATGTGTCAATTTTAAAAAATTGGAGGGGCTGGTGCCGTGGTGCAGTAGGCTAATCCTCTGCCTGTGACGCCAGCATCCCATACGGGTGCCGGTTCTAGTCCCTGCTGCTCCTTTTCTGATCCAGCTCTCTGCTGTGGCCTAGGAAAGCAGTCCTTGGGCCCCCGCACCCATGTGGGAGACCAGAGGAAGCTTCTGGCTTTAGATTGGCGCAGCTCCGGCCGTTGCAGCCAACTGGGGAGTGAACCAACAGACGAAGACCTTTCTCTCTGTCTCTCCCTCATTGTCTGTAACTCTACCTCTCAGATAAATAAATAAAAAAATCTCAAAAAAAATTGGAAAAAATTCCTATGGCAAATAAACATGCAAGTTATGTATCGTGACTCATAAGGTGATTATGAATTTGCAGTACATATTAAAAATTACTGCCTTTGACAAAAATAAATGATTAGAATTATTGCTCATAAAAGTTAAGTAGCTAGAGGAAATGCCACTAACACAGACTTGACATAATCAGATCCCTTTCGTGTAGTTTGGAATCGACTGAAAATACCAGAGGTTCCCTTTGAGTCTTTTCTAGAATGTAATGGGGGAATAAGCACATGAATAACTGCAAACTGTGTAAACATTGTAATGGGAAGAGGTAACTGAAAAAGTTGTTTGAATAAAGGAATGGGGTTGAGAGATAAGGGATACAGAGTCATTTGTTGAGTGTTCTCTATGTTAAAGGTCACTAAGGTACAGAAGAAGCAGTAACAAGTGGATGGGGTATTAAAATATTAAAGTGTAGCTGACAGGAAATTCTAGGAATATGACAATACTTTCTACTTTTAGAGAGACTCAGCATGGTCACAATTGTCCAGTAAATTGGCCTGGAAAAGCCAGATACACAAGGAAGCCAAGCTGTACCAATAAGGGGCAACCATTTGAGCAACCTCAAAGCTCACGTTGGCCACATGGTAAGAGTTCAAGATTTTTTTTTTTATTATTATTTTTTTTTTTTTTTTGCATTGTGTAAGTTGAACCTCATCTCTGTATTTTCATTAAGAAAGTCTATGAATCTTTGCAAAAAGGAACTCTGATTTCAGCAGAAATCAAGGTATTAATAAACAGTTGTACTAGGATTTTGTACTCTAGCTTTGGAATCAGAAGGCCCTGGGAATCTTTTTTTTTTTTTTTTTTTTTTTTTTTTAATTTTATTTATTTGAAAGGCAGTTATAGAGACAGGGAGAGACGCACAGAGACCAAGAACTTCCATCTGCTGGTTCACTGCCCAATAGCCACAAAGGCTGGAGCTGGGCCAGGCTGAAGCCAGGAGCCTGGAACTCCAACCATTCTCCCACAAGTGTGGCAGGGGCCCAAATACCTAGGCCATCTTCCTCTGCTTTCCCACACACATTAGCAGACAGTTGGATCAGAAGTAGAGCAGCTAGGAGTGGTGCAGTAGGTTAATCCTCTGCCTGCAGCACTGGCATCCTATATGGGCGCCAGTTCTAGTCCTGCTGCTCCACTTCCAGTCCATCTCTCTGCTATGGCCTGGGAAAGCAGAAGATGGCCCAAGTCCCTGGGCCCCTACACCCATGTGGGAGACCAGGAAGAAGCTTCTGGTTCCTGGCTTCGGATCAGCACAGCTCTGGCCGTAGTGGCCATTTGGGGAGTGAACCAATGGAAAGAAGACCTTTTTCTCTGTCTCTCCCTCTTACTGTCTGTAACTCTTTCAAATAAAATAAATAAAATCTTCTAAACCAGTACTCACATGAGATGCTGGCATCACAAGCAGTGGCTTAAGCCACTGTGCCACAACACTGGACATCAATTTGGAAGTTAGTTTTTTTTTTTTTTTTTTTTTTTTTTTTTTCAAGATTTATTTATTGGGGCCAGTGTTGTAGTATAGTGGGTAAAGCCGCTGCCGCACTAGTGGCATCCCATATGGGTGCCGGTTCAAGTCCTGGCTGCTCCACTTTCGATTCAGCTCTCTGCTAAGGTCTGGGAAAGCAGTAGAGGATGACCCAAGTCCTTTGGCCCCTGTACCCGCGTGGGAAGGCTCTGAGGAAGCGCCTGGCTCCTGGCTTCGGATTGGCACAGCTCTGGTCATTGTGGCCATTTGGGGAGTGAACCAGTGGACAGAAGACCAACCTCTCTCTCTGCCTTTCAGTCTTTCTGTATAACTCTGACCTTCAAATAAATAAATAATTCTTAAAAAATATTTATTTTATTTGAAAGAATTACAGAGAGAGGGGGAAAGACAGATCTTCCATCCACTGGTTAACTCCAAAAATGGCCACAATGACCAGGACTGGGCCAGGCCAACGCCAGGAGCCAAGAGTTTCATCTGGGTCTCCCATGTGGGTACAGGGGCCCAAGGACTTGGATCATCTTCTGCTGCTTTCCCAGGCACACAAGCAGGAATTTGGATTGGAAGTGGAGCAGCTGGGACTAGAACAGGTGCCCCTATGGGACGCTGGCACTGTGGATGGCGGCTCAATCTGCTGCACCACAGTGTCAGCCCCTGGAATCTTTTTAAAGTAGTGACCTTTCTGTAATAATATGAATTAAATGTAACTTACTCAGTGGTTTGTTTCTCCATTTGTACAAGTCAAGTTCTGATGGATTACAGGATAGATATATCAGAAGAATGCTTATAACCTCAGTTTGAAATACCATGTTTTTACCTTTGAACATCTGTTTCTACATTTGAAGACATATCTGTTGTTTATTGCCAGCCTTTCTTTAGTAAATTTTGCCATATTTGGCTTTGGATCACTACCATACAATGTATTCATAATATGATTACACATTGAAAATGTATGCAGCTAAAATCTGTAATAACTAGTTTTATGTGCCAAGTTCTATTTAAGCACTTTAATATAACCCTATGAAACAGGTACTGTCATATGTTCATTTTAAAGATGAGAAAACCAAGGCAGAAAAGTCTTAAATAACTAGCCAGGATCAGACAAGTAGGAAGTAGCAGATCCCTGATTTAATCCCAGTGTGGGTCCAGAGTCTATATACTTGGAATCCACTGACTTAATTTGCAAAGTTGAAATTCCCATAAAATCCAGTCCTTTAGAAAAAGTCCTTCATAGTTTAGTTAACTGAAAAAAATTATTTACCTATTTGAGACAGAGACAGCGCCCATCCTGCGAGTTCATTCCTCAGTCCTAGCGGGAACCAGGAACTGAATCCAGGTCTTCCACATGGGTGGCAGGAACCCAACTACTTGAGCCATCACTGCTGCCTCAAAGGGTCTGCATTAGTACAAAACTCGCAGTCAGGAATTGCAGTTGGGTGTTGAACCCAGGTCCTCTGATGGTGGAATATAGAATCTTCACTGCTAGGCTAACAACCTGTCCCAACTCTTGGTTTTGATAATTACAATAAGGAAACACTGCTCTTTTTAAAACTAAAATTTCAAACCCAGGGAACTATGCTTTTTAAACAGTTTTCTTTTAAACTAAAATTGAATAAATATTTAAATTGGCAAGGGTTTTAAACGTTGAACTGTCATTTCATGCTATCTGATGAACAAGTCTTAAATTATACTGGGATAGGTCTTCCTACTCCTGGGCTCAGAAGCCCTCGGTTCCTCTCCGACCATGCAGGGAGGCGCAGACCCTCTCCCTCCTGGCCTTCCAGGCGGCATGTGTTAACGTCTGTCTCCTCTGCTTCCTTTCCCCTGACACGCACGTCATTTTCCAACCAAATGCCATGTTTTTGTGCTTCCATTCTTTTTTTTTTTTTTTTAAGATTTATTTATTTATTTGAAAGAGTTACAGAGAGAGGAGAGGCAGAATAAGAGAGGGAGGGAGGGAGGGAGAAAGAAAGAGAGAGAGGGGGGTCTTCCCTCTGCTGGTTCACTCCCCAATTGGCCGCAGTGACCGGAGCTGAGCTGATCTGAAGCCAGGAGCCAGGAGCTTCTTCTGGGTCTTATACGTGGGTGCAGGGGCCCAAGGACTTGGGCCACATTCCACTGCTTTCCCAGGCCACAGCAAAGAGCTGAATTGGAAGTGGAGCAGCCGAGACTTGAACCAGCACCCGTGGGATGCTGGCACTGCAGACGGTGGCTTTACCCACTATGCCACAGCGCCGGCCCCTGTGCTCCCATTCTTTACCTGAAATTCTCCTGTGTACCTGGAATGTCTCACTTCTGTGACTGAAGACATCTTTAATCTTGATTCTGTAGTCGTTCTGATGTGATACAATCAGTTGTAAATTCTACATCCTCATTTCAGAATTGGGGCTGCTACTTTTCTGAGGCTATTACTTGCATGGCCTCCTCTGAACCCTTAATCACATGTTTATGCCCCTCTTGAGCAATGCAACAACAGGTTTGTATTGTAGTCACTTCTTTTAACTTTTTATCCCTGTGCTAGACTAAAATCTTTGAGCGTAGCCACATTCTCTTTCTCAACTATTATCCCTCACACTGAACAAATGAAATACTCGAATAACTGAAAAAAATGCCTACTTAACATTTTTGCTTAAAGATAGCTTTTTGTAAGCAGTAGTATCATGTGAGTATATTAATGGACTGGTAGACTAGTTTTGTACTGTGTCATAACAGCACCGTATTACCCTAGACAGTGCAGCGATAGGAGGCAAACTGCAGTGGCTGCTCTAGCTTCTCTGAGTGCCTTGACTTGGAACTCTGGCTTCCTTTGTTCTTGGGGCCTGTCCCACATCCAGAACCCCCATTTCACTTGGCTGCACTGAGAGCCTTTAGGTCCCCTGATATGGGGAAGGAACAGGAGGGGAGGCCACATCAATTTAAAAATTGACTGTAGTTTGGAGTTGGCATTGTGGCACAGCAGGTTAAGCCACGTCTCATATGAACACGGGAAAGCAGTGAATAGCTGAACACTTGAGACCTTGCCACCCATGTGAGAACCTTGGATGGAGTTTTAGGCTCCTGGCTTCAGACTGGCTCAGCTCCAGCTGTTGCAGCCATTTGGGGAGTGAACCAGCAGATGGAAGATCTCTCTCTCTGTATCTGCCTGTCCTCCCTCCATCCCCAACTCTCACTTTCAAATAAAATAAAGTCTTTAAAATAAACAAATGAATAAATAAAAAAATACATAAATATTTTGGGAAAACAGGATACCCACATGTAGAAGAGTGATATTAGGCCCCTATTAAAAACACAATGTTGGCCAGCGCTGTGGCTCACTTGGTTAATCCTCCACCTATGGCACCAGGTTCTGGTCCCAGTTGCTCCTCTTCCGGTCCAGCTTTCTGCTGTGGCCCGGGAGGGCAGTGGAGATGTCCAGGTACTTGAGCCCCTGCACCTGCATGGGAGACCAGGAGGAAGCTCCTGGCTTTGGATTGGCGTAGCACCAGCCGTGGCGGCCATTTGGGGAGTGAACCAACGTAGGGAAGACCTTTGTCTCTGTCTCTCTCTCTCACTCTCTACAACTCTACCCGTCAAATAAATAAATAAAAATTTAAAAACACAATGTAAAGGCTATATAATTAGTAATGAAGAATCATCATAGGCATAAAAAAGAAAACTTTGTGGTTTGCAGTCATCTAGAAATACTTTCATGTTCGAGTTCTGTTGCTTGCTTTGTGCCCTGGCTGTGTTACTGCAAACCTTCCTCAGGGGCCAGGATTGTGGTGCCGTGGGTTCAGCCACTGCTTACAGCACTGGCATCCAGTATCAGAGCGGCAGCTCTAGTCATGGCTCTTTTGTTTCTGATCAGCTCCCTGCTATGCACCTGGGAAGGCAATGGAAGCTGGCCCAGGTGCTCACTCTTGTAAGCATTTGAGGGAGTGAACCAGCAAATGGAAGTGTTCTGTCTCTCTCTCTCTGGATATAGTCACTGTACTTCTCAAATAAACCCTAAAAAGAAGAAAAGCTACATCAAAGGGTTGTTGAGGATTATAAATAAAACATTTTGTATAACAGAATAAATGGTTGCTGTTAATTTTAAGAAACCTTGATTGAATGTAACAGCAATTTATGTAGGGTGTTTACTGCTAACAGTTTTGTTACATCCCTGGCTTTTCCAGTTGCCAGAGATGTTGTCAAAACACATTAGCAATTTGAGAAACGATACCAGTTTTCAAACTAGGGTTTTCCCTTTGCTTTGCTTTCTTGATTTAAATAAAATACTATTTATTGGGCCCTATTGTGAGCATGACTTGGGAGCAGATGTAGAGCTGATCAGGTTTCTGTCCTCAAAGAACTTGCCAATAAGATGTGTGAAAAATCATGCATGCCTATGAAAGGCTGAAAAAGTTTGTCTTTATAGGAACTACCACTTTTACCATACAGAGAAAAGCTGGTGGAGCCAGAGTGGCAGGAAGAAAGGCTGTGAGGTCTCCAGTTACCTTCCGAACAGGTAAAGGATAAAATAACTAAATTTGTAGAAATTTCGAGTATTGGGGCCGGCGCCGCGGCTCAATAGGCTAATCCTCCGCCTGCGGTGCCGGCACACCGGGTCCTAGTCCCGGTCAGGGCGCCGGATTCTGTCCTGGTCGCTCCTCTTCCAGGCCAGCTCTCTGCTGTGGCCTGGGAAGGCAGTGGAGGATGGCCCAAGTCCTTGGGCCCTGCACCCCATGGGTGACCAGGAGAAGTACCTGGCTCCTGGCTTCGGATTATCGCAGTGCGCCGGCCGCAGCAGCCATTTGGGGGTGAATCAATGGAAAAGGAAGACCTTTCTGTCTCTCTCTCTCACTGTCCATTCTGCCTGTCAAAAAAAGAAAATTTTTTTTTTTCGAGTATTGGTCTCAGATTGAAGGGTGGTTGTGTGGTACTGCAGTTCAGAGGAACAGCTCTGGAGTTACTGCATTTGGAGTTCCAGTTCACCGCCTACTCTGAAACCTCAGGCAAATTTCTAACCCGTCTATGTAAACATTAGTTTTTCTCACCTGAAAAATACATTTTGTAGCAGTGAAGATGCACCAACTATGGTAGGTAGAGCAACTCCTACCCCCATCTTAAAGCAGAGGAAACCGGCTTCAACAACGTGTTTGAATCTTAGAATATACTGAGTACTTTCTCTATGCTGACCATTGTGTCACACCTTATGTGTATTATCTCCCTTGATCCTCACAATAATCCAGTCAGGTCGTGGAGTTATCCTCATTTAAAGAACTAAATTTTGCTAAAGATAATGATGAAGAGAAAACAATGATTTTTTAAATATATACTACGAGAATGATGAGAAGTAGGAAACAGTCTAGTCCTGCTTTAATGCCTGTCTCTCCACTGCTGCCTCCTTTCTGTGCAGGTCTTTAGTTTACCATCTCTCTCTTCAGCAATGTCTAATTTGCTATTTAACCCATCAGTCAAGTGTTTAATGTTGATGGATATAGTTTCTAGAAGTTCTGTGAGGGGGTCTTCAGAAAGTTCATAGGTAAATGGAATGAAAAGATAGATGTATTTTCCACAAACCTTTTGAAATACTGTTGTATTTGGTCCCTTTCTTTCTTTTCTTTTTAAAGATTTATTTTATTTGAAAGGCAGAGTTTACAGAGATAAGGAAACAGAGTTCTTCCATTCTTTGGTTCACTCTCCAAATGGCCACAACAGCCAGGGCTAGGCTAGGCTGAAGCCAGGAGCCCAAGGACTTGGGCCATCTTCCACTGCTTTCCCAGGCACATCATCATGGATCTGAAGTGGAGCAACTAGGACTCGAACTGGTGCCCATATGGGATGCCAGTGTTGCAGGCAGTGGCTTTACAACTGCTGTGCCACAATGCCAATCCCTGTATCTGGTCCTTTTCCATTCTTTTCTCCATGCACACATTACAGGATCAGTTTGAATTCTAGAAGCATTATTTCCTGTGCTTTTAATTATATAGTCCTGGGCTACTTTTTTCCCCTCAAAGTGCCTTATTTTATGTTTTTGTAAAATACTTTCTAGTTTAGAGTACTCTCAGCTTTTCATTCTTTTCTAAGTAAGCATCTAGCAATGTCTAGTCCAACAGATAAAATGCCTCAAAATATGATGTCCTTAGAAACAGCTGAATGGCTGGTGCTGTGGCATTGCAGTGCCGGTATCCCATATGGGCACTGCTTCGAGTCCTGGCTGCTGCACTTCCAATCCAGCTCTCTGATATGGCCTGGAAAAGCAGTAGAATGGGCCCCTGCACCCATGTGCAACACCCGGAAGAAGCTCCTGGCTTCAGATCAGCACAGCTCTGACCTTTGCAGCCAACTGGGGAGTAAAGCAGCAGATGAAAGACTTCTGTCTGCAACTCTGACTTTCAAGTAAATAAATAAATCTTAAAAAAAAAAAAAAGTTGAAAGTGTATATACATTTATATTATATATTTTATTTATAAATTATATAAATATAATTTATATTATATTTTTTATTTATAAGTATTTCTAGATGACTGCAAACCACAAAGTTTTTTTTTATTTATATATAATAAAATTTATATTTTATTTATATTTTATTTATAAGTGCTCCAGAGAGACAGGGTTTTATGTTCTCTGAAGTACATAATGATGTAGTATGAAACCTTGCCTATAGAAAGCTCAAGAGATCTGTTTCTTTATATAGTGGTAGCTCCACCTCTGAGGTCGGAGGTTAGACTGTGGCCCACTGAATGACACAGGTCAGGCATGAGTAGAAGCAGTTTCGTCTTGAGGGTGGTGGAGGTAAGGGTTTTAGTTTTATGATTACTTTAAGATTTCTAGGGCTAGTAGGTACTGTTTGGCAATCTGTTATAAAGGAACAGAGTGGCAGTGTGTGCTGGCCTACATAGCAGTAATACATCTGCCGGCCTGGTTTTGTCATGGGATTTCTTTTCATATAACTTACTTTGACCATAGAGAGCATTCACTGATACATATATGTTGTCCATGTAAGTAGTAACTGAAAGAGAGTGAGGTGATGGTAGTTAGAAAACAGACTGTAAATCAAAAACTGTTACAAGAGACCAAGAAGGTCATTATTTACCAATAGGATATATATATACCCAACACTGGAACATCTAAATACATAAAGCAACTATTGGTGGACATGAAGGGAGAAATAGCAATACAATAATAATAGTAGGGCACTTTAGTGCCCACATTCAACAATGGACAGGTCAACCAGACAGAAAATTAGTAGGGAACTGAACCATACTTTACGAAGAAATTACACAGAACTTCCCATCCAACATCAGAATACACATCCTTCTATAGTATACGTGAAACATTCTCCAAGGTAGACTATATTTGGAGACATAAAACAAGTCTTACAAAATGTAAGAAGACTGAAACTTTATTGTTTACAATCACAGTGGTATGAGTTTAGATACTAATAACACATATGGAAATTAGCATGTTCCTAAACCAATAGATTGAAGAAGAAATATGATGGAAAATTTTAAAATACCTTGAGATAAACTACTATGGAACCAGCATAACTTTTGGCATGCTGAAAGGAAGTTCTATGAGGGAAGCTTATAGCAACAAATCTACATTAAGAAGATTGGGGGCCAGCGCTGTGGCGTGACAGATAAAGCCACCGCCTGCAGAGCCGGCATCCCACATGGGCTCTGGTTTGAGCTACTCCACTTCCAGTACTGCTCTCTGCTATGGTCTGGGAAAGCAGAAGATGGCCCAAGTCCTTGGGCCCCTGCACCCACGTGGGAGTCCCAGAAGAAGCTCCTGATTCCTGGTTTCGGATGGTCCCGGTTCCAGCTGTTGTGGTTATTTGGAGAGTGAACCAGTGGATGGAGGACTGACTCACTCTCTCTCCCCCTCTGCCTTTCAAGTGAATAAATAAATCATAAAAAGGAAAGAAAGAACACAGATTGGGCTGTGGCATAGCAGGTAAAGCAATTACCTGTAACACTGGTATCCCATGTGGGCACCATTTCAAGTCCCCATTGCCCCACTTTCCATCCAGCTCCCTGCTAATGCACCTGGGCAAGCAGTGGAGGATGGCCCAAATCCTTGGACCCCTGCACCCATGTGGGAGACCTAGAAGCAGCTCCTGGCTCTTGGCTTGGCCTGACCCAGCTCTGGCCATTGCAGTCATCTGGGGAGTGAACTGGTGGATACAAGGTCAATCTCTCTCTTTCTCTCCCTCCATCTCTCTCTTTGTAATTCTGCCTTTCAAATAAATAAAACAAATCTTTAAAAAAAAAAGGGGGGGGTGGGCAGACTTCGTGATGCATTATGTTAACCTGCTACTTTGGACACCTGCATCCCATATTGGAGTGCCTGGGTGTGAGTCCCACCTTTGTTTCCTGTCCACCTTCCTGCTGATGTGCACCCTGGGAGACAACAGATGATGGCTTCCACATAGGTGATCCAGATGGAGTTTCTGGCCCCTGGCTTTGGCCTGGCCAAGCCCTGGCTGTTGCCATTTGGGGAATAAACCAAAGGATGGAAGATCTTTATTTCTTGCTCTTTCAAATAAATAAAAAACAGACTAACATTATGCTTCAACATACTAGAAAAATGACCTACTAAGGTTGGACCAGGAAGATAGCCTAGAAAGACCAGTAAGAGACTGAAATAATAATTTTAAAACTTGCAACAAAGTAAAGCCCAGCAGCAGATGGCTTTATAGCTGAATAAAGAGTAAACTTCCAAGCTGGCGCCGCGGCTCACTAGGCTAATCCTCCGCCTTGCGGCGCCGGCACACCGGGTTCTAGTCCTGGTCGGGGTGCCAGATTCTGTCCTGGTTGCCCCTCTTCCAGGCCAGCTCTCTGCTGTGGCCAGGGAGTGCAGTGGAGGATGGCCCAAGTGCTTGGGCCCTGCACCCCATGGGAGACCAGGAGGAAGCACCTGGCTCCTGCCATCGGATCAGCGCGGTGTGCCGGCTGCGGCGGCCATTGGAGGGTGAACCAACGGCAAAGGAAGACCTTTGTCTCTCTCTCTCTCACTGTCCACTCTGCCTGTCAAAAAAAAAAAAAAAAAAGACAGTAAACTTCCAAAGATGACCATCAATACTTCCTAAACTCTCCTGAAGAAACTGAACTGGAGGGAACACTCTGAACAGGTTTCACAATACCACTATTTCACAATACCACAATATTCACACTGATAGAAAAATCCTCAATAAAACATTAGCAAAATTACTTGAACAGTATATCAGAAAGATTATACCTCATGATCAAGTAGGATTTATCCCAGCATCCAAGGTTGGTTTGATATACACAAGTCAGTCAGTGTAATACATCACATAAGTAGACTGAAAGACAAATCACAAGATTTTAACATCTTTTCCTGATACAATTTCTTAATGGTTTATGTATAGAAGGAAAGTTCCTCAGAAATGATAAAGTTTTCCATGTAAGATGTGGCACGTGGGCTAGGATGCTCAATCACACCAGTTCTCTGTAGTACTGGGTTACTGTCAAGCAATATCAGAAAGGAAGTAAAATTGTCCCTACTTGCAGATGACATGGTCTTGTACATAAAAACCCTAGGAGAAGCACCAGAAATGGTTTGATCTAACAAATGAATTCAATAAAGTTGCAGGAAATATAATCAACATGCAGAAAAATCCATGGTGGATTGGGCATTTAGTCTGTTAAGACACTTGCACCCCCATTAGAGAGGCTAGATTCTATTCCTGGCTCCAGATTCTGATTGCAGCTTTTCTGATGCATACCCTGGGAGGCAGCAGATGATGGTCGTTCAAGTATCTGGGTCCCTGACACTGACATGGGAGATGTGGACTGAGTTCTGAGCTCCCGGCTTTGGCCTGCCACCAGCTATTACAGGCATCGGGGGATGAGCCAACAGAGTAGGGGAGTGTGCTTTCTCTCTCTCTCTGCCATAGAAATAAACTAAGCCAGTTAAGCCATTGTCTGCAGCACCAGTATCCCATATGGGTGCCCACTTAAGTCTCGGCTGCTGCACTTCCACTCCAGCTCCCTGCTATGGCCTGAGAAAGCAGCAGAGGATGGCCCCAGTGCTTGGGCCCTTGCACCCATTTGGGAGACCCAGAAGAAACTCCTGGCTTCAGACCAGCTCAGTTCTGGCCATTGTGGGCATTTGGGGAATGAACCAGTGGATGGAAGATCTCTCTCTGTCTCTGTCTCTAACTCTGCCTTTTGAATCAGTAAATAAGTCTTTAAAAAAAAAGGTAAACAATCTAACCAAGAAGGTGAAAGACTTATACACTGAAAACTATGAAACATTTATGAAAGAAATTGGAGCAGACATAAATAAGTAGAAAGATAGTCCATACTCACGAATTGGAAGAATCAGTATTATGAAAATGTCCATGCTACCTAAAGCAATATTTACATTCAGTGCAATTTCTATCAAAATCCAATGACATTTTTCTCAGAAAAAAAATCAGTCCTGAAATTCACATGGAACCACAAGAAACCCCAGATAGCTAAAGCAAGCCTGAGCAAAACCAACAAAGTGGGAGGCGTCGCACTCCTGGTCTTAAAATCAAAATCCAAAGTTACAGTAATCAAACAGTGTGGTACTGATCTAAAACTGACAGAACAGTGGGACTCAGTAGAATCCAGAATTAAACTCAGATATTTATGGTGAATTATTTTTTTTTGACAGGCAGAGTTAGAGAAAGGTCTTCCTTTTTCCATTGGTTCACCCCCCAAGTGGCCGCCACAGCCAGCGCGTCACGGTCGGTGCACCGCGCCAGTCCAAAGCCAGGAGCCAGGTGCCTCTTCCTGGTCTCCCACACCGGTGCAGGGCCCAAGTACTTGGGCCATCCTCCACTGCACTCCCGGGCCATAGCAGAGAGCTGGCCTGGAAGAGGAGCAACCGGGACAGAATCCAGCACCCAGACCAGGACTAGAACCCAGGGTGCTAGCGCCACAGGCGGAGGATTAGCCTAGTGAGCTGCGGCCCTGGCCGGTGAATTAATTTTTGACGAGCTTCAAGAAAACACCACTGGGGAAGGATAGTGTCTTTGGTGAATGATGTTGGGAAAACTGGATCCTTATGTGCATCATCGTAACACAAAAATCAACTCAAAATAGATGAAAGACCTAAACCGAAGACTCAAAACCACAACACTCCTAGAAGAAGACAGAAGAAAGAGCTCCTTGACATTGATTTTGGCAATGATTTCTGGGATATCACACCAGATTTATCAAGAATTCATACAACTTAATAGCCAGAAAATATATAACCCTACTAAAAAATGAGCAAAGAGACATGAATAGGTATTTCCACAAAGATAACATAAAGATGGCCAACAGGGGGCCAGCCTCATGCCAGCATCCTACATTGGAATGCTGAATGGAGTCCTACCTTCTCTGCTTCTGATCCAACTTCCTGCCAATGTTCCTGGGAAGACTGCAGAACATGGCCCATATACTTGGTCCCGTCCACCTGTGAGACTAGGATGTGTTCCTGTCTCCTGGCTTCAGCTCCTTACAGTCATCTGGGGGAATAGGCCAGCATATAGGAGGTTTCTCTGTATCCTCTCTCTGTTGTTCTGCCTTCCAAATACATACATAAAATGCAGCTTTTTATAAAAAGTGGCCTGGAGGAAAAGATGCTTAGCACCACAAATCATCAAGGAAATGCAAATGAAAACTATTCATGCATATTAAAATAGTGTTTTAAGATGAGATTACAGGGGCCTGTGCTGTGGGGAAGGGGGTAAAGCCACCACCTGCAGTGCTGGCATCCCATGTGGGATGTAGAGTGGATTAAAGTTAGAAAAATTGTAAAAATTGAAGGAAGGAAGGAGGATTGGGGAGGGATGGAAGTATGGTTATCTTAGAATCGTACCCATGAAATACATGAAAGCTGTTTTCTTAATAATCTCTTTAAAAATTTGCATCCTGTTTCTTTTGGATGCAACATTCCAGAAACTTTGATAAGGTTCTTTAATAATGTATTGAGGTCTTCCATGTCCTTACCTGTTTTCTGTATAGTTTTTACTTTGTTTGCAGAGAAAGGATCATTAAATGTCCAACTTTGGGGTTGGCACTGTGGCATGGTGGGTAAAGACGCCACCTGCAGTGCCGTTATCCCATATGGGATCCGGTTCAAGTTCTGGCTGCTCCACTTTCGATTCAGCTCTCTGCTATTGCCTGGGAAAGCAGTAGATGGCCCATGTCCTTAGGGCCCTGCACCCGTGTGGGAGACCCAGAGGAGGCTCCTGGCTTTGGATTGATGCCGCTTCGGCTGTTGTGGCCATCTAGGGAATGAACCAGCAAATGGAAGACTTCTCTCTCTCTTCTCTGTCTCTCCTTCTTTCTGTGTAACTCTTTCAAATAAATAATCTTTTTTTTTTTTTAAAGTCCAACTTTAATTGTAAAAATATTTATTTGAAAAGCAGAGTCACAGAGAGGGAGAGACAACGTTGAAGAGTCCATGTGTTTTGTTTTTATCTGTGGCATTTCCTCTCTTAACTCTCTTGTCCTCATATTTATCGTTACTTAAAGGTAGCCAGAATTCAATTTTTATTTTTAAAGATTTATTTATTTATTTTAAAGTCAAGAGTTACAGAGAGAGAGAGAGAGGTCTTCTATCCACTGGTTCACCCCCCCAGTTGGCCATAATGGCTGGGGCTGCACCAATACGAAGCCAGGAGCTTCCTCCAAGTCTCCCATGTGGGTGCAGGGGCCAAAAGACCTGGGCCACCTTCTACTGCTTTCCCAGGCCACAGTGGAGAGCTGGACCGGAAGTGGAGCAGCTGAGTGCCCACATGGGATGCTGGCACCTCTGGCCAGAGCGTTAACCCACTGCACCACAGTGCCGGCCCCAAGAATTCAGTTTTCAAATCACACATTGACAGGACAGGAAGTTGTGAGAACTCTAAAGTGAACCGTATCCAGAACTCGTAATTGAAATATCAGGTAAAATCTGGCTATGTTAGCAAAAAGATAAAAGTCACAAATCAACAAATTAATGAGTAAGTCAGTCTCAATTTATGCTTTGTTCTTTTCCCTTTAAAGGTTCTAATGATCCATGTCATAGTCGGCAACATACAAAAAAACAAGGAAGTGCTGGGCTTGTGCCTCAAACAAAGGAGGTGTGTATAGAGTATGAGAGAGAGGAGACAGTGGTGAGTCCCTGGACGTTACCCTCAGAAATCCATGAGATTCTGCATAGGAGGCACAGTTTCCTTTCACAAGTAAGCACTGTTCCAGACTGCACTTTTTTCTAGTGGATATTTCATGTTCTTCAGGGTTGTTTTTGGAGGGGAGGGGAGTGCAATGTAGAAATAATAAATGATGTTAGGTCAGTTTGAAATAGTGAATTGGGGCTGACGCTGTGGCATAGCAGGTAAAGCCACCGCCTGCAATGCCGGCAACCCATATGGGCGCCAGTTCGAGTCCCAGCTGCTCCACCTCCAATCCAGCTCTCTCCTGTGGCCTGGGAAAGCAGTAGAAGACAGCCCATGTTCTTGGGTCCTTGCACCCATGTGGGAGACCTGGAGGAGGCTCCTGGCTTTGGATTGGTGCTGCTCTGGCTGTTGGGACCATCTGGGGAGTGAACCAGCAGATGGAAGATCGCTCTCTCCTACTGCCTGTCTATAATTCTGCCTTTCAAATAAATAAATAAATCTTAAAAAAAAAAAAAAAGAAACAAAGAAATAGTGACTCAAAGTATCACTCTTTTGGCTGAGTCCTGAAGCATTTACATTTCAGAATTTTTCTTGACCCTGGAGACAGGCGTTTGGTGCCGCAGTCAGGATGCTGCTGGAGAGGCCCACATCCCACTTGGGAGTGCCTGGAATTGAGGCCCAGCTCCACGTCCAGTCCAGTTTCCTGCTAGTGTATACACTGGGTGGCAGCAGATGGCTCAGATATGACCTGAAATAAACTCCAGGCTCCTGGCGTTAGCCTGGGCTGCCCCCAGCTGTCCTAGGCATTTGAAAAGTAAACCAGCAGGTGGAAGATCTTTCTCTTTGCCTTTCAAATTAAATTAAATTGAAAATTAAAATACACACACACACAGAAATGGAAAATTTAACTAAAAAACAACATAAACACAATAACAGTTGTATTCAAAGTACCAAAATCCCTTCTGTCCACTCTGATGACAGAGGTCAGATAATGTTCAGCTTATTGTCAGTGACGACACAGAGTCAGGTAATGTGCAGTTTACTGTCGGTGCAGACAGGAAGGACAACCACAGCCCTGGTTCCCTGCACATTCCCTCCAGCCCTTTGATAGGCAAGTAGCTTTTGGAAACCTTCATTCATGTTCTAGTTTGTTCTCAGGGGCTGGGACCACGACTGACTGTTCTTGCAATTTGCTAGGACTTGTCACCGACTGGAGAGGCAGAGCCAGAGCTCCCCGCCGGGCTGAGCGGCACGGACAGCGCCTCTGAGAGCACCGGCAGCCTCCTCAGCAAGCTCGACTGGAACGCCGTCGCGGACATGGTTGCCAGCGTGGAGGAGAAGGGCCTGGCTGTCCACTGGGCCCCAGACTTGTGAGGACGGACGGGCGGGCCAGCATCTCAGTGATGTGATGCTAAGAGATTTAGGGGTTTAAGGGAGAGCAGCAATGAAGGAAGCAACACGAATTTGCCACCAACAGCCATCAGCTACTTCAAAAGGGATAATAAACATTTCTCACTAGTTTTGCCTATACAGGAAAAGCAAAGGTTAACTCAAGACATTGTGTGTTTTTTCATTTGACTTGTCTTTAGATATAATTTTAAAAATAAATAGCTTTCATGCCAAGTTTACATAATATTAAACTACTTTTAATAAAAATCTTGTATCTTGTCTCCTCTTTTACCACATTCTAAGTTTTGAGAAACAACCTTATATGGATGAACCTGGCTGGAAGAAAAAATTCTTTGAGAAGAATCTCAGTCTCACTGAGACACTGAATAATGAGTACCATTTTAAAACGCTGTTTTTGAATTTTATCCTGAAATTCACTATGTAAGGCTTGGCCCAGGAGGGAAAAGGAACCAGGTATCTTCTAACCAGTCCTGAAAAAGCCAAGTCTCACACAGGCCCTGTAGACCTTTCGCTCTTCTGCTTTGTAGCTGTACAGCTCTATAGGAACAACCAGGGGTGCTTTTGGTGGGGAAAAGAAAGGGAATATGATTCCCTGCTGTTCAAAGCTTATCTCTGGTGTTAGCACTGTGGCATAACAGGTAAAGCCGCCTTCTGCAGTGTCGGCATCCCATATGGGCGCCAGTTCCAGTCCAGGCAGCTCCACTTCTGATCCAGCTCTCTGCTATGGCCTGGGAAAGCAGAAATGGCCCAAGACCTTGGACACCTGCACCCACCTGGGAGACCCGGAAGAAGCTCCAGGCTCTAGGGTCCTGGTTTCAGATCAGCCCAGCTCCAGCCATTGCGGCCATTTGGGGAATGAACCAGGATGGAATAATGTCTCTTTTTCTCTCTCTCTCTGCCTCTGCCTCTCTTAACTCCACCTTTCAAATAAATAAATCTTAAAAAATAAAAGCTTATCTTTTTATTTATTTATTTGACAGGTGGAGTTATAGACAAAGGGAAAGGTCTTCCATCCGATGGTTCACCCCCAAAATGGCTGCAACGGCCGGAGCTATGCCAATCTGAAGCCAGAGCCAGGTGCCTCTTCCTGGTCTCCCATGTGGGTGCAAGGGCCCAAGGACATGGGCCATCTTCTGCCGCTTTCCCAGGCCACAGCAGAGAGTTGGATTGGAAGAGGAGCAACTGGGACTAGAAACTGGTGCCCGTATGGGATGCTGGTGCTGCAGGCAGAGGATTAACCTAATGTGCCAAGGCGCCAGCCCCCAAAAAAACTTATCTTAATCATGGTAAAAACAATTATGCAAAGAGCAGGTTAGTTTTTGGCAGTACATCCAAACAAGACAGTTTTGGAGATAATTTTTATGAGAATTGACTTAAAAACCAAGACCCTTCAATCATTTGTGAATTTTTGGTGGAAGCATCAAAGGATACTGTTATCTGAAAAGACTGTTAATTACTTTTCCAGTTACATGTCTGTATGAAGTGAGATTTTTCTTCATCTACCTAAACCAAAACAGGTATATATTGCAACAGGTTGAACACAGAAGCATGTGTAGGAATTCACCCACCTTACCCGCTAAGCCACAGCACAGGCCCTGAAAATAATTTTTTTAAAAAGAACAGAGTTTAGGAACTATGGCCCTAGGTCTAATGATATGGATGCTTCCATAATGGGTCAGTCAGTACTGTCCCACTTTACACAGCTGCCATGAACCTGCCCTAATTAAGGAAGCTGCTTCCCAACCAACGCTGCAGTCCAGGCCACTGAGGCACCTGCAGATATCACCAACACTGATTAGAGCTGAAGAAGCTACACAGACACTACGTAAATTGCCAGCCTAGAACCACAGCCAATATACTATATCCAACTAACATAGAACACACTGCCAGCAGAAAGTCTTTTACTTGAAAAACCATTCTATAAAATTGGAAGAAGCAGCTGACCAACCAGATGTCCAAAAATCAACAATAAGGGCACAGAAAGCATGAAAGAATTAGCATGACCACCGAAGGAAATAACTCCAGAAACAGATCACAAAGAAATTGAAATTGCCGGCACCGCGGCTCACTAGGCTAATCCTCCGCCTAGTGGCGCCGGCACACCGGGTTCTAGTCCCGGTCGGGGCGCCGGATTCTGTCCCGGTTGCCCCTCTTCCAGGCCAGCTCTCTGCTGTGGCCCAGGAGTGCAGTGGAGGATGGCCCAGGTGCTTGGGCCCTGCACCCCATGGGAGACCAGGAAAAGCACCTGGCTCCTGGCTCCTGCCACCGGATCACCGCGGCGGCCATTGGAGGGTGAACCAACGGCAAAGGAAGACCTTTCTCTCTGTCTCTCTCTCTCACTGTCCACTCTGCCTGTCAAAAAATTAAAAAAAAAAAGAAATTGAAATTGATGAATTGCCTGACAATTTAAAAAGTATTTTTAAATATGTACTTATTTGAACAGCAGAGAAATGGGAAGAAGGGAGAGGGAAGGAGAGAGAAAGATAAATCTTCCTCTTCCATCTGCTGGTTCACTCCCCAAATGGCCACAATAGCCAGGGTTGGGCTCCTCAAGTGAGGAGCCATGAACTCCTATCTTGGTGTCTCACGTGGATACAGGAGATGAAGTACTTCAGCCATCATCCACTGCTTCCCAGGCACATGAACAGAGAAGTGGAGTAGCCAGGAATCGAGCACTCCTATGTGGGATAAGGGGATCCAGACCAGCAGCTTAATCTGCACCAAATGCCCCCACCCCCAAAAATTTTTTTAAGGAAACAATGAGATACAAGATAATGCAGACAGCAATTCAACAATTCTGGGAAGACAGTTCATGATAGGAATGAGGAATTCAGCAGAGTTCATAAAATGATCTGAAATCTTGAAGCTAAACAATTCAGTAAATGAAACTAAAAATATATGAGCGCATTAGCAGTATTGAGCAGTTTCAGAATTTAAAGATTTTTTTTTTAAATCAGACAAAATTAACAAAACTTTCAAAATTTACAGGACACCATTAAATGAGCATTATGGGTGTTCCATAAGAAGGAAAAGGCATAGAAAACTTTCCAAATCTTGAAAAAGACAAATAAATCCAGGTGCAGGAAGCCCAAAGGATAACAATCTTCAAGACAAACTGTCAAAAACATAAAACCAAAAATAAGATACAGAATTTTAAAAACAGGAAAAGTGTCAAGGTACTCATAAAGAAAGCCACATTAGATTAACAGCTGTAACTCTACAGGCCAGGAGAGAATAGGATGAAGCGTTCAAAGTCCTCAAAGAAAAAAATCTGCCAACCAAAAATACTATTACCCAGCAAAGCTATCCTTTGGCAGCAAAGGAGAGGTAAAGACTTTTCATGACAAGCAAAACCTGAAGGAGTTCACGGTAACTAGAAAGGCCCTACAAGAAATGTTAAGGGAGTCCTTTGTTAGAAGTGAAAAAGATGATCACTACCACTATGAACACACAAAATACAAATCTTCAACAGCAGAGAAGATAGACAAAAAAGAAAAATATAATATTTTTACTTTTTTCTGGATTTGATCTGTTGTGTACTTAGTTAAGGTTTCTTCACCTATATTAATTAGTACTGTCATTCTGCAATTTTCTTAAATTTGGTAGATTTTGATATCAGGGTTATGTTGATCTCTTAAAATGATTTGGATAGCCAGCGCTGTGGTATAGTGGGTTAAGCCATTGCCTGCAGCGCTGGCATCCCATATGGGCACCAGTTCAAGTCCTGGCTGCTTCGCTGCCAATCCAGCTCCCTGCTAATTTGTCTGGGAAAACAGTGGAGGATGCCTAAGTCCCTGGGCCCCTGCTCCCATATGGGAGACCTGAAGGAAGCTCCTGGCTTCAGACTGACCTAGCTCCAGTCTTTGCAGCCATTTGGGGAGTGAACCAGTGGATAGAAGATCTCTCTCTCTCTCTCTCTCTGACTCTGCCTTTCTCTCTCTGTAACTCCACATTTCAAATAAAATAAATCGTAAAAGAAAAAAAGACAGCTGGAAAGTGTTTGATGTTTCTGTTTTTTCAAATAACACATTGTGCTGTTATTTCTTTTTTAAATTTTAGTAGAATTCACCAAACTACACAGGCCTTATCTACAGGAAAAAAATTTTAAATGAATTTCTTAAATACATAGAGGGGCTATTAGAAAATTCTTTCCCTATATAGTTTTCTGTATTTAAATTATTATTTAATGATTGAATTATTTAAATAGCAGTTATTAAAAATTTTAAAATGGAATTATCCTTTTTTGTAGCAGTCTAAGAGATATCTGGGAATGGGTGTTTGGCACAGTAATCAAGATGTAACTTGGGATACCCAAATCCCCTATCAGACTGCTTCAATTTTTTACAACTTTAAAAAAAATTTCCTTCCTTCCTTACTTCCTGCCTTATTTGTTTAGTTAGTTAGTTAGTCAGAATTACAGAGAGAGAGGGAGAGACAGAGATTTTCCATCCACTGGTTCACTCCTCAGGGCTGGGGCACATTGAAGCCAGCTGCGTCATCCAGGTCTCCCACATGGGTGGAAGAGGCCCAAACACTTGGGCCATCCTCTGCTGCCCTTCCCAGACTATTAGCAGGGAGCTGGATCAGAAATGGAGCAGCCAGGCCATGACCTGTGCTCACATGGGATCCCTGCATCACAGGCAGCGGTGTTACCTACTACAACACAATGCCAGCCCCCTGAGTGCTTTGAGTCCTGGCTTTGTTTCCAGTTCTGGCTTCCTGCTACGTACTCTGAAAAGATGCCAGTGATGGCTCAAGTAACTGAATCCCTGCAGCCTATGTGGGTGACCCGGGGGTGAGTACATGACTCCTGGATTTTGGCCTGGCCCACCCCTGGCTATTGTGGGCTTCTGGGACATGAACCAGCAGATGGAAGATCTCTGTCTCTGCCTTTTAAACAAATTAAAAAAAATAAATCTGTACTTCCCTGTTTATTGTAGCATCTATGCACAATACCAAGATATGGAATCAACCTGAGGGCCCATCAACAGTTATAGATAAATAAAATATGGTCTTTGTTCATAATGGAATACAAAAGGATAAAATCCTGTCATTTGCAACAACATGGAGGAAACTAGATGACATTACGTTAGATGAAATACGCCAGCACAGAAAGAGTCTGCACTGGCAGTGATGCTGGAATC